TGGCCCTTTTTTTCCAATGTCGCGCATCGCTTACCCGTAGCGGCGGGCAAAGTGAGTCGTCGTCTCGCCGTCGTCGTTCCTTTATTTTTGCGACAACATTGAATACAGTAAGGTAATTACAGTCAGGAAGGTCCAAGGTGAGGTACATGGGTTAATGAAGACGTAAAAAGAGGTGGGCAAAATTTAGTGTTTAAATGTACCTTGGGTAAGGTGACCCAAGGCAATGCTCAACAAGGTAACCTCCGCTGGCTTCTTTCAACAAGAGTCAGCTGGATCAAGCAGCATTCTTTTTCTTTTCCCCCCATCACACCCATCACCAGATCGCCCAGGCCAGTCTAATCCCATCTTATCAATGCCTACTGGAAAAGTTGCGTAGGGACACACGGTATTGGTCTGGTCTCCCTGTTGTTGTCAGGCTAAACTTTCGTCATCTGTCCCGCATCGTCTCCAACTCACTGTGCTTTGCTTCTTCTTTTTCCCGCCCTTGAATGCTTTCTTTTGTTCCCCTGTCAAATTGATGTCTAGTAGAAGATTCCTTAATGTCAGGCCGCAACCTTTTCCAAGCTTCTTTATTCTTCATCTTCCTTGTCTTTCCGTAGATTTCCCCCATCTTCCTACCGAAGGAGAAAAAAAAAGTGACTGCTATTGTTGGATCGGATCACTCGGCTTGATTGGGTAACAAGCTACTTCTATTCTGGATCTCGCAGCCCGCATTGTCCATCTTTTGCGCGTCAGAGTACTGCTAGGTATTTTCAGAGGCCTGTGGGTTACGATGCGTTGTTACCATAGGTAGCAAAAAGGATCCCCCCAGGAAAAAAAAAGCACATGCACTTTTTTTTCCCCCTTGGGATCTCGACACAGGCAAGCCAAAACGATTTGACCCGAAACGAACCCTCGCAACTTGCTGGAGAAGTCCCGCAGTGGTGGTGTTGGTGGTGGTCCGAGAAGCTTTTCAAGAGAGAATTCTAAGTTTTCTCTATTAACTGGACTTTACTCCAAAGCCAAAAAAGAAAAACCAAAAGCAGACAAACCTTTCTTCCTGTGGTCCCAGACTGCCACACGACTCCAACTCCACCTGCTGCACTGGCATCCATCCACATGCAGACTGCCCAGACTGCGTGAGACTGGAGAACCGCCAGCTAGGTACGGGACGGTCAAGGTACATTAGGCCATCCAGCCAGCTAATAAGGTACCTTAACCAGCACAGCACAAGCGCTACAACGCAGCACAACACAGCCTTAGCTGCCCACCTACCTACCTACTCCATCCACAGTTCAGGTTCCAGAGTTCCCAGTCGTCCACACACACCAGACCGGCTTCTCCGACCCGCAAGTCGAATCAATTCCCATCTTCTCCTCCATCCAAACTCAATTATCTTCCAAATAACAACACAAAATCCTCTTTCCCACATCTACGTATACCATCTTCTTGCTTTGCGCCCGAGGTCGACCCTCGCCACTTTCATTTTGCCATCTGCTCTTTTTCCTTCCGTATCCAACCCATCTCTAATCGTTTCGAGGCCGTCGCTCCTCGACCCAGCCTGTTACCCCGGATGACAGGCACGAGACGGTGACGGCACCATTATCGCACGATAGCGCCACTCGCCCTCAACACCACCACCACCAACCATCAACGAATCTTGATCGCGAACAACACCACCCATCCAGCATCGCAGCACCCGACGCTGCGACGACTATGTCGCTGAGTTCGCCCACCATGAACGGCGTCATCATTGGTCTCCTCTCCTCCTTTGGGTCCGCCATTCTGATTGCCTTGATCTTCCTGGTCATCTACTTTTTCCGGTATACAACCTCCGGTCGCATCTTCCTCGATCGCATCGGACGTCCCGGTGAATACGATGACGAACAAGCATTTGCGAGGGAGGAGGCGGAGGCCCTGGAGACGATGGACGATATGCAGCGAACAGAATATCTGAGAGCAAAAGGTAGGAAGGATGCCTGTTGGCGGCCCCCGCTGCATTAACCCATTCCCATCCCCACTCGTCGTCAATGCACGCGCAACACCCAAAGACGAACAAGACTGACTCAATCCAACTCTAGCCTTTATTCAATCAAACCCGCCAGAGTCGGTCCAAACCGATATTTCCTTATCACAATATCTCGCCATCCAGGAGAAGGGCGTGTCTGCGTGGGAGTTTGAGCCAGAATTGGAAATCGCAAACTGCTTTGTCGAAGGCAGGACCGAGGTTGAGTTCTTTGATTCGGAATGTACTGTGCAGAGCAATTTGCCAGTGCCAAAGCAAAACGAGGTTTATTACTGGGAGGCCAAGATCTATGACAAGCCCGAAAACACCTTGCTGAGCATAGGCATGGCGACAAAACCGTACCCGTTATTCAGATTACCCGGTAGGTGTCGGAGGAAATTCTGTAAAGAAAACTCCACATGCTAACCTGCCATTACAGGATTTCACAAATACTCGGTTGCATACACTTCGACTGGTCACCGACGGTTCAACCAGCCGTTTAATGCGACTCCGTATGGACCAAGTATTGTTCAGGGTGATGTGATTGGCATTGGTTACCGACCCAGGACCGGCACTATTTTCTTTACGCGCAACGGCAAGAAACTGGAAGACGTTGCACACGGCCTCAAGACGCCCAACTTCTTCCCATCGATTGGTGCAAACGGTCCTTGCATTGTGCACGTCAATTTTGGACAGGCTGGTTTTGTCTTTATCGAGGCCAACGTCAAGAAATGGGGTTTGGCTCCCATGACTGGTAGTCTTGCACCACCGCCTCCTTATGGTAGCGAGCAGGGCAGCATTCTACTTGAATCTGGTCGGAAGGATGGATACGTCGGATCGCCGGCTAGAGGTCACAGCTACTCGCAATCGGTACAGACTTTCAACCGAGGACCAACGCTGGACACGGGCCATGCGAGAACGAGAAGTGGAAACTATAGGATATTGCCACCGACTAGTCCAGGCCCTCAGCGAAGTCCCACGGATATTTCCCTGGCTCAACTGGTGCCCAACGACGAGGCTGGCGAAGGTAGTAGCAGCCATGCCGCCAATACGACTGAGGAGCACGTGATTGATGTCGTCGGCCTTGGACTTCATGAGGCTGCCCACCCACCACCCGAATACACCAGCCCGGAGTCATCAGATACTGAGGAATCCCGGAGCAGCTCGGAGAGTGACCGAGCGCCGCTCATCAGAACCACACGTAGCCGAGGAGCTTCAGCTGCAACAATCAGACCATCCAACTACAACCCACCGATCCCAAGTTACAGCGATGCCGTGCGTATGGGAGCTGGCCGAGATAGGAGTCGCAGCGACATTACTACGGGCCGTGGACGGAATTAATGAAGCAGCGTCTTGTTTCAGAAAAGCGGCGGCGAGCCTATACATGCGTCTGGCGGCAATGGTGCTTTTTTGTTTTTTTCGAGGTGTGCTCAACCATGGGGAAGCGAGGTGCATTTTCATCAATCGTTTGATTAAATCATTGGGCAACGGCGTTCCGGCAAGGGGGAAATGGAAATGGAGCTCCGAAAGTTGATTAACTGTCGTTTATTTGGTTTAGAGGGAGACAATTTTTTCTGTGCGGGTGGGTTTACCGGCTTTATGATGATACCTCGAGAACGATGCTGCGCCAGGCGAGACTGTCCTTGTTCCACAGCTATTACCTCCAACTGGCGAATGGGATTAGGATGGGAGAGAACGGATTGATACCACTCCTACTACATACAGCATTGGTACGATGAATACAATAGTATTTAAAATTTCCATGTCCTAAGAAAAATGTTCATGCTATATCATGAGTTGGGGAAATACATAATCCCAAGGAATCGAATTGTACGACATATCAGGTCGTGACTTATTCTCACACTCTGATGGCTCAGAATTCGACTGTTGTCTGCTGCACATATCTCGTGACGGAATGTTCCTGCATGCTGCAAAAGGACAGTCAAAGCTAATCTAGACATGCCGTGATGATCGGCATCCAGCAGATTGCTTTTTCCCTCCATGTCAGTCTGAAACGGCACAGAGATCCGTCACGGGCACTACTTCGGGTACGCGCTGATCCTCTTTACTCGAAATTTGTGATGCGGACAAGATCTACAGTTCATCCATCAAGGGAGACGTTGTGCTGATTTGCGGGCATTGGCATAAGTAATTCATTTTCTGTGGTGGTTTAGCAAGAATTCCTTGGTCAAGACAAGAGGTCGAGTTCAATACCAAGATGAAATCTTAGAAACATTCACATGACGGAATCAGAGAGCCATGCAAATCACGGCAGTGTTGCAATAAGTTACCACTACAAACTAATGGAGAGATAAGTCACCATCAAACCACTTTGTGCAACGCAGCGCCCCGAAAGAGCCGAGGAAAATGTCAATACAAATGGGAAATGGAGGACCCACGTATGGACCCTCCAAATTACATCACTTGGGACTGCAAAATAGAGGCGTGCGCCGCTTATCGGGGTTTGGAGAGATCCGTCCGGTTCTCTATTCCGTAAAGTGCCAACCAACCCCACATTCGCCGACCTTGCAACTTCGGCTCGTGCCGCGCTCGCTCGCTCGGTCGCTACATACATACACTACACAGTATGTACGCCCATGGCCCAAAAAGTTGTCAAATCAACCATAAACAGACGGCGTAAACAAAAACAGCATAGCACAAATCTGCGCAAATTATTTGATACAATCACCAAAAGCAATCGATAAGGTCTTCTGTAGTAGAAGAGGGTCCATCAATCACAATGGTACGTTTGAGGTCCCCCTTGTTCTTTTTCCTAGCTCGCGCAAGCAATATGGTATTCCCATGCGCATCTCGTCCACTTTTGTTCATAGAAATCCCATGACTTGTCTCACCACCCCCGAGCAATATCTTGTGCCTCTTGACCCAAAGCACACAAACTTCCTTAATTCCCTTTGCTTACAAAGAGAGAAACACAGAATAAAGACTCATGCCACACGCAAATCCACCTGCACAGCCCGCGGCACGCGGACCTGTTTGAGGACTTCTGCGGCCCCCACGCCCGCCTCCCCGACGACGACGTCTGGGTCCCGCCCCAGCACCGCCCCGTCAACCCCGAGGACGAGGACGACGTGGTCCCCGACCAGCACGCCGCCTTTGGCATCCAAAAGGCCACCCAGCGCACCCGCGAGCCCGCGTGGCGCGATCTGGGCCTCGCCGCCCTCATGCACAAGGGTCCCGGGGGAGCAGGTGGCGGTGCCGGAGGGAAGGGCGGTGGAGCGGCGGCGGGCGCTGGTGTCGGGGCCAAGGGTCCTGGGAATGGGGGCTTTGTTAGGGGTTTGCCGAGGTGATTGTGAGCGCATCGTGGAATGGTATGGGATGGAGGAATCATGTCGCTTGAGACATCATGTGGTGTTTGTTGCCTCGATCTCGGGGAAGAGAAGACGAAAGAAAAGAACAGCATCGACTTTAGTTTGCATTAAAGAGTCATGGCCAGTATCAGCTCAAGGGCAAAGGGAATCATGGCATGGCGTTGATGGCGTTTACAAGGTCGGCATAGTATGGATCTGTTACAGGGAAACGAACTGGTCATGGATATACCAAAAACAGTTCAGAAGCATTGCATTTTCTATTGCGCTAAACCATATCCCGGGACATTATTCTTTCCCTCTAATTCATGTCATGTCTTGTGTGTGTGTTGTGTCTTTCGTGGCATGGGTATATCTTCCAGTCCATATATGCCAGCGTCTTCTCTGTAAAAGGGGGTAATTCTGTGCCACGAACTCGTGCGCTTTCCCCAACTGCCACTTAACACCATTGATCATTCATCTTTCCTTTTAATGGAAATAGTATCGGTATAAGCCTTTGGTCAGGTGAAGAGTATTTTGCCTGCCTTCCATGGCCTCATCAATATGCCTTGCGCCCGCCCACTCCTCGCCTTTCCTCTAGCTTTTGCCCAAGAAGCCCTCGCGCTCCATGACCTCGGGGGCAAACTTGACAAGAAAGACGGTACGGCCGGGCCACATTTCGCGACCTTCCTCTTCACCAGGCTGGCGGACAGTGTGGGCCGAGACGCGGGCCGCGAAACCGCTCCCGTCGCAGACGCCCTCGACGATGCCGGCCACGTAGGCGGCGCAGTTGAGCTGGTCCATGTTGCGCGGCACGCTGACGTAGCGGTTCACCAGGGGCTCATTGTCGATGATCATGTACTCGTCGGGCTTGGACGGGTCCGAGGACTTCTCGAGGCCGTCGGCCGCCCGGCCAAAGAGGTGCTGCCAGAGGTTCAGTTTGATAAAGTGCAGGAGCTGGATTATGGTCAGCGGCCGTGTCTGGGTTCGCGCCGGCTCGCGGTGCAGCAGGAGGTCGAGCAGTTTGAGGCCGATCGGGTGGCCGGCGGTGTTGAGTCTGTACGGGCGCAAAGCAGAGATTGAGATGTCAGTCAGGGGACATGGGTTGCAATTAAGCCGGTTTGGGTTCTTTAGGAGTATCGCAACGGGTAGATGTTGTTATAATTGATTGGTCGACCGAAATCATTCGTCAACTGTGGTTGAAGTGAAAAACCCATGACAACTCACCGCTTCTCGAGGTCCTGAATGCTTGCAATCTTGTTGGATGCATAGCCCACCATCTCAGAGAACAGGTACGCAAAGGCGGCGCCGCTGAGCTCGGCCGTCTTGGTTCGGTTCAACGGCCGGTGGTAGATGGTCTTGCCATTTGTCGGGTACCGTAGACCCGGCGCCTCTTTGCTCGAGCCGCCCGCCCCTTTTGCCGATTGGAAATTCGACATTGTTATGCTGATGTGTATTGTGGTTGCTAGGTAGGAGGGAGGGAGAGCTTCCCAATCGTCCTGGGCGCACCTTTGCAAGGGTCGGTAATGGATGGGTTGACGTTGGTTTAGTGTGGGGCCGCCCTATCTCACGCTACCTGACGCGGAACGCGCCCGCTGCAGTTAAGCTGTGGCCGGGGTGTGATAAGTTTGACGCTGTCCGGGGGTTGAGTTATATGCGGTACTTCGAAACGGTTGAAGGAATATTCAAAGTTTGCATTAGTTAGTCTCTAGTTGGCATTACGAGCATTGCTCTAAAAGTATACCCTTTTCACTCATGGAGCCTCCAGCGGTCTGTCTATCATATATATGTACATTTGTTCATGTGATTCATTTCCAGTTGGTGTAACTTGTCCATCATCTGTCTATGCTGCTGCATGAGATTCGGGCAATGGCGATGTCGGCGGTGGTGCGTCAAAAACGGCAGGCTTCTCATCCGTGACCTTGACAGATTCCAGCTTCTGAATAAGCTCTTGAGGATCAATCTCAGTATCCGAGGTGCTGGCGCGCTCCTTGTCGATTTCCTTGATAGCAGGGAGCTGGACGCCGTGAGGAGCCAGACCGCCGAGAAAGTCCTCGAGCTCGCCAATGTGCTTGCCGCCCTCTTCCCAACGCTTGGTTCGCTCTATGCGCCTCTCTTCGCAAAGCTTCATCAAGGCAGGCCAGTACACCGAGTGGTCATAGTCAAAGTCAAGCTCACCCATAAACTCCTTCCACAACTGCTCCTTGGGGACATATTGCGTCATGTCCTCATTAAACTTGAGCTTTTCCCTTGTCAGGGGGTCGATGAATGGTGTGATGAGCTTGAAAAAGCCCCAGACGAGGAAAGGAACTATGCCGGGAGTTAGCAAAAATGACAGTACCAATTTCATGACAAGTCCTTACCATTGATAATAAGCGCCTTGCCCAGTCTCTCTGGGTAGTGAGTTTGCAGGATGTTTAGGACCTCCTTACCCTGGCCGATACCAGGGGCGGTGTTTGTCCTGCTCTTGCCCGACTTGAAGTTGATCAGCAAGGCCAGAGTCTCCTGCTGCGGTGGCATAAGCTCAATGACACGCTCAACCATGAACACCAGGTGCTGAACCTGTCTTGGAGAGACTTCGGTGTTTTGGCGGCCCGGGTTCAGGTACTGGCACGGCCGGCCTTGCTTATCATAACCGATAATGATCTGCTTTCCAGTCTCATTCTCGGGGGAGATGTGGTCCGCAGTGAGCTCGTCCACGCCGTACTCCCTCCGCCAGGTCAGCGTCTCTAGGATGCGCTTCTCTGCATCCTCCTTCTTCCACTTGACGGCACGCAGATACCGCAGCAGACACTCGCGGGTGAGCCACTGCTTCTCGCGGTCGGTGAGAGGACCGCCCTTGCCCTGGGTGGACGGGACTTCAGTCCAGCCCTTTGCCTTTTCCAATAGCCAGTCATACTTGGCTTGCTGTTCCTCATTGATCACGGGCCTCTCCGGCGGCTTGCAGTGGGAGGCCGGAGCTAGCAGTGGTGTTTTCAGGGGTGCTGCCATGGTGGCCGAAAAACGGCGGGAGTGGAAGCGGAAAATATGCGTGACTTGTGTGTGTGTATTGAGCAGTGAAAATCACAGGCCCGACTTGAACGACAGATCAAAAAGATCTAAGAGAGAGAGTGCAGAAACAGCAAATCTATCTTGAAGAAGGCAAAACGGGACACGCAGACTGAATGGGTGGTAAGTGAAAGAGAAATTGGGCGCAGAGAGACGGAAAGAGATTGGAGTGAGAGTGTTTGTCGAATCAATTTCGTTAAACCCAAAAAGGCCAAATTCGAGACCCTGTTCCCGTCAGCCAGCTCAATTACCGGGGACTGCTGCTACTGGGGGGCCTAAATTTGTAAATTTTGGGGGCTCGGGGGGGTTATGCTGCACACTGCACTGCTACATAAACCCCAAGTGAGGCTAACCACGGATTTGGGTCCGAAATAGTGGCATGAACACCAAAGTAGCCCCTGGGGCTCCCAGTCGCTCCCCGCCAGATCCACTGCTTCCAGCACTGCTTCCATCCCGTATCATCGGTCGTTCTCTCGGGGGATCTACTATTTTATTCTCTGCACTCGCCTTTTTGCGCATCCGACTGTGCAGTCTTGTGCTCTTGCTTATCTGCACTGTATCGTGTGCAAAACAAGGAGAGCCACACACTGCACCGTCCGCTGGAAGGGGGGAAATATATCTCCCTTCCTTACATGCAGTACGTAACACATGTCCGCGGCTTCCGAAATATCGAACAATTTCGCAGAGTATTGTGCAAATTGAAAACACGCCATTGTTCACCGAGCACGGTGGGTGATGTCTTGGGCGATCTTTTGATTAATTGATACGTTAGAAACAGAGGCATGGCATTGCGCTCATTGAAATGTACCATCGGCACAATGAGCAGGATTTATCGAATCGGCCCAGTCCCCATCTAGAACCACTAGCAAGACTATCTAAATATATTTCTTGTGTCTAGTGCCAGCAAAGCACAAAGCCTGGTTGAACCCAAGCAGGTAGTCTTATGGAAAACGGCCTAAAGCTCAACCATATGTGACATCTACTGTAGGCGGTTGTGGTTTATATGAGAGCACGAGGCCGTTGACGGCTGCTGCTTCATCTCAGGGGTGGTCCACCACGACGCTGACTTTCGCAATGCACCCGGGGAAAGTCCCTGTCGATCTCTTTTCCACTAAAGATGCAAATAGATCCATCATTGTTTATTGATAATAACCATTTCAAAAACGGTGGTATGAAGTCGTATCTGAGATCGGCGAGGCCTTTGGTCAATCAGACCAAGGGCTTCAAAATTCGGTGAACAAATTTTAAAGACCAGGCAATACAGATTATGGAATCATTTATGCTTATTAAAACTGACCAAAGCATTCAGGGCACCACTGCTTGGGAAAATTCATGATTTGGTAATTCTGTAGACCTTGATTGGGTTTTAAAGCATGTCTTTTTTTCCCTCCACGTCTCACGCTTGCCATGGAGGTAGAGAGAATGAATATATCCACGATCTCGCAAACTATTTTTGAAGGTGGGAGGGCAGGTACTTATAGATTTGCCTCTGGTAGCACCAAATGAGCGTGTACAGATTATATCCTTAGTCGGTCATCGGTGGTTGACCCCACCATTAAAACCACTTTAAGTGCTCGACGCGTCTTAGTCGCGTCTCGTGCCTGGGAAACTTCAACACCAGACTGAAACTCAATCGCACAGGCCGATTCAGTCTTACATATTCAGCATTGTCGGCTGACCTCTCGATTTGCTTTTTTGGCCATCTCAGAGGCATTACCTGTGTGATCTCACAATGGCGGATGCAGATGTGCAGGAACTCAATGAGCGCTTTGCTCTGGGCGACAAGCCCCTCGAGCCCGACATGCTGGCCGAGCTGCAGTCCATAATGCGCCTCTACTCCCTGTCGGTCCAGGACCTGTTTTTCAAATGGGAGAGCTACTGCATCAAGTTGGAAATGGACGAGTTGAAGCTGTCTGTCGACACCCTTCGTAATTTGAAGCGAGACATACAAGACTCTCTCGAGCGTGAGTCGCGCACTCAGCATGCTCATGTCAAGACGGAAAAGAGGGCCGGCGCAACCCCAAGGGCGGCAGGCAAGGGAAACGTCAATGCCGGTGATGTGTTTGGCATGTCGGTACCCTGATATCATGACTTCAAGAGTTCCAACATACTGATATTGTCTATAGCTTGGAAGGGATGACTACTCCGGGCGCTGCAAAGTTGAATAGAAACTCATCAGCGAGGAGAAAGCCCGAAACGCCTTCGGCATCGCGGGTCAGAGGCGGTCTTCCAGATAGCTCGCCAAGCACCGTAGATCGGCATCTGAATGAGATGAATGCTACCAAGTAAGTGCACAACAGCTCAAGCAAAAAGAAAGCAAATTACTGACAAGCTCAGGGCTGCTGCGTTCAACGACAGACAGAACGCTGGAGAGGTTACTGAAGTGCTCAATAACCACCTCAAACCAGCAGAACCCCCAATCGCGCCTTACGGAGAGTCTCGCATCAAACTGACTGCTGCATCTGATATAAAGAAATTAGCATATAAGCCCCTCGCCATGAAGCTGTCCGAAGCCTCAGAGATTCTAGACGACAGGATAGATGAGTTTCAGGGCCTCGTGAGAGAGTATTACAAGCTGGACGATACGGCCTTTGGAAGTGCAGCAAGTCAAGGTACTTCGGAAATTTACGCTGTTGGCAGGATCGCATCCGACTCTCTGGAAGGCAAGCTTAATGCAGCTTCATTAGTTCTGGAAACGTCGAGACGGACAGGAGGTGGCCTCAGGATACCCCTGAATCTGAAGAGACTTCCGGGCTTTCAATTCTTCCCAGGTCAGGTTGCTGCTTTCAAGGGCACCAACACAACAGGAACCGAGTTCACCGTTTTAGAAGTGCTCCAGATTCCTCTGCTTCCCAATGCTGCCTCATCGCCAGCAACCATCGAGACGCACCGGGAGAAGCTTCGAGGCGGACCAGACGCCATGGAATCCGATGATGAGCCAGCACCCCTCAACATCATATTCGGATCTGGTCCCTATACATCTGACGACAACTTGGATTTTGAGCCTCTTCATGCCCTTTGCAGTCAAGCCGCCGACACGTACGCCGACGCCCTTGTCTTGACTGGGCCCTTTATCGATGTGGACCATCCTCTCATTGCCACTGGCGACTTTGACCTGCCAGAAGATGCCCAGATCGATCCCGACACAGCCACTATGAATACAGTCTTCAAGTATATGATCTCGCCAGCCCTAAATCGCCTGGCCGCTTCCAACCCGTCAGTAACGATCCTGCTCGTGCCGTCAGTGCGCGATGTCATTGCCAAACACGTCTCATGGCCACAAGATCCCTTTCCGAGAAAGGAGCTGGGTCTTCCCAAAGCAGCACGTATCATTGGAAACCCAATGGCCCTGTCTCTCAACGAGGTAGTCATGGGTATCTCTTCTCAGGATCCGCTGTGGGAGCTGCGATCTGAAGAGCTCATTGGCGGAAAGCCGAGCGATGCACAGTTGTTGAGCCGACTGCCGCGATATCTCATTGAGCAACGGCATTTCTTCCCCCTCTACCCACCCATGGACAGGACGAAGCTGCCCAAGACTGGTACGGCCGACGGCATTGCAACTGGCGCAATGCTCGACACGAGTTATCTGAGGCTGGGCGACATGGTGAATGTTCGGCCCGATGTCTTGGTTGTTCCCAGTGCACTGCCGCCTTTTGCCAAGGTAAGATGATGATTGTCCTTGACACCTTCCACATGACCATGAAAACTTCCCGTTGCTAATGAATACCCAGGTCGTCGAAAGTGTATTGGTCATCAATCCGGGATACCTCTCGAAACGCAGAGGTGCAGGCACGTATGCCCGTATGACGTTATATCCACCAAAATTGAGCGCGGAAGAGGTTGGAAGCGCCATGGTCAGTCACAAGGTATTTGAGAGAGCGAGAATCGAAATTACAAGGATATAAAACAGCGCATGTATATTTGGCCATCATATCATAATTTGACTGTCCGCGTTTCGCTCTCGAGACAACACATAGTCTGGACTAGTGACAAGTCAACAGCTTCATAGATTAGCTGACGACTCCGTATCGATGAAATATCACAAAGTGCTGAATTTGTTTGACCAATTCCACGATATCATGGTTCTTTGTCTTTATTTTGCTAGGGATCAAGCGACAATCTAGACTGCATTGCCACCTACCTTGAATCCACCCTTCTTCGCTTATCACTTTCATAGCGATCGGCCTCCCGCGATGAATCCCTCTTCCGCCTGTGGCCATAGTCGTCCTGATCGCGGTCTCGCCTAGGCGACCTACTCCGGGAATCCGACCGCCTTCTCCGGCGGTCGTCATCCCTTCTATCGTCGTCCCGTGGTCGGTAGCTACTCCGATCCCTTGCCGTGTCTGCAGCACCACGGTCCCTCCTCTCGCCCAGGGGAATAGCGTTGGCGCCGCCGGGGCCTTCCCTATCCTTATTGCCTCTCCAGTCGCCGTCCCTCATCTCCCGGCCCGGACGGTGATCTCTGAACTCGCCCCAGCGGCCTGTATCCTCGGACTTGAGGTCGCGGTATTTCGAGGCGCCCTTGCGACCGAGCTTGGTGGCGTCACGCATCTGCAGAGCCTTTGGCAGCAGGGAGCGATCAACCTCGTCCTCAAAACGAGCGCCCATGACATCACGGGACGCCAAGGCCCCGGCCTCCTCCGAATCTTGGAAGAAGGCGCCCTTGTGGAAATACTTGCCCATAAAGGCCATCTTGCCGCGTCCTTCCTTCTCGTCGCGCTGGCGGGCGAGATGAGCCTCGTCCTCGGCACGGCGCTCCTCCTCGGTTAAGTTGCGGCGGCGCTCGATCTCGGCCATTTCGCGCTCACGCGCCTCGACGGCCTCGCGGTCCCGCTTGATGCGCCGCAGCTCCCTCACCTTCCACGCAGCCGCCTCGGCCTCGGGGTCCACGTCGTCCTCCGTGTCCACGTCCGACCCTTGGTTGCCCCCTTCGTCCCCGTCCTCCCAAAACATGCGGCCCGCCGCTTTGGCCGCCTGGTCCTTGCGGATTTGCTCCTCAATCATGGCGTCCGCCTCGGCCTGTCGGCGGGCCGCCGCCTCCTGCTCTGCCTTTTCTGGATCTTCTTTTTGCTCGGCTGATGCTGCTGCTTGGGCGCCACCGTTGCGTTGTGACTTGGGGATAAATTTGGGACGGATCATGAGGTTTCGTCGCGGTCGCTCATCTTCGCTGCTCTCTTCCTCTTCGTCATCGTCCTCCTCTTCCGAACTCGAGCCATCGTCGCCACCCTTGTTGGGCTCTGCATCGTTGCCGCTCTCCTCCTCTGTCACGAAACCCTCCTCGGCCGCTTTCCTCTCCAACTCTTCCGTCGTCACGCGCTTTTGCAGCTCCTGCTGCTGCGGTGGTATTTTTCGAATGGGAGCATTGCTAGAGCTGATAATCTTGCCGGCTGACGATACCTTGGGAGGCGGCGCTGGGGTCTTTTTCTTCTGTTGTTGCTGCTGTTGCTGCGGCTGTTCGTCGTCGGAGCTGTCTGAATCCGAAGATGAGGACCCCCCGCGCGCCTTGCCGGCATAGTGCCGCTGGATGCGCGGCTTGATGACCATTTTTCCTCTTTCGTGGTCGCGATTGCGCGCGCGCGGCTGCTCGGTTGTGTTTGCTACTGCCAGGGACGACAATGAAGTACGAGAGCTTCTCGGTTGTGCGCTGAAAGCTCTAAATTGAATATATTGTCCCAGCCTAATATTGGACAAGGTATTATTGGAGATAAACGAGTTCCGTTTGGTCAGATGCTTCAGTTTGTGGTTCTGCGCCAGAAAATACCAAAAGTTCCGAGCGGTTGCGATTAAACGAAGGAAACTGCAGCTCGCCCATGCAGCGCGCGGCGGCTCGCTGATTTAGAATGGAGCTTGCCTACAAGGAGTGGGGCTGCGGGACGATAAGCGATAAAGTATAACATGCATAATAATGTTCAACTGGCCATGTCAAGTAAATCCTAGCCACTTGTAGCGATTCTTTTGCCGAATCACTATCCTGATCACTTGTAGTCAGCGCACGAATTAAATGTTTTACTGTATTTCAGACTCTTGTACCGGTCCGTACATGTGAACCTGGTCCGATTGTCTAGAATTATATTGCTTGAAATATGGGTTTCCTGCCTACAATATATGTATGGCATACCATTCATGAGAACGCCATCGCTATGCTAAATTCAATCATCATGGCCCCATTCATTGCTCATTGCAGCGCCGTAGCCAGCAATTAGTAGAAGAATCAAAAGCCAGTAACCTACTGTCCTCTAGTGTTGATGAGCATACGTCCTGTCGCCTGGACGAATGCTACAAGTGTCCCTTTCAGCATATAATTTTCCGAATTAGATTTGTGTCCATCGATAATGCAGCTCAGGAGTTTGGTCTACTCAGAAGACCAACAATAAAGTTGTCAACTTCGCCTATCTTGATGGGATCGCTTGATTGTGGCGTTCCGATCTTGATCATTGTTTGGGGTGTTTCCATTTCTTCAACGGGTACTTTGATAGAAGGCTCGGAGACTGGATCCGTACCATCTACAGCCTGGGTAGCAGTCGAAGATGTCGATTTCGGTTGTGCTTCCGCAGCTTGCTCGAGCTCCGGTTCGGCCTTCCCCGATTCAGATACCAGTACTGAATGAGGATCAACACAATCGTAGAACAGCATGAAAACTCCGCCTTGGCCCAGAACATCCTCTTGTGCGACTTCCCAGACGCTTTCGTCGCTGAGCCGCCACCACTTTTCTGTGTCCTCTTCGTTACTGGTCGTTTCGACTAGAGTCTTCTCCGTGTCTAGAGATTCCGTCTCTTCGTCGGCCGAGTCTGACCGTGATTGGACCTTTTCCTCTGTAGAATGCTTTCGGAAGCAAATGTAATGACCATTTTCATGCTGACCTTGGTGAGTGACGACTGCGCGCAGCTCATAAATTGGTCCGCTGATCTGTGAAGGATGGCGGTCGCCGGAGATCATTGAAGCCTTAGGGTCTGATACCCAAGTTTCCTGATCACGGCTGAGTTCATCTTTTTCGACATCTACCAAGGACTCTTTACGAAAAGCAGCCGTGTGATCAGCACTACCCAGACACCAAGGGCCGAGATCAAGAGTCCGGGGGAATTTGACGGCAGCCATGTTTTTCCACATGTGGCCAGTATTGAAGTCGAAAACAGACCGGTTGACGTGAACGGCCAGACTCTTGGGAGGTCGGGCGATTGCAACCTGCTTGGTTTTGGTTGAGCTCGAGCGATGTTGCGCCAAGATTTTACACTTCTCTTTCAGAGTCTTTTCCTCAAAATCATCCTCTTCTAATGCCTGTTCAACGGCTGCAAGGCGTGACCGCACCCCTTGCAACACGAATTCGGGTTTCCCAGTGAGTTGTTGGAGAACCGTTGTCTGGATGTCTCTCGCTTTGAGAAGTGTGCACTTGTTGCATTCGACCTGCTCAATAAACTCGATTTGCGTATAATGATCGAGCAGCTCATATAAATCATGTTGCATGGTCCCAACACCAAGATTAAGCGTGATGCAATTGAAAGGCTGTAGGGAGAGGCCCTCCGAGTATCCGCACTGAACGCAGGCAACTCGTTGCGCAGTCATGCCTTCGAGAGGGTTGCGGGCAACCTTTGATTCAGAGCTTGATTTGGAGGATGTGGTGGCTGATAGATATCCGCTATCATCACTGTGATGGCTCTCAGTGTCATCTTTGGTCAGGGCAGTCTCCAAGCCGGATTGTTTTGTTTGCCCCTTGGCAGCCTTCACAACCTCCTTCTCAATCTCGTCCAGAAGTTTGGAAAAGTATTCTTGAGCGTCTTGTTGCTCCCAGCTGTGAAGCGACTTGAGCTTGGCAGGTGTCCACAGGGTCTTTCCATTGTTCTCGTGGTCTTTGAGCTCACGAATCAGCTGCTGCAAGGTGCCTGCAGAGCCTTGCTGTAAAGATTGGTCTGCCTCCACGGGGTCGACTCTTGCACTTTCAAGATATTCTGGCAGAGGCTGTAGCGAAACCAGGCCTTGAAGAATGCTGTTTTGGAAGCAGGAATAATCTATGTTGCCTAGACCAGCTGGTGTGTGAGGATCGCCCTTGAGGAGAGAACGACCAGATAGTGTAGAAAGACTCTTCTTCCCTGCGCTCGCGACCGAGCCAATGATGCCACCCCCTGGTTGATCCATGCCTAATAGTTTCCTCAGGAGATCGCTCTTTGCAGCAAAAGTTCGTGGGCGTGAGGACTTGAGGCCCGGGAACATGGGAGGGTTGAGCCAGTTATCGATCGCGTAGAGCAGCGCAGCAGGCGTGATGGTAATGAGTAAGTCCCAAAGCAGCTCGCCGGGGTGCCGGTGGCGATGAAAGGGTGAAGAATGAAGCGACTGATAGAAGGCTGTGAACAATATTCCGGCAGCGACTATGAGGACGGTGGGATTCTTGAACCACTCCAGCCAAGGCTGTTGAGCGGACTGAGATGCGTATCTGCCGGGGGGTTCGTGATGTCTTGAGGTGTATCGATGGTCCATTCTGAGGACTCGAGTTGCGAGAGGCTTGTCGCGAGGATGACTGTGCGTGCGTGGTAGTTGAAGTAACTTCCCGATGCGCTTTCAAGATTAGGTGCATCTAACGGTTGGCGTTGGGTTGGCAGAGCACACAACAAAACCAGCCATGATCAAGGGGCAGAGTATTCGAAAGGGAATGAGCCGTGTTTAGTGTGTTGCTGAACAGGGAGTCGAAAATGTCAGAGCACGGAAGATGGTTGAAGAAGAAATAAGTGGCCTCACACACGAACAAGGGTCTTGAGGAGGCCATTGTCTGGCAATCTTGATCAGATGTCTGACCGATGGCTTGCGCGCCAATGGCCAGGGCTATCAGCGCTGTTTTTCAGTGGGACCAGTGCTAAGATAAACATATCACAAGCTTATCGACCCCGTTATCGCGACTTTGCAGCGGGGCACTGTCCAAAAATTTAGGGACTCTTTCCCATCACTTGCAAATGGGCAACGCTGACACTAGGCGCAACAAGACATCTTTGTCTATGGTACCTATTTGCGCGCACTTTCAGCAGACAAGACAGGTCCTATAATTCCAAAACAATGGCCAAGGGTGGAATCACCAAGAAGAGAGGTACGAAATACCATTTGATTGTGGAATGCGCATCTGGATTCTAATCATCTTTGCAGCTCCTCCTTCGAAGCACTCGCGCGAAGCGAGGAGAGCCACCTCACCTGGTATCGACACCGACAAGTCGCTGAAGGAAGTAAGAGCGCCGGCAGAATCCATCAACCACCGCCCCTCCGTCTTGGCTATTCACCAAAATGCCGGCGTGAGCAAGAAACAGAAGCGCGGGAGAGCGCAAAGCTCCAGGGCCAAGAAGAGACAGGAAGATGCACAGGACAAGGCCATTGCAATTATCGAGCGCACTGAGAACAAGGTCGAAAAGAGCAAAGACAGCTCGAGGAACATTCAGAGGCGGCGCAAGGACTGGGACGACGTCAACAAGTCGATCCCTGTAACACAAAATGCCTTCGGCAGTTTACAGGATGAGAATGATGACGATGACCAGAGCGAGAATTCCGAGCTGGACGATGAGATGAGCGAGGTCAAGCAGGCGAATACTGCTGTGCTCGCACAGGTCCCACAAATCCCAGCAGCTGTGATGGACGACGACGACGACATATTATAGTTATCACGTATAAGTGGCTGCATTTTGTTGGGCGTTTGGAGTTCATAATGGGCTGTCATGATATAAAGACTCAAAATACCAACTATAGTTTGTGTTCTTTTTTCAATAATTGTCTGTACCTGGAGCCAGCCGTTGAGGAACATTTCCGATAAGCGATAAGCTTTTCCTGGGAATCTAATTTAGCCACTGGCAGCTTTTGTTACTGCTGCGGAACTACGCGCGCACCCCACCGGCTTCATCCGCAGCGCTTCCCATCATCTTTCTAACCTTTACAGAGTACTTCGATGTTTCCAACTGCATGATCATTGTTTTGCATCACAACACCACCACAAACCAGCGCTCTTTTTATTTCTGCAGCGTCGACCTCCTCGACCGATTCGCATAAAGAAAGCCTGTCTAGTCTGTACACCGTAATCTCACGAACATCTGCTTTGTACACAACTCAAAGTTTCCCATTGCGACCAGTCACAATACCGCCAAGATGCCGAAAGCAGAGGCCGGTTCAGTCAAGGCGCTGAACAATAAGATGAAATCCAAAGGTCTTCAGAGGCTGCGATGGTACTGCCAGGTCTGCGAGAAGCAGTGCCGCGACGAGAACGGCTTCAAGATGCACACACAGTCTGAATCACATGTGCGGCAGATGATGGTCGTGGGCGAAGATCCCAAGAAGGTCATCAATGAGTACAGTCGACAGTTTCAGCGGGACTTTATGCAGCTGCTGCGCACTGGCCACGGCGAGAAGCAAGTCAACATCAACCATTTCTACCAGGAGTACATTGCCAACAAGGAGCACATTCACATGAATGCTACCAAGTGGCCGAGTTTAACCGAGTTTGCAAAGTATCTCGGCCGCGAGGGCATCTGTAGAGTGGAAGAGAATGAGAAGGGCCTTCATATTGCATGGATCGACGACTCTCCAGAAGCCATGAGAAGAAGAGAGGCGGTGCGCCGAAAGGAAGCGCAAGACAAGGGTGATGAGGAGCGAGAGCAGCGAATGATCCGGGAACAGATCAAGCGGGCACAAAAAGAGGCGGAAACAAAGAGAGGCGCTGCGGATGACTCTGAAGAGACGGAAGCACGGGAGCTGAAGCGAGATGAGGGCGAGAAGATTAAGCTGTCTTTCGGTGCCAAACCCGCCACACAACAAGAAGCAAAGTCGGAAAGCCCTTCCAATGCTGAAGACCCGGCCAAAAATGCGGCTCAGACCGAAAGTGCATCTGAGACCAAGTTGGATCCTCCGTCGGCTCCGATATCCTTAAAGTTAGGCGCAGCAAAGCCTCAACCCAAGAATGTGTTTGCTGCTGCCAAGAAGAATGCTCTTGCTGGCGGTGCCAAGAAACCCAACCCTTTCCAACAAGAAAAGAAGATGAGCGAGGCAGAGCGCATCATGAGAGAAGAAATGGAGAAAAATAAGAAGAGATCCAGCTCTGGCTTTGGAGGTTTCTCGATGAACAAGAAGCCGCGCACAGGCTAACGTTCAGTATAGACAGAACCCGGCGTTTAGCGATGCATTCTTGAGGTTTTCAGCATTATGTATATCGGCGTTCACGGAAGAGCTTAGTAAAATAGATACCACTTTGTACCAGACATTTAGAGCATATTAGCGAAGATGATTCGTAGAACTAAACCAAGCTTGATAAACTGATGTGGATATACCCATCGTACCCCATCACTCTTCTTTCATCACTTACATGACCCCGGTTGCGATTTTACACGCGCAGAGCCTTCACAGCAGCACTACATCAAGGTCTCCCAGACCATGTCAACATGTGAGTGACCTGTACTCAGGTGCAAACCTAGGTTAGATATCAGGGCCTTCATGGAGGTATTGAGAACTTGTTCAAATATCAACTATTCTAAATCCTGGCATGTGACTGTTGCTGAGCGGCTGCACATATTAGTAGGATAGCGAATTAACATAGTCGTTGTTCAATGATTTACAGCAGATTAGTGTCTAGAATGCAATATTCGATGTTCGATAAACTGTTTGGGGTTCTTCGGATTATAGAGCGACCAATAATAGATTGAGGCGAGCTTCAGGGTATGTGCCAAGGATGCTAAGCCAAATGTGGATAAAAGCAGCTGCCAAAGACCCTCAGCTACGCAAGAAATCATACGAGATCTCCAAATAGCGTAACAGTGATATCGGGAACAGCAGGGGAGATAAAAACCCAAACCAAAAAAAAGTGTCGCAACACCACCTCTACCTTCAAACAAGCACAAACAAATCACCAGTCACTGTCGGGAGATATCATCAATCAGTAAGCGCGTTACAAGACTCGATCACAAATCAGTTCTACAACACAGGCCAAGAGACACAATGAATACTGTAAGTAATGGTCCATCCACCGGAGGCCAGCTTGCTCTGTGTACGTGCTGACGTCTTCTAGATTCGATCTTTCTGGTATGTTAAACATTGCCGACCATGACGACAGATGACAGTTATCTGACTGCGATTGACATGCTAGGCTAGGATGGGGCTCCCTCTGCGTTGGTAAGTGAGGGAGGAAGCTCGTGGCATCGCCGTCGCTAGACTAACATTTATCATAGCTGGTGGTGGTGCATACTACTTTGCCAAGCAACAGATCAATGCCGACCGCGCCCAGCGACTTGAGGACTCGCGAAGAAAGAGACACATGATTGACTCTCTCGAGCACTCGCAAAACGTACCCAGCCACCCCGGATCCTCTTCCACCATGGGCTCTTCTCCTGCAACGACCAACGGTACATCGCCGCGAACCGACCCGTCCGGCTCCCCGAGTCAAGAGGCAGGCACCGATCCAGCGCCTACGCGACATGCCCCAGCTACTGAAGGACAAAGAGTGTTTGAGAAGAGTAAATACGAGAGTACTACGCCTTTCAAAAGTCAGAAGGGGGATCGATTTTCGTAATTTGGGAGCATACGCCTTGTAGCATACACCCTGTACAATCACAAAAAGTGCGCTTTTGAGACGGAGAATATTGCTAGGTCTTGCGAATAGTTACACATTCGGCATGTAATTATCCGATTGCTCTGGTCAAGGAGAGTGGCTCTCCCAGAATGAATATTAAATAGGTGAGGATGGGGAAGGGCAGGACAGCTCTGTTTTGCAAATGTACTACTATTATCTTCTCAAACTCTTGAGTGACTCTTAAGAAATGATAGCAAAGCAAAGACCGTATATAGAACTCCCAATCAACCATTGCTCGTGGTTTTTTCGACATGCGTCACCAGTAAATGCGAATAGAATCTGATTCATGCGATACCTATCTCGACGTCATCTAGAGACTCTGCCTTAATCTAGTACCTAAGCTGAACGGAGCACCCCCAAAGTCCCTCGCAACCGAAGTGGGGCACGCGGGATTAGGTCCGTCATGCTTGCTGTACGTACCGTGAGCATTCACCTTAGCTCAGCAGTTCAGCTTACAGTGACCATCGGAATTGCCTAAGTGTTTTATGGCAAGTGACACGATCATGTAGTCCTATAAGGTAGGCTTTGTTTTCTTTGGTGCATCGAACTTGAATAATCTGCAGGCACGTCAACCATCACCAGCTCAAAGGAGCACGTGTGATGCTTGATGGGTTCGTATCGTGTAATCAAGACAACTGACTTCAAGCATATTCACATCAGGGTAAAACTCTACTATTTTTCGACCGAGAGTAGCCATCTTGTGGCACATACAGCCAAGAAATTAATCAAACGATCGATCATTCAATAGATAAGCAACTCTCTTTTATCATTTTATCATTAAGATATCTTGTCAAGAATGCCTCACTCATAGCCTGGAGGGCATCTCTCTACTTCAAGTTTCATATCCATAATGAGGCTGAGCTCCGGGCAATATTCAAATATGGCCTTTCGCTGCGCAGGGTCTTTCCACACAGTGTCATTCCACACAGTGTCAGGCAGCACGCTGCCGCCATCTCGCAAATAGAAGCCCATAACACCAGCGACATAAGCATGCTCAATGGCAAGTTGATCCTTTAAATCATATGCCACCCGGGCGCCTGGTAACGTCCTTATCTTGTTTCCGAACCACTCGTCTTCGGGCCATGAATCATTGACGCGCCTCTGAGACATCAACATAGTCTTTATAGTTGATACCTTACGGAGAGACAGCCCACCATTGCTGAAAGCTTTATCCTCTGGTGATCTTGCGGGTACACTTTAGTTCACATGGGTCTCTTCTATATTGCTTGCGATAGAACTTACCCCAGCGTTCCCACCCAATCCCAACCTAACCAGTCGTTGAGACTTGACCCCGAATTTGCGCACAGAATGCTATCAGCGTCATACCGTAACAGCCACTCCACGTCAGGCAGAAATTCCTCGTAAAACCGTCTGTCAGTGAGAGCTCGATAGACGCCTTCCTTGCTTTCGATATACCAAGGCTCGGGAAGGGTCATGAGTTTCAGTTTTCCCAGAGCCTGCTGGTATCTGGTGGAATGACTTTGACTGACACTCGAGACTGACTCGCTGGATCCGATAAAGACAAAATGCCAGTCGGAAGGTACCACGGAAATCATATGAAGGAGTTGTGGGACAAGGTATGGTAATGGGCGAGGTTCGATTAGAAGGACGACCTTAGATGTATTGTAGACGGATCGAGTATCTAAGACAGCATCAGAGACTTTTTTTTTTTTTCTCAAAACCGCTCTTCATATACAGCGAAGATTTCTATTTGGCCATGTAAGACCTACTTTGGAATGATGGTATTTGAGGTCGATGATACGGAATAAAGCTTATGGTATACCGTCTAAATCAGAAGTCAAATAAGGAACTTGAGTATTCATTGGAACGTGGTGGGCATACAAGATGGCTAGCGACAATACCAGAAGCGTTGTGAGCCTTGTCAATGTGCGAATGCCCACGAATGGCGAGCTTCTAGCAGCAAGGACCATAGCTACGATTGCGGTTGCGGTTGCGGTAACACCGCATGGAAAAATCGCGTCGCCTGAAGGACAACTGATCAGAACATGAACACCAATGAGAGATTATTGGCCATGGAGAAAGGTATACATATTTTGGAGTTCCAGGCTTTGCGGTATGTTGTCTCGAGAAATGTGGAAAAAGAACCACTCCTAGAGTATCCATTAAATTGGGCAATTGAAGGTTACTGAAGACGCAACATGTTAGTTAGAATCAAACCTGCAGGTACCGCTTGGCGATCCGTGCATATAAGGAGCTGCATTATGTGAAGTGAAGTTGAACAATGTATTGTTGCTGTTGGACCAACTAACCTAGTAATGATGCTTGGAAACAATTCAATAGCCAATGGTTTGATTCGGACATGGTTCTACATATCGGCTCCTCACCGAACTATCCAAAAGTTACAAAGCATGGCGGCCCTGTTGCAATTCTATAAGCCTTGGATCCTGGATAGGTAGCAATGTGGACGCTTACCACGGCTTCAATCCATACGACCAATATGATTGGCATCAGTAACACTTTCAGTAGTTTTTTTTTTTTTTTTCAAATTACTATTATATTTCACCAGACTATATAGCAATCATCTGGTATAAACTTTGCAGCATCCATAGCCAGTATCATTTTAATCTCCGGACAGTAATTCCAGATATGATTCCTCAGCTCTGGCGTACCCCAGATATCGCTGCCAAAAGTCGTTCCGCTGCCTCCAATATGGTAACCCATTGGCTCGTAAAAAGCCGAATGTGAGTCTTCAGCGCCGTCAAGAAAGTTGCCATGTACTGAACTTGGATCCGCAGTCACACCAGCGTAAGTCTCCCCAGCAAAACTCAACGACGTTGTAAAGTTGGCCATTTTTGCGCCGTGTCGATGAGCAAGTCTTTTTGAAAACCACACATCTTCGGGTTCAGATCCGTCCACCCTAGTTTGGGTACGTAAAACCTCAATGATACTGCTGACACGACGCAGAGATAGTCCACCATTGCCTCCATAATGATGACTGACGTTCCATGGTGCACCGATCCAGTCAAATTCAAGATAGTCGTCGATACTTCGACGACTATTGGCGCAAATGATACTGTCGGTCTGGAATACCAAAACCCATTCGGCTGGCCGCAGTACAGTTTCGTATAACCAGAGACTAGTCAGGAATCGACTAATCATTTCTTGACTGGCAGTACTCATATTTGACGGGATATATTTCAAGTCGAGCTTGCCGTTGGTAACATGTTCACGAATTGCGGCAGACTTATTGATATGTGCAACTGAGTCAATCGAACCCATAAACATGAATCGCCAATCTGGGGGTAGGACATAGATGAAATGTAGTAAGAGGGGCGCAAGACTCGGCATAACGCGATCCTCAATGAGCAGAGCGACTTTGCTGGCATTATATGGTGTTTCTGGCATTCTTGATTGTTCATAATCGTTTTTGGACTTTGCAAGCATATCCACGGTCTCGTACATAGCCCATAGACCTGTTAACCTAAATCTCTTTATAAGCATCATACACCATGAACATTGACAAAAAGTTGCTTTTACCATAACACAAAACCGCACATTCGTCGTATACGCTTATTTCCAAGCATACCTAGTGTATACATCATCGCCACCAGCTTTCCCGTATGCCTTTTGCATTTACTGGAGTCCAGTATTATGAGTCTAAGAATCTTCAAATCCCGATACACAGTGGAGTAGGGAAAGACTCTCAAAGGAGAAAAGCCAGAAAAAAAAAAAAAAAAAAAGAACTCTCACTTCAATTCGATAGCATCTTGTTCATGGGTGAACGCCTCGAGTTATGTCAAAGCCGATTGCAGAATGCGCTTGAATTCGAATGCCCTCTGGCCCATAATCTAAGATCATTGTTACCATGTATATCAGATCATCCAGGGTGTACATCAGATCAGCCAGGGTGTGCTTTAGATCAGTTAGGATGTATACACCGCTGTATGATTGGCCGTTTTACGCAGGTTGTTCTTGCTTGGTCCTTGGGCTCAAGGCTGGCATAACGACCAGCTCTTTCTGTTGGCCGCTTTTTGATAATACGGTCAAGGCGCGGCTCTTTGGTCTTGGTATATAAGTTGATAGAGTAGTATTTGTCCAAACGATGCAAATCATTCCTACAACGCATTCTCTCGCAGACATAGCATTATCCCTTTACAATGAAAGTCTCGATTTCCCTGTTCATTTCGCTGTTAACTATTTTAGTTAATAGCAGTGCCGTACCCACCATCGAAGTGCGAATGCCTCAGCCTAGTCGCCCGTCGGCTGCCATCGACGTTGAGGATGTGAATAATCAGGCTTAAACGGGTGCTTACCATGCGAAGTCCAATACGACGGTCCTATACCGCTGGTCGGTCGCTCAATCGGCCTTGGAAAACCGGATGTGTGAGCAAAACTTTATCCTTCTATGACGGGCAATTTTAGTGACTCGTATCAGCAACACTCTCAAAGTATTAGTGAATGCCTTCTGGGGGCAGTGGTTGCAATGTCACGAAGTGGAAGATGGCATTAATGCTCATATAAAACAATGGACGTTTGGTTTGAACTTTGAAGAAGACATAGTTAGGCGAGAGACGTATTGTGCATATCAATATATTCCGTTGACTAATTTATGGCCTGCCGGAATTTCATATCTTGAAGAACGGGATCTGTATGTAACAAGGTCTTCCAATGGAACGTCAGGTCACCATATGCTATGCAGACTGATTCTTGCAGCAGAGCTGCGCTAACTAATCCCTCGTGTGGCGCTAATGGCCACAGTGGCTGTGCGCGGCACTGCTGCGCGTTGCCTTACGCTAGGACTTTCAATTCCGCCCTCGGCTTGCTGCCACCAAGACTACTACAACCAGAGAGCAAACCACGTTCATTGTGACTCAAGACCAGCATCATCAGGTTGTATGTGCCTGTAGTAGTGACATGATGGCATCGCCTCAGCTTGCGATTGCCAAGGTGTCGTTCTCTGCTGTTCTACTTCGTCCCGATCCTGTTTCCTGCTCGCGCGCCGACATCGACGACTTCCTTGGCCAGCTCGACGCGACCCTTCTGCGGTGCTCTCCAGCCAACGTTCAGGTTTGAGAAATAATCTTGACATTGTTAGTGTCTGTGCGACAACTAAAATCATCGTCACATTAGAAAAGCAAGCAATGGATACTGCATCATGTAGTGCAGTCACCAAAGCGAATTGCTGCACTGGGAAAATATCTTACCGCCCTGGCCAGCTCCTTCAATGTCGACCTCGCAGCTAGCAGAAAGGCTCGGGAGCCTTCATCGAAACGGAAGCGACTGCACATTTTGTTTCTCTTGAGTGATGTGCTATACCATGTCTGTGTCAAGCAGAGAGAAGGCAGCTTTTCTACCCAACTAGAATCTTTTCTGCCGTCGCTGGTCCAGAGCGCTGCTGCATTTGCAAATTGCCCGAAGCACGCCAAGAAGATATCCGACCTCATCGACCTGTGGAACGAGGAGAAATACTTTTCGTCTACATTCATCCACAAGCTGCAAAACACTGCTCGGGATGCGCCCAACTCAGATCATGGGTCAACTCAACATGGTGACACTGACAGTGCTCCAGCGCCCGGCACGAAGCTCTCCAAGGATGTCCCATACGTCATGCCTGCCATGCACGGAGATGCGAATGTCCCGTGGTACGACCTGCCTGCTGCCAACTGGCTTCCCGTTATTGAGCCAAACTCGACACGACCAATGAATCCGTCCATGATCAAACCGCTCCAGCTAGTGCCGGGACCTGCAGACAAGAGTTTGGTTCAAGCTGTGCAAAGTCTGTTAGCCGACGTGGATCGTATATATGCCAAAGACTCGTCTTTTGGTGACCACCCATCTGACGACTTGGATATGCTGGGCCAACGATTTGTTCTTGATGGAGCAACAGGCCATATGGTCGGAGGCCAGACGTATTATGGATGGTCACGCGATTTCTGTCAAAAGATGAAGCAACGTCGAAAGAAGAAGACCAATTGCTCAGAGGGCGATGACCGTGGACGAAGCCTCTCCCGATCGGCGTCTCGGAGCATCAGTCGCAGCCTCTCACGGCCTGCTTTCAAGAGGCAGCGGGCTCCAGACTCCCGTAGCCGCAGTAGGACCCAGAGTAGAGATCGCAGTCGCCGACGCAGCTTTAGTAGAGATCGCTACCGGCGACGCTCATTCAGTAGATCGCGGTCTTCATCTGTACGAAGGCCTCGTCGATACTCGCGTTCACGCTCACGTTCACAAGACTACGGCCCACCGCCTAATCCAGGTCCGCCTCGGGACCATAACAAGCCCGATTACAATGGCCATCATCAAAATTCTTCCAATTTGACTCCCCAACCGCCGTTTCCTGCCCCAAACTTCCCGTTTGGTGTCAGTCCTCCCCCTCCGCCGCCCAACTGGCAAGGCCCTTGGCCTCCCCCTCCCCCTCCACAAATGGCGGGAGCAAACTGGATGTCAAGCATGTCTATGCCCATCCCACCACCTGCGCATGCTGGATGGGCTCCAGCGCCTCCACCACCGCCTCCATCGGTATCGCCACTCGATCACCAGCAAGGCTATAATCAATTCCAGCAAGGGCATCATGGCTCTCGTGGAGATTACAGAGGCGGACGGGGTGGCTATCGGGGGAATCGCGGTGGTTGGTAATGTCGCGTTATGTAAAAGTATGACGAACAGCACGATTGACAAGTATGTTTTACAAACTACTCAAATTCCAATGGTCGTATGAGGAGAATGACTGGCATTAGACCTGCCAACACCCTACATTGCTCAAAGTGTAAGCTGAAAAATGGCCAGAGCATGAGTCAATAGTATCGATGCGGGGCAGTTCTACAGTTGCATGAACGTCTTATGGGGAAATATGAGATATCGTAACTGCATTGTCCATCATGTCTTTACGGTTGAAGGCCTAATTCGTACTTGATCTTTTACCTCTTGCCCAGTCGCCCTCTTGTTTAGGATTATTGACTATGCCGCGCTGCCGTGGTGATGTGATTACGGACGACTAGCATTTGGGACTCATAAGACATTGTTTGCTCTGATTTCAATGACAAGTCTTGGTTGCCCCGATAACTTGTTCCAGATCCATGACTATAGCAACATAGCCATGGCATTTCCCTCTTACGCGGGTTGTCCTGCCGGTCACTCGGCCAGTGGAAGCAGAGTGTTTGTAGCAGACAAATAAGACGCCATAGTGATTATACCCTCGCCTTTAGGCAATAGAAGGGCGCAGTGGGTGAATGGTGGCAAGTCCAAGATAACCTTCAAACCTGAAGACCAGGCGTTCAAATTTAAGAAATAAAATTTAAAAGATTCTTTTCACCGTCTTCCTACCACCTGGTTTTTGTTTCAAGGGTCGACAGGCTACTGACCGCATTAATGTCATGACATACCATTGGCATTTACCAGAGCTCCTAGTCGGGTAGATCTCCAGCAGTGGTAGGGACCTCGTCGTCTCCATCGTCTTCGTCATCTTCGTCACCTTCATCACCGTCTTCCACCTCGTCCCCTCCCTCGAGCATCATACTTTCATCAAAGTCATCATCTTCTTCACCATCCTCATCGGCTTCACCCTCGATCTCCTCTTCCAGGTCGCTATCCAGGATATGAGCCCATGCGTCGTCGGGGAACCGCTCCTCACCGCCGTCTTCGTCATCTCCTTCTACGGATCCTGCTCCGACGACCCCGGACTCGTCTTCACCCACCCCATCCGCTTCCTCTTCCACTTCGCTTTCGGAGCCCTTGTGGATGGCCAGTCCGTCGTCATCAGGTCTTGGTCCATCGGTTTCGGCCTTCTTCTTCCTAGGCCTCCTGATCTGGCGGCCTCTAAAACCCATAGCCGTCATGAGATCATTGGCCTGAGTCAAAGGGCGATGTCTGTACTTTAAGCCTTCCAGTCCAGAGACATCCACCATGTCGTACAACAACGTAGAAGGATTGACCTGTCCCCTAGCATGTTGGGGCTGGATATCGGCGTACCGATTCAGCTTCTGAAGGATATCAGAGTTGTACAGGAAGTTCTTCTTCTTGACCTCGTCTTCGTCAAAGCCCAGGCGTCCGTGGCGAATGGCCACCATTTTCGCCTTCATAAAGGCCTTGATCTTGGCCCAGGTGCCGCCGTACCACCAGCCGTCGGTCGCGATATCGCACTCGTCGCGCAGCGGAGCGTCGTTGATCAGCTTGATCAGACAGGGATCGGTAATGTCGCATATCTGCCAGAACTTTCCATTGGTACAATACTGCGTACCGTCCCATAGGTGGCTACGTGATGCTTCTTCCCTGGCCATGCTGCGCGCGATGCCATTCTTTACGGTTCTGTCGCCAGGAAGGCCTTCGAGCTTGAAGGCGAGCGTTTGGTAGATTCGGTATTTCGGGTCAGAGCGAGGATCAACTCCGTACTTGATGACGGCGTCACGCCATGGTCCACCTTTGAATTGGTATCCCACCAGTTGCACGGCAATCTTGAGACTGTTGTCAGAATAATAAGGAGCCACTCTTGTAATCAGGGCTCGTCTCGTCCAGATTGGCCTCTCTTCTAGGGCTACACGCATGCGCTCTAGCAGATCTTTTGGCACTTGACGCGAGTTAGCCATGTCTTTGGATGGGCCCGTCGGGATTGGGTAATAGTCGTGTTCGATGTAGTGACCATATGTCTTGGCGAGGCGACCTTGCACGTTGACCATGATGGCCTTGCCATGTTCGTCCACGCCGTCAACACGAACATATGGATTTTGTTCGTAGAAATAGTTGAACGGAACCACACGGTCTGTGTAGTAGGGTGGGGGGATGATCTCCTGGCCCTTTACAGGGTGAAGATTCGGATCGAATCTGAGCTCGCGTAGCTTGTCCACTTTCAGTGGTAGAATGTGATTAGTAACCTTGGTAAGATAGGGCATTTCGGTGGCGGAAAACTGAAAGTCGGCGAGACCATGGTAGCGGTGGGTATCGTGAATGGTTCCAATGGCTTCTGCTTGGTATCTGCCAGCAGTATCCTGCAGTTTGCGCAAAATCAACTTGGGATCATCCTCTCTGCCCTCGGAGCAAACGTGTTCAGAAGGCTCATCTTCGGAAGACTGAACCGCAACCCCGGTGAATGGCTCATCAGTGCCGCGCTTTCGCTTGCGACCTGTGCGCTTGGGTACGGTGATTTTCAAGACGACATTGTTTGACGCCGCATTATGCGACATGAGCGGCTTGGTGGTTGGTACATCAGGTCTCAACCACATAGGAAGAGCTATCCTGCCAGTATCATCGTCCATTAGCTGGCCAGTGGTTAGCAGAATTTCCTTCGGCGGTGCTTCGAAAAAGGGCAGCGGTTTGCCACACTCACTCGTTCATAATTAGCATTCCTCCCGAAGGTCTTGAGGCCATTGTCAGTGTTCTTGACAACACACGGATGCTCGACAGCAATGATCTTCAAGGGCGCCGCTTCAAAGTAAGGAGCGGCGTTGGGATTTTGTTTTGGTCCCTGCTTGGGGAAAAGATCTTTCAACCCGAGCATGATGAAGAATAAAATTTATCGAAAAAATTCTGTGGCAGATAATTGTTGTTCGCAGTAAGAGTATGGGTTGATGTGGCCCAGGCTCACCACATGTCATGGGGCATGTTTGCTTGGAGCATTTGTGAAATGCTTCCCCACGAGCAATGGTAGATAGTAGACGCTTGCCGAAGGTGTTTCACTTTGTTCGAAGCTGTCCTTCAAGGGTGTTGCCACTTGCCAAGGACACACTTGAGTCGAGATTGTTTGATTCCTTGTTTTCGATGATTTGATGAGTTGTTACAGTAGCGTAGCAAAAGAAAAAAAAAAGTATTCAGGATATTGCTTGATATCGAAAAAGGTGAATTGACTATGGCGATGTTCCAGGCTGTGTGGTGTAGAGCCAATCATGGCAGAGAAGCTGGTGTTGCATTTTAATCTAGGTCCCCAGCCGGCGGACAACTGACAATCTTTAGCCGAGAGCATGACACCGGACTGACGGCATTAACCACATCTAGACTCCAGTTTCCGTAATTACTATTGCATCCAAATTACCGAACGAGCATGGGCAGTTCAGTTTAGGTGTGATGATTCGTTTCAGACACGTGCCTCTCCCCGTACTACATAGTACTACGTACATACACAGTCCACCTTGAATGCTTGGGGTTCGCTCCACTGCGATTCGTGCCTCAGGGTTAATATCACCGCCATGTTGAGCCTTGGTTATTTTGTTGTATAATACCAGCCCACCGGAACGTCTGGAGTATCGGCGGGTTAGCGTAGATGCCCAAACCTTTTACGTTGCTTTTTATCGCCTTGTCATCACGGGACGAGTAGATGGGCATTGGCAGACAATGGGATTGTGTATCGGCATTGCCCATTCTTTTATTAGGGGATGCCCAGGCTTGGGTGACATTCAAGCAGCCAGCAACAGCTCACCTGGACACTTTTTAGCTCAGCTCGGACCATAGCTACGGAGCAAATGTAAGTAAGGCAGTAGTAACAGCGTAATAATGTACCCTACCAGCCAGTAGCAGCACGTCGCTGGGTGGCTGCGAGATCTGGCGTGGGCATTAGATTCTAGGTAAGGTACCTACCTAGCGTCAAGTGGGCGGGCAGGGACATTGGAGGGAGCCGGATTGGCGTTGAAGTAACATTAAAGATAGAATCTACCTACCTGGACCAATAACCTGGAAACCGTGTAGTCTTTTGGGTATTTCCAATCCAGTCAAGATGTCCAAGGTCACGTACACGTACGTGGAGGCCAGTGCGGTCAGGTAAACAGGCAGAATCACAGTTAGAAACAAGTTATTCTCGCATGGATCAAAGGAACTATTAAAAAAAAAAAAAAATCCAGCCTTCTTTTCTCGAATCAAAGGCTAATACTGATGTCAGCCAGGAAGAGCTCTGCGGCACCCGCAGCGCAAAGTACAGGTATCATTTAGTGGGTTTGCAGCCCATCTGCGTCTCCACCTTGACCTCATGCGCTGCAATCATCACCGGCCCAGGGCCCGCAGTGAACAATTTCGAGAGGCTGCGCCGGGCCTGATCGACCTAATCGTTTACCTTGACCTCTTTGCGCTGCTACCCCTTCTCCATACACTACTACACTCTTGACCCTGGAGAACCGTGTGATCGGCTTGCCCTACTCTCTTCTTCAATCTTTTCCTTTCCGTCTCCCGCACAATACTACTTACTTCTGCTGAAACATCCATGTGGTGAGCAGAAGAAAAGAATAAATACTGTCCAGGTTATCTACTTGCGAGCTGTTCCCTGCGTGGAAGCTCACCACCCCCCAAGAAGAGGTCCATCCGTTCCCCTGGATGATCTGCGGGCCGTACAGTATCGACGCCCCGTTATCCACTTCTCCACTTCCCTCGACGACCGCAGCCACCCCAACACATCACGACTTTCGACAGAAAACATTGTTCAATTCGACGGCGGCTGTGTCAAATACGGCCTTTTGTCACCGTCGCTTGCGCTGTAGATTACTGCCCTATTTCTCCTGCTCAACCCTCAGCTTCAACAAGGCCGCTGGAGCTTGCTGCCCTACAACAGTCCCGACGTGAGCCCCTCCATCGCGCCCCGTGCCTTGCTACCCGCCTCCTGGTGGCATCCCACGTTCGCCCCGATTCAACACTCTCACGCCTTCGATTGGGAAACGTCATCGGCCCGCGAGCTGAACAAATCTCGCCCCGTACCCGAGTGTTCCTCGTCGACACTGCGAGCCTTGCTTGCGACCCGATTTCCGAGGCTGCAGACCTGGCGTCGACTGGCGAGAACCTAATCTCCAAACAAACGCCCGCGAACACCACCCAGTCAACACGAACACTGCCTGCGAGAGCAGCTCGGCCATAGTGCCACATGAGTACCACCATGAGGCGTCTCAGCCAGAAAATGGTAAGTTCTTTGAGGTTGCGTGGCGTCGCGCTGCTCTCATGGTCTACGCAGGGAATGCTGACAATACAATCATTAGCTTCGCGGCAAGAGCGATAGCAAGTCGTCAAAGAAGAATAAGGACTCCAAAGACGGCACTGCCTCCCCCTCTGGCGGATCCCGAGAGTCTCAATCCCCCAACTTGACACCTTCGTCCTCAACGTCTACTCTGAACGATATCCGCAACAAGCCCCTGCCACCAAATAACAGAGGAGACACCGGCAATGCGGGCCAGACTGGCTCCCCTTCAGGTCAGGGCACTGCTGATAGATTCGGCAATTTGGGCTCTTCTCAAGGTTCGCCAAATGGTTCCGCCACGCCTAGCAGACATGGTTCTCTGCCACCCACAGTCGTTATCAGCCCTAGCGCTCCAGTGAGTAGTCACCTCGAGACTTGAGAAGTAGCGTTACTGACAAGTCAACTCTTAGCATGTCCCTCCTCCGGGTGCAGCTGAAACGATGCCTCACGATCTAGCTCCTCCTAAAGCTGGCCAGAAGTCCTTGATGTTTGACCGACTCCACCAAACCCCAAAGGATGTCCCCGAAGGTCTTCGAACTCCCAAGAGGCAGCATTCGTCGCGATTCGACATCTCGCTTCACCGTGAACTGGAGAAACTGCCTGGCTTCCATGAAGTACCACCCAATCGTCGCCAAGAGCTCTTCATGCAGAAGATTGACCAGTGCAATGTCATCTTTGACTTCAATGATGCTAGCGGTGATATGAAGTCCAAGGAAATCAAGCGTCTCGCATTGCATGAACTGCTCGATTATGTCGCCAATAACCGTCAGGTTATTACCGAGCCCATGTACCCACGCGTTGTCGAGATGTTTGCAAAGAATCTGTTCCGACCGATTCCGCCTCCTATGAACCCCCAGGGCGAGGCTTTTGATCCAGAGGAGGACGAACCTGTCTTGGAGGTCGCATGGCCGCATATTCAGGTGGTTTACGAATTCTTCTTGCGATTCATCGAGAGCCAGGACTTCAACACCAACATTGCCAAGGCTTACATTGACCACAGCTTTGTCCTCCAACTTTTGGAGCTCTTCGATTCTGAGGATCCTCGGGAAAGAGATTTCCTCAAGACGACACTGCACAGGATCTACGGAAAGTTCTTGAACCTCCGATCCTTCATTCGCCGATCAATCAACAATGTCTTCTTCCAGTTCGTATACGAGACGGAGAGATTCAACGGCATTGCCGAGCTTCTTGAGATTTTGGGCTCCATCATTAATGGTTTTGCCCTACCTCTAAAGGAGGAGCATAAGTTGTTCCTGACCAGAGTGCTGCTTCCCCTGCACAAGGTCAAGAGTCTCAGCATGTACCACCCTCAGCTAGCTTACTGCATTGTGCAGTTCCTGGAGAAGGATGCATCACTCACTGAGGAGGTTGTACTTGGTCTTTTGCGATACTGGCCCAAGGTCAACAGCACCAAAGAGGTCATGTTCCTCAACGAAGTGGAAGATATATTCGAGGTCATGGACCCTGCCGAGTTCGCCAAAGTCCAGGAGCCGCTTTTCCACCAGCTGGCCAAGTCGGTCGCAAGCCCTCATTTCCAAGTCGCTGAACGTGCGCTATACTTTTGGAATAATGAGTACTTTTGCAACCTCGTCAGCGACAATGTTGAGATCATCCTCCCTATCATGTTTGCACCGCTCTATGAAAATTCTAAGGGACATTGGAACAGGTGCGTATTTGTTTTCCTGACGACATTGGCGAATCAAAGCTAACATCAATAGAACGATCCATGGCATGGTATATAACGCTATGAAACTGTTCATGGAGATCAATCCGCAGCTGTTTGATGACTGTTCCCACGAGTACACTGAACAACAGAACAACGCCCCGGCGCGTGAGGCACTGAGGGAAAGAAAGTGGCAAGCCATCAAAGACCAGGCCGGCAAAGGCAAAACGGCCAACGGTGTCCATGAGCTTGATCAAAGCGAGGATAACCAGAAGCGTCTCGACTCGTTGAAGTTGGACAGTGATCGGCGAGACCGTCGTCCCGCACATGAGCGGCAAACCTCGGTAGGCTCTTCCAGAAGCCGGTGATTTGGTCGTTTTTGGTCATTTCCTCGCAAAAATTCTTTTTCGCCTTGTTCTTTCACGATAGACTTTTTAAAGCGATTATGACCCAGCTTATGACACTTGGTTTCAGCGATTTTCACAAAAAACGATTCCCTCCTCTTTTCCGGCTTAACCACCCCATCCTGCAATGTACTGTTGTTTTCACCGTGCCCTCGATACAGTCCCAAACTGCAAGCCAATCTCGAAGTCCTCCGGTATTAACTATTAGTTTGTACTGCAGGAACCGATTGAACAGGAAGATGTACAAATGGACAGACCTGATACGGAAGAAACATAAGCTGCTCGCCATTGGAGCTCAGTACAACCGGCTGAATGAAATCGACTGCCAAAAGTTTCCTGGTTGAGGCTCGCTCTCGCTTTCTTTGGTTTACGCTCACCTCGAGGGGCTCGAAAGCCACACTGTTTCTAGACGCTGGCAGGCTTTGGATGCGGACAGAATGCGATCGCTCGTCTGCATGGCTTCTAGCACAACGGTTCACTCATGTTGGGCTGAGCATGTTTCCTAAAGCAAGGCGAGGGTTAAATTATTTCTTTCTTATGGCGATCCTCACCTGGTCATCAGTGAGCGGATGGCCCGATATTTCGAATGTCAACTGCCATGTGCCTATTCAGTTGAGGGCGGCACATATTTGCAAATGTGTTGGTTGAGCTCGTCAATGGAAGATCGCAAGGCAGCGCCCTGGAGGGCTGCAAATATCGATCGGCAGCATACGTCTTTGGGGGGCAGTCGAAAACGTGTCAGATAGGTGGTCTTTCACACAAACTTTGCTACACTTTTAATGTAAGGCCACTTGAGGAGCAATATTCATCTCGTCAGGAGTTGGGAAGGCTAGGAAATGCAAAAGGCCGCAATCAGAGGCTCGTTTTTATTACAATCTGCTATGATCATGACTGTTTACACATGGATAATGTTACAAACTGACACCTCGCGCCCAAGACAAGGATGCTGCTTACTCTGCTAGAGGCTGCTGCGCAGCAACTGCCTTCTTGTTCTGTCGGTCTCGGACATCCTAGAAGCGGAAGAGTCAGTGGGTTTCCGTTTATACCACGTAGCAATAAATTTCAAGCGAGGTCTGGCAATGCTTACCTGCCACGCCTCATCAAATCCGGCATTTCGAACCCAGGTGGGACCAGGAGCTTCGACCGAGTCGACAACCATGTGGGCAATCTGATCCCATAAGTCTCCCTTGATAATCATCCACTCCTTGTGCTCGTAGGGCTTGCTGACTTCTCTGCCGATACCAATGGCCCGGAACAACTTAATGGCATGCCCATCGTCGACAAAAGCGTGCATACGCGGCAGCAAAGCAGCGGCCGGGCCCGGGTTCGAGGCCGTGGGCACGTATGCGCGGATGCGGTCGAGGTCAAGATCAGGCGACCCGCGCGCCGTGTACTGTATCAGGTCCATGCGAATCTTCCACTCGAGCAAACGGACCTTGAGGGGCATGGGGATCCAGTCCTGCCGGTTGAGGGTGATGAAGATGGGGTTCACGTTGACGTGATGCATGAGAAAGAATTCATACTTGGGGTCTTTTTCGCCACCCCCGTTCTTGTTGTGGTGCAGAGCGGCTGCCGAGGCAATATAAATGGCTGCATTGTACCTGAGGAGTAGCAAATGTGTTAGCTTCTCGGATATTCTTTGATCGTGTAGGAATTTCCACCCAGTGTTTATCGAGCTACAGCTGACAGGAAAAGGATATTTCCCGGGACAGAATATGGGACCGGGAAACAAATTCTCAAAAAGACGGGCTCTCCTAGCAAAAGCATGCCAACGATTCCCGAGAGCACGACAAGATTTTGAACTTTCTTACATTTCGGCAGTGCGCTCCTCGAGTTCTTCGGGCATGACGCGGACGCGCGCCGCGAGCCGCATGGCCGAGTCCCGTGCCCGCGCGAGGACGCCGTCGCGGACCTTGTTGCCGTCGTCGAGGCGAGGCGAGGCCACGAGGTCCCGGTCGGCGGCCGCGTCGCGCAGGAGCTCGCCGATGCGCGGCATGGGCGTGGTGGCCGACTCGTGGGCGCGCGTCTCGGCTTCCATCATGAAATCGTGGAACTGGTCCGAGTGCACGCAGGCTTGGGCCAGGGCCATGGCTACGATGGCGGGTTGGTCCCATTCCACGCCGTACACTTTTGGGAGGGTTTTCCTGTGTTAGTCTGGTTCTTCATTCGCCTTGTGGACGACTTGGGGTTTGCTTGAATGAGGGAAGATGGCTTACTGAGTTGGATCAGTGGGTGAACGAAACCCGCAAACATGCGAACCTGCATGTCCTCGGAACGTGCATCGTTTTCCTTGAACATGTATTCGGCGAGCACTTTCTGCCAGGAGCCATGATGTTCAATCTCGTGCTGGAAAAAGTGTAGCCAATCCGTGTAATCTGTATCAAGTGATGTGGTCAGCCACGCCTCTACATGATGTATTTCAAGACGAATTTTAACGGATTGCCAGACTTACACTGTCCCTTGCCAAGGCGCTTCTTGGCCTTTTCCCAGTCTCGTAACTCATCGATTAGAGTTTGGGAATGCGCCTTCATGGCAGGGCGCTGATAGCCCTCGTTTTCTTTATAGCCACTGACTAGATCCTGGGCTGAAGCGCCGGTGCCGTAGAGGGCCAAGATTTGGTGGCTTATACTAATTGATAGTGTCAATATTGTTTTTGATGAGGAGCTTGAAAGATACGGAAAAGCAGAAGAGTGAAAGTGAAGAGAGTTAAAGTGAGATTTACTGGTTGTGAAAACCATCATCGTTGAAAAAGACATGGTGCTTTTCAATATCCTTTGTCAAAAGTTCCGTGGCCTTGTTGGCAGCTGCCTCGGTCTGGTCAAAGTGCCAGAGACCAGTATTCTCGGGGGTAATCTTGACTGCGTAGGGGGTCGCCATGGTGTTGAGAGATCTGTAAGTAATGTTTGCTGCGAAAATTGGGTTGCGTAAAAGCCGGAGTGCACCTCTTGTGAGATTCATTGACTTCTTGAGATGTTCTCCCAAGGTGCTGGACCTGGGATGGATGAGCGGCTCGAGCCGGAGTTATAAATACACCAAGTCCTCTGTTGGTATAGTGTGTATACACCTTGGGAAGGCGAAACAGTATGTCAATTGCATACAATTGTGAATACCTATAATTAGACTTTGTCAATCGAGCAAGTATCGGCGGGTTTAGACAACAGTAACTGTCTTTCGTCCGAATTGACCGGAACTATGACGAATATTCAGCGGTCATAGAGAGTTGATTCCTCATTCCAATACCTGCTCTGATTGGCGCGTGCGTATGTGGTCATGTTGACGAAACCAAGAGAGAAAGGCCTTGAAGGGGGGAGCATTTGGAGAAGACGGGAGTTGGAGCTATACGACGATGTATTGATTGACTTGGCATTGATGTCATTGGCTCTTTTCCTCAGCTTGCTACCCCGGATTCCATTTGCTCACATAATGTTGCCGTTGGCACACTACACTAAAAACGGCTATCCCCGGCCATTCGGACCGCGAGCGGAACACCGAGTTGTCCGCGATGAATAAGCAGCCTTGTTTTATAGACACGGTGTTTGTTAATCACTTATCTGATTCGCCGTTTTTATCAGATCTTATTGTCTAGGCTACCATTCTCTTAGTATGCTGCCAAGGCTTTGATTCCTCAGCTTTGACTCATTTCTTGAATCATTGTATCTTGCCGTGGAGATGGCATGTGTTTCTGAAATGAAGCGACATTCAAAAATGTGTAATCCTTTTTGGAGAGGCCATCTCAGAATGACTGTGCATACACAACTTATATGGCGGATGGAATTTATTCTTGTTCGTGTAGTAAAGATTGGTCATATTTATAAGGGAGGCTGTCGAAATTCGTACGGAAATATTGGTATAAAATGCTCTAGCCTCGTGGTTTTGATTTGTTTTGCCTACTTCTTTTCCTTCGCTGAGGCTGTTTCTAGGCGTTTTCTATCCCAAACCAACTAGAACCACAATCAAGTGCCATGTATTTACCCTATGTCTCCACATATAGGTATCCCCAAGCATATTTCTCGATATTTATCTTCTTCTCCACCAATCTACCGTGAGCTTTAGAAACTAGTACGGTCCTGGGAAGTGTGACTTTTTGACCTCGAACAATCTAAGGATGGGATTTTCAATGTCAGATCTTGGCAGAAGAGTTAGTCATATAAGACAGACTGTCTGGTAGGAATCTCGTAGCGTATAATGCTAATCAGCTCGCCCTTCATTCCCTTCATCATCCATTAGGTAGTAATGTTTTTTGACAAGCATAGTCGGAGGCCTTGATAGTTCCGGCATCATGCGCAGTCGACAGTAGGCATATGGGCCAAACCCGGGTCTCGGGCAAGTCTTGGCCATTGTTTTTGGAAACTCACAAAGCAGCATCCACCCTGCCCATATCCAGCGCTTCTTTGTTGGCAAGGAATTTCCTGTCTATCCTCCTAGGAGAGAACACCGTGCCTCTAATGGGCATCGCTATGCATCCGAGTTCGGCAGGCTTCGGCCAAAACTCATTGATAGCTGGTGCCGCTATCGCTGTACTCATGACACATTGTGATATCTGATTGAGATTTCTCCGTCGATATGGGCTAAGTTCGTAGGCGTCTCATCTGGACCTTTGTCACCTCGAAATAGCTGTACACCCGCCAAAAGATTTCTTTCTGAGGACTGGAGTACACACATTTTAGCCCAGAGGGTTCGGCTCTAGAAGTTTACCTGCTCGACGATCGGTCCACATCAGTGATTTTCCGCCAGACGTATCCTCTCAACTTGTCACAAGCTAATCACTTCTTGACTTTGTCACGACTCGACGTCCTCGCCTCGTATGTGTCGCGTGAAGCTTGTCTAATCGCGGTCCATTGATGTGCCTGCAGCGCTGGCACACCTCCAAACCAGGATCTCTGTTGCCAGACTGCCGTGTCTTAGCCTAAACCTTTGGGAAACATACCGGCAAAAAAAAGGGAAAAAAAATGTACCTTTGCAACAGCGGTGATACCAACCTTGAGAAAGGACTGCCATACCATGATAGCCCCATCGAGATTGTCTTGTATGTATGGGCTCGTTATGACTGCAAATGTGAGAGGAATTACCGCCCGGCCAGTCAATAGGCTACATTCACCATTTCGATATGAGTTCAGAGGCTCGGAGATGGATGTAATTGTCTCGAGCTTGAATAGATTTCCTCAGTTGATCAGTTGAAAGCGACGTTCGCAACTCTTGAAATATCACAATATTGGTTAAAACTCCACTGACTTTGGAAGAACGATCCACAAGAATTGCCACGCCGCCAGTATCTTGGGTTGAAGCCTAAATACTTGTCTAGCCAAGTGTATTGGAGTTTGGGCGGCCACCAAATAGGCGTTGCCAAGGCGCCTAATAAGGGTCTCTTGCTATGCTGTCTAGTAGTTTACAGCGCTGCAAGTGCTTACAGGATATGCCTCCATTTGGCTGATCTTCCTAGACCCCTAAACTCACCGCAAGTGGTGTTTTCCAGGCACGTCAGATTTAGCGGATGGCCATAGATAACAATGAATCGCCTACATATCCATATGACTCTTCCGGGTGTGCTTCTCTCGAGCATTAGTATCCATTGTTATGTAGACGATGACTGAGATTCCAAATTTATCAAGTGCCGTGAAGGATTCCCAAAGGATTGCGTTCCGAGCCGGCGGTACGAACTAAGCATAACAACTAACCTTGATTGTTCTCATGGGTGTAAGTCGGTTAGTAGACTAGGGTTGGGCTCAGCTAGGACGTGGTGCCATGGCTCAACTCCACTCTCATGGCTATCATATACCTACCCATCATCATCCATCAAATCAACTTTTGGGAGAATTAATTTACAAGCAACAAAAAGGGAATGGCCGGCACAAGTTATGTTTACCTATCTCTTTGAATTTGTATTCATATCAATCTTGAACCATTTTTGTACACTACTTTCCCAGGTATATACTAACCGCAGGCTTGGAAGCTAAAATTCCCCAGACCAGCTACAGTCCTGCCTGACCTACCAGAAATGATCTCCCAGTCGCCCAAGTGGGACAATCAAAGATATCAAAGGGAGATTTCCAGCATCTTGAAATCACATAGCAACCCCCTGCCGAAACTGAAAATTATATTGGAGAGAAAGCCCTCCCTAAACAAGGAAGAAAAAACAACAACAGGGGTTTGTGTCTAAAAACAGCTGGTGTAAAGTTCCAATTTAGACAATGCTGCCAAGCATAGCGCTAGAGCTACTACTCCCTGGCGCCTTTCCGTTTGAGCAATGAAGAGGCCATGTCTAGGCCTCCTTCGCTTCAAACATCCTAGCCAGCTGAAGTGCTTTCCCGCTCTTTTGCCGCCATGATTTTGCCATCATGTAGACAATCTCATGGTTGGGAAAGATGTTTCTTTCTTTCACCTTCTCTTTCCTACTTATTCTGCTGCATCCCGTGCGAAGCATATCGAATATACCCACGCGTTTTTGCGCGTTGGCGTGTCATTCAAGCCGTGACAAGAATTGACACGAGAAAATAGGACTCTGTCTGGCTCATATTCAGGGGAGGGCTGACGCGATGCTCACCGCATTGCTGTTCTCGTTCCTATGGGCAAGTCCGGCGCTCGCTGGAGTGGACAACCCAACTCCCGCCAACTTTCTTAGACGCCCATATGCCAATGCAGTGGTGCTGGGAGACTATGTCTACATTGATGGTGGCGAGCTTGCGCAGCTAGAAGATGGGGAATACAACGGAGACCACCCTTCGTATCCAGGTATGTACAAAAAGTCTCGGCGAGGAGATACGAGAAAAGACGAATCTGTGAAGATATCATCTTGAAAACACACTTTATGGATCGAGTATAGCTAACCAACGCATAGTCAACACAACCTTGTCCTTGCCTTTGAATGAAGCATGGACCAATGATTCAGTTTCATTGCGGTCCATTGAAAAGGCTGCACCGCCACAAGACCAGCAAGTATTGTGGTCGGATCCTGCCAACTCTGCCTTCTACACATGGGGTGGAATGTCTGCCTGGTTTGGCGCGGCCGTGGAGAACGAGATCTGGAAGTTCACGGCTGATGGCTCGGGCGGTGGCGAGTGGTCAGAGGTGTCGGTCTCCAATGTGGTGGCCTGGTCCAACTCGATACGAACAGTAGGCTCGGCCTACACGACCGTCAACGGCATCGGCTACTCAGTTGGAGGAACCGCGACCAAGTATGTGGATACGAGCATCACGGGCGACAGTCTCGCCGTGCAAGGTCTCGTCACCTTTGATATGGGGGAAAGCCAGTGGAAGAATGCGAGCTCCGCCGGATTGGGTGCCAATGGCACGACCTTCAACGGACGCCTCGAGTATGTCCCCTTTGGACCAAGTGGTTTCCTGATCCTCCTCGGTGGTTCGGTAGCCCCCGTCGGCGCGCTTCTCGAATACGAGCAATTGGAATGGAACAATATTTGGATTATGAACTTGGAAGACAACACTTGGCACAACCAAGCTGTAACGGGAACGAAACCAACTAAGCGGGAAGGTCACTGTACTGTTGGCGTTCAGGGGCCCAACGGAACCTACGAGATGTAAGTCATCTTGAGCTGGTCTTGGGCGTGCTGTATACGAGCATACTGACATACTGTAAAGCTTTATTCACGGAGGCTCCTCGGACCAGACACAGACCACATCCCCCGATGTCTACGTCCTCTCGCTACCAGGGTTCGTCATGTTCAAGTCGCCAAATCCAGGTACGCCTCGATCAAACCTGGCCTGTGTGACCGTGGGCCGCAACGACAGCGCCACGACAAACCGCCAGATGCTCGTAGTCGGCGGCGGCAACAGTTGGCTCGGATTTCCAAACTCGCTGGTGGACCCAGATCCCTGGGCTCAGGGCTTAGGAATCTTTGACTTGACCGACATGTCCTGGAGCGACTCGTATGACCCCGATGCTGCCGCATATGACAGTCCCGATGTTGTCAAGACGTGGTACGATCAGGGAGGATTGGACGCGGTGGACTGGGACAGCGACGAGCTCAAGACGTTATTTGTGGGAGGGACCAACTCGTCCAGCACCAATGGAAACGGGACAGCCTCGGACGGCACATCGTCTTCAGGGGCGAGCACAGACTCGGGCAACTCCGACACGGGAGCCAGCTCTGGATCGAAAACTGGAGTCATAGTAGGCAGCGTGGTCGGTGGTGTAGCCGGGCTGGCCATCATTGCGCTGGCCTGCTGGTTTTTCATCCGAAGACGCAAACACATCTACGCACCTGCCAAGGAGCTCGATGGAAATGCTGGTGTGCAGCAGACGGGGGCAGTATATTCACAGCCGCCGGGATACTACCAGACTGGGCAGGAGTTTGAGTACAAGGAGATGCCGGCGAATCAGGCGCCGCAGGAGCTTGATAGTCAGCATACCACTTCCTACGCGCCCGACACGCAGTTTGCAGGCCCCGGAGCGTATCAGCAGCCCGGCCTGCCGCATCACTCGGGACAGATGCACTACACTGATCCACATGCTGGTCAGATTTACGAGGCGGGCTCTGGATATAATCAGCACCAGGATTACGAGGTGGGATATTCTGGGCATCATTAAGCCTGTTATCTAGAAGCATCTTGTAATCAAAGACGAATTAATATCGTATGTCTGAATCTCTGATCAACCCGCCTAGGAAGATCTTGACCTTACCCAGTTACAAGTTTAATGATTCAATGAGTACTGAAGCAATTGATAATGAACTATACAGTATATCGTTTCTTAACCAGTAATACATCGCGATGGTGTATTCAGTTTAGTCTGTTTCCTGTGCTGTCCATTCCATGAACAAGGTTATGGGGGTAATCATGTAGTTGTTTATCCAACCAGATTATAAGCGACTGACTGTGGTTCAGACTCAGCGGTCACATTCGCTGTCACATCAACTGAATTCAAAGCCGTTTCGCTCAGTGGTTCATCATTTTTTTTTTCTTCTTACTCGTAATATACAGTCGAGTCAATCTCTGCCTTGCCCAGATTGAATACCTTACGTGGTTCTTCCAAAACCAGTGAAAAAAGCCATTCTTCTACACTTGGTATACGTGTCTACTTTTTCTGGCAAAAGTAGGTTGTGTGAACAAAGCCCGCTACATTATGCAATTCCAACATGTCTTTCTGTATCAAATAACCTCCTGAATCAAATAGCAATAAGTGGCTCTTCAGGAGCTTCGGGTCTTTCATCCCCGCCTCTCTCTTCGGGCGGTTCCTGCGCAGTTGTCTCGGCATGTTCAGAGTTCTCCGCAGGTTGCCCGGACGCCTCCGTAGCCTCAGCTGCTGCAAGCTCAGCAATGCGCCGTTGCTCATCGGCTTCTGCTTGCTCTCGACGTTGTTGCTCAGCTCTAGCCTCTGCTTCAAGGTTGGCAATGTGTCTCTCCGCTACTCCTGGAGCGATGCTGGCAAGGAAGAGAATGCCGGCACGCTCTAGTCTTCGGGCTTGAGTCATGAGCCAATTACCGTTGGCGACTCTCCTCTCCCGAACCAGTCGGGCAGCCATTTCAGCCGGGTTTGGTTGTCCCCCATCACCCTGTACGCCAACATTTCCATGATTGGCTTGGGCATCTCCAGCTCTGGCAGGCCGTTCACGGCCATGATTATCAGCCGCGGGCATAAGATTGTCTAGATGTCGGCGCATGGGAGTCCAAAACTGCTCAGCGAGTGGCGTGAGCAGGCCGGTATTGACGAGAAACAGGGTAAAGGCAATGGCCGTGACTGTGAACCATCTCTGCCAACTTGCCGTGGGCGACGTAAACCACCACACGAAGAGGAGGAGGCGAATCACCATCCAGATATGCGGCCATAACTGTGCCACAGCAATTGCACGGACCTGGACATTACCCGGGTGAGCAATACCGTGGCCCAGACGCGGTTGCGCCTGGGGAATCAGGGGTAGGCCTTGAGGCAGAGGTGCTGGGGCCTGAGCCTGCTGCTGCTGCTGTTGTTGATGCTGCGGGTTGTGTTGCGTCGCATGATCAGCAGCAGGAGGCACCCAGGGGTTGGCAATGAGAGGAAGGTGGTGCATTTGGCCCGGCTGTGCTTGCATGCCGGGATGCAGACCAAACGGTGGCAACGGCGGTGGCGGAAACATATATTGGCGACGTAATGCCTGTGCAGGAATCGGGAATTGGACATTGCTATTTGGACTCTGGTATGTCCCAAGATTGCCGTTTACTAACAGTGCTCTGGGGCCTTCTGGAGATGACAGAATATAAACTTCTGAGCCTATCGACTGTTGCATTTGAGGCTGGCTGGCAGGTTGAACGTGATTACGAGCTGCTCGTAAGGGGTCAGGGGTGCCCATTGCGCTTCCTGTCCGTGATGGGACCGTGACGCCAGGTGGAATGGGTTGGTTTGCTTGCGAATTTGCCAGATTGAAAAGCGAAGAATTGCTGGCATTACGACGCATCGCATCTGTCATGACCCTTGTGGCCGCTTGTCCAGCATCTGCTGTTCGGAGCATGCTGTGCACATCAGGTCCAGACAATGAGCCTCCGTGAGGTCCTGCCAAAGGCACTGAACGAGGTGGCTGGGGTGCTCCGCCTGGTGGCCGGAACAGGTTCTGCAGGTCAGGCGGAGGGAATGGAGAACCAGTCCTGGCGTTTCTCTGCGGATTGTGCTGGGCCGAGACGGTTTCATTCACCGTGATGCGCCATGACTGACCCCCAGGCCCAAGCCCTTCTCTCACCACAGTCCTGGTGCCATCCGGCCGATGCGGTGAGGCAGTCCTATTCTGGCCTTGTGGTCCCGAAACACCAGCAGGGGCAGGTGCATCTTGAGCCCCGTGAAGACCTAGCGTTGCCCGCTCTCTCTGGTTCTGGTTAATAAGTTCATGCAATCGCTGCTGCTGAGCAATTTGCTGAGCCTGTTGCATCTGCTGAAGTTGCGGAGGAAGATAGTTGAATGGGGGAGCCGCGCCTCCCGCTGCTATTGGCTGTTGAAAGCCAAATGGTAGGTTGTGATGTGTCGCGTGTATTTGAGCATGCTGCAAATGCGGAAAGTGACCATGTGCGTGGGCATTCAAGTTTCGTACTTGCGGCTGTTGCTGAGGCTGGTTGTGAGTTTGTCCAGCTGGGCGATTCTGTGATGGGGCTGTTGCAGGCTGGCTTGTGTTTGTAGGGAGCGAAACGCTCGCAGGGCGCGTGTCGGAAAGATCGCGAAGAACGAGATGCAACGTCTTGACTTCGGTAGAGCGGACCTGAGATGCCGTGTTATCAGCAGCAGTTCATATGCGCAAGCAGTCGTCATACTTACTGCATCTTCCCCAAACACGTCCAGCATTGTGTCATCATCCTTTGACAGCAGGCGTCCACGGTGTATAAGACGCTGTGCCACATCACTCGGCTTTGCATCTATAGCATTGCGAATCTTTTCTTTCAGTTGCTGTACAGTAGTTGTCGCTTGGAGATCAGTAAAGTTGAGTGGTTGCGGCACATTGACAGAGGGCGATATGATCTGCAGTGTGAACGTCGGCGACGTGGCTCCGGAGGCTGAATCCGAATCGGTGGAAGCCATGGTCGCAGTCGAAATATCGCGACCGGTCTGTGTACTCGGATGATTTGTATTTGAAGTACTATTTTGTCGAGGACTATGAAGCTGCCTTGGAGATGCTGTTGCTGGGTCTTTGCTATGATCGGGCAAGATGCATCTCAGGCAAGCTCATTTACAGGACTGTGCGCGAATGCTGATGCATTAGAAATCGAATGGAAATAGCGGCTTGGAATTGCAACGACGGCAGCGGCGGCAGAATGTGCAGTGAAAGAATGCACAGATAGAAATCAAGGTCGTTGTCGCCGTGAAAGAGAACCAAAACAGAAAAAAAGACGATCTCCTGCTACACGAGTCGATCTGTCATGTCGTCGTTGCCGTGTGGGATGAGCTTGCGTGTTACCTTGGAGGTAGGTATTCGAGATCGGCGTGGTCCTGGTTGGGTTGGGGTCGGTTGGTAATATCCACGTTGGCCTCTAGCTGAAGACCCCTGGCGGGAATGTGAGGATAATACCCAAACTAGTGAACGGTGTCCATGTACCTAGCGGGCCTCTCTGTACCTGATTGTTTTCTACAGTCTGAACAAACCCTTTGCAATCACACAAGTTTTGGGGAGGAAATAGAGAAACTTGCTAAGACAATAGAGTAGAGACTGGGAGAATCTCTTATGATCTGCAATTGCTGAATATAACCATCATTCCCTCGTCCCACCTTGGTTACATGGAGTACAAACAGAATAGTACATCAAATACTTGTATGCACCCTACCCTGGAATCCGACAGCTTGGGAACTGCCGCCAAACACCGCTCCTAAGTCTAGCCTAGCGGCTTTTGACAGCTGCGTCATTGGCCTTGCAGAGCTGCATTAGGCCTGGGGGGAGCTGCAGAACTGGGGAAAGTTGTCGAGCGTCACCTTGGTCCGATCTAACTGGACTCTGGAACTGGCAAACTCGAGCTCAATCCAGATAGAGTATTATCCATATTGTGCCATGGCCCTCGTGTATCCAACATTCCTGCCATAGTTACACGTAAACAGGCCACTCTCACGGCTTCCCTCATATTGAGGTCGCGCGCAATCTTTTTGCTCCTCGTGCGCTTGCATAGGTCGAGCGCAAAAAAAAACCGGGCCTCCACGCCCTGCTGGAATGAAGGCACTGTAACAGCCGGTCACGATTCATAATGGCTACCCAGCACATCTCGATCCTGGCGAAGTCCCGGGTTCTGCCAGGGCCTTTACGTACAACTGCTCTTTATCCTCAAACATATTCGGCGAGCTCCCGAACGTGCATACGCCGGTTCGCGACCACGCCTCGATCCCAATTCCAACAGACGTCCCAACGATGCCAGCAGAAGGAAAAGTTCGGATCGCGATTGGGTTCTGCACTGAGAAACACAAAGGTGCAATGGTATCCTATTCCTGTTGCTCTTGGTGTAGGCTTCCTCGGCCTCGTACAGTTCTACAAGACTCAGGTGCGTGAGAAGGAAAGACTGGAACAAGAAGCTGCCGATGGTGATCTGGGAGGGCGACCGCAAAAGAGACCAAAAATCAGACCCGATGGACCTTGGTGAGCTCGCCCCTTTCAATCACTAGTATACCTGTACTAATCATTCATTCTAGGCAAGTCCAAATCATGTCTACTTTGCCATTGAAGGCCATGTCGCGGTTATGGGGAAAGTTCAATGAATTGGTCATCCCGTACTACCTCCGGGTCCCGGGCTTCAAGCTATACTCCTGGATATTTGGTGTCAACCTTGACGAAGTGGCAGAGCCTGATCTCCATGTCTATCCCAATCTTGCATCATTCTTCTACCGCACACTCAAGCCCGGCGTGCGTCCACTAGACCCGAACCCCAATGCCCTGCTCTCGCCGTCCGATGGCCGGATTTTGCAATTTGGCCAAATCGCAGGCGGTGACATCGAACAGGTCAAGGGCATGACATATAGCATTGATGCTCTTCTCGGAAAGAACACACCGACGCCTAGCATTGCCAGTGGAGTTTCGAGCTCGTCGGAGAAATCTGTTCGAGACGGTCGAGCACAACACGAACTGCATGGCGACGAGGAACTTGTGAAACAGGATGAAGAATTCGCCCGTGTCAATGGTATCACCTACACTCTACCTAATCTTCTCTCTGGCCCGGAGAAAGGCAAAAAGGGCAGAGCAAATGTCGAAGACCAGTCTACTACGCCCTCAAGCCTCAGCGCCGTTTCTACGGTAGGAGCTGACCTGGCCCTCGGAGAGAAGCCATGGTATGATCTGATTGCACCTGAAAAGAAGAACGCACTCTACTACGCTGTCATCTACCTCGCGCCAGGTGACTACCATCGATTCCATTCGCCCACCAATTGGGTTGTAGAACGTAGGCGGCATTTTGCGGGTGAGCTCTACTCAGTATCTCCTTACTTGCAGCGAACCCTTCCCGGCCTCTTCACGCTGAATGAGAGAGTGGTGCTGCTTGGACGGTGGCGCTGGGGATTTTTCAGCTATGTGCCCGTCGGTGCAACGAATGTTGGTTCTATCAAGATCAACTTTGATAAGGAATTGCGAACCAATTCCCTGACGACCGACACTGCAGCTGATCGCGCAGCAGAAGAGGCCGCAAAGAGAGGCGAACCTTATACAGGCTACTCCGAAGCAACATATGCCGGGGCCAGCGCCATTCTGGGTGGTCACGCGATCAAGCGTGGTGAGGAAATGGGAGGTTTTCAATTGGGCAGCACAATCGTTCTAGTATTCGAGGCACCAGCCAGCAGCGACAGCCCAGAAAAGAAGGGAGGGTTCGATTGGGTTGTCGAAAAGGGACAGACGCTCAAGATGGGCCAGGCCTTGGGATACGTTGTTGAAGAATAAATCATGCACACATACCATCCAGCACATACTATCGACCACACACCATGAGAGTCGGACACCAGCCATTCCTACTCCAAATTTTGAAATAATACGCATCTCCAGTAGCGCAACATGTAACAGGCCACCAGCTATCCGAATGTCATCTTCCGACATGTCAGCTGTCATACCAGTCTGCAAGCGCATTAATTTACAACCTCGTCTTCATGTGATTTGCATAGTACTGTACTACTACGGAATGGGGAGTGGGCCCAAGTTTCTCTTTGTCTTGCTAAACTAGAGAATTTTTCCTCTAACGTAACGGGAACTGTTTGGGACACTCCGATAGGAGCCCAGAGACTCTACACACCACTATTGAGACATGAATACCACTCCGACGAGGACCCGGCAGCCATCGGCTTACATTTATATAGACGTTGTTTACACAATCACACGTTCCTGTTTGAATTTATTGCCGTGACGACAAAGAGGAGAGAATTTTTGCTTCTTTATTATTACCAGGGTTGCTCTCTCCTCTTCATAGTAGGAGACGGACAAGTTGGGCAAAGGCCGCCGCTTACTTATTCCATAACTAGTCCGCGCCGATCTAGGCACAGAGCAACTTTCATTCACCTGGATCAATACCATACCCAACACAAGAAGCGAAGGGGAAAAAAAAGACTGTTCATTTTTCACCGTGTATACACCATGGGATTTACGGCAGTAGTCAAGGGCAATGAGTCCTACCCCGAGTCTCGGGTCCTTATCATCATCACCGGCGGAACGATATGCAGTAAGTCGTACTTGATCTAGGCGGCTCCAGAGAGACCAATCATGAGATGGAGACTTACACGGTTTCGCAGTGCAACCTTCGGAAGATGGCTCCGGATTGGTGCCCGTCGATGGGTTCCTCGAGAATGCCATGGCGCCAAGGCCGTCATTCAATGACAAATCTGAAAGAGGTACGTGAGTGCAGGTCATGGTATATGGCTTTTACGAGGAAGCAAGGTTCTCAAATGGAGAATTGTCCCGCCATCAGGGTGGCGCAACTTGGTGCGCTTTCTACCTTCTCAAGGAATTGGACTCCCATTCGGCAAATGGGAGGAATTGGATTCGTGGTGTTTTACAATGGAATTATATCATTTGTCGTTCCGCACGACGCCTATGATAAGGGGCAGACTGTTCGCCTAGGATTCATGCCACTCGGAGATTCCTCCAGGTGACATACGTCATGGCATTTCGCTGGATGTTCATTGTGCCATTATACTTCTACCTATCCAAACTATACTCTATTGAGCATTCTCACGGGAACTGGGCTAACGTATCCAATAGTGAAGCTCTCGGCTATCAAGAATGGCGAGAAGATTCAACTTGACAGTCTTCGCACACCTCCTAGCGCATACTCGCGGCATGTCCGCTACGGAGCTCTCGAGTTCAACCCGCTGCTAGATTCCTCCAGTATCAGCTCTGATGGCTGGACCCAGATTGCAAATACGGTCCAAGAGAATTACCATCTCTTCGATGGCTTTGTCGTGCTTCATGGAACGGACTCGCTAGCCTACAGTGCATCAGCCCTGTCTTTCATGATGGAAGACCTCGGCAAGCCAGTCATCTTCACTGGTTCTCAAGCTTCCATCTTTGCGCTCCAGTCGGATGCTGTCGACAATCTGCTTGGCTCGCTCATTATTGCAGGCACATTTGTCATCCCTGAAGTCTGCCTCTTCTTTCACCACACTCTGTTCCGAGGCAACCGAACGACCAAGGTCTCGGCATCACAGTTTCAGGCTTTCGATAGTCCCAACTGCGAGCCGCTGGCCAAGGTTACCAGCATCGGTATCGAGGTCAATTGGTCCCTGATTCACCGGCCGACGGCCATTGCTCAATTCAAGATTACGCCGTACTTGGACACGACACACGTGGCATGCGTGCGCATCTTCCCTGGCATCAAGCCTGAGATGGTTGATTTTGTGCTGCGTGTGCCCGACCTCAAGGGTCTGATCCTCGAGACTTTCGGTATGGGCAACGCGCCCTCGGGCGTCGACGGCAGCCTGACCAAGGCGATTCGGTCCGCCGTGGAGCGCGGCATCACCGTTATCAACGTGTCGCAGTGCACCAACGGCTTCGTCTCGCCGCTGTACGCGCCCGGGTTCGCTCTCGGCAAGGCCGGCGTCGTCTTTGGCCACGATCTGACGACCGAGGCTGCCCTGACCAAGCTCGGTTACCTCTTGGCTCGGGGTCTCGAGCCCGCGGACGTAGCCGCCCGCATGTCGCGCTCTCTGCGTGGTGAGCTGACCGAGCTTGCCCTGCCCGCCTTCACGCACCCGGCAGCCGGTCTCGACGAGAGCGGATCCCTACTTTCCGGCCCTGAGGCTGCCTTTACTCGGCTAGGCTACGCCATTGCCAAGGGCGATCTGTCCGCCGTGGTGGAGCTGCTCGAAGGCGATGCCGTCAACCACCAGCTCCTCATGCGGGCCGACTACGCTGGCAACACGGCCATGCACCTGGCAGCCGTGGGTCCCGAGGTCGAAGTACTGAAGGAGCTTCTCCTGCGCGGCGCCAGCGTCCACGAGCGAAACCGTGCCAACAATACGCCGCTGTTCCTAGCGGCCAAGGGCGGCAAGCAGGAGTTTGTGAATCTGCTACGAGAGGCTGGTGCCGCCCTGTGGGAGGAGGAGACTGGTGTTGATGGTGTCGTTACAAAGTCGTGAGCTTTTATGGATTTCTTGGAGAGAGAAAAGAGAGTGATATAGAAATGCAGGCGTTGATTTTTAATGATTCATAATTTGGTCCGTTTTAGATACAGTGTTACGGTGCAATAGATAAGCAATACTTTTGTAGGGTATGTATCGACAAGTATATATGTTTTTATATCATTTTGACGTGTTTTCATGTACTTCTCGGAGATCTCTAAAACTTGGACGAAAACCTTTGCGGTATCCATGGCGACGAGACTCAGCTGACCTATGATAGAAGTTATGGTCTCGCTACGCATTTGTTCATGGTCTCTTACTGCCATGCTTAGGATTGTAATCACTCCCAACAGCAGAAAGACTAGCGGGTTAGAAGCCTTGCCAGAGAGGGAGGCTTGCTCGAGGAGTCGTCGATTTCCCTGTCGACAAGAGGCTTGTGACGAGACATTTATTCTTCTCCCCTCCTTCTAAGTAATGTCAATCGTCGTGATAGAGACAGACCAATGCAAACCTTATCCAGACGACGACACCATTCAAGAGAAGCCGCACAAGTACTAGGCCTGCCCCCCTCCAAACAATGCCCTATCTTGGACACCTAAAAGGGGTTTGGTCTTTATTGTTCCCTCTGCATTGAATCACTCGTTTAATGGTGAGAAGTCATTGTCTTCTCAGGTTTTTCACTCCCTTGTTTTTATTCTTTCTTCAGCAGCGACCCTATCTCAGGCCGCCAAAATAACGAGGCGATCACCGTCTCCCCGTAAGATCAGTCTGAGGACGCGGCTGGAGAAAATAATGTTTTTCTGGTTTCGTTACTTCTTCTGGATCATCATTTGGCTAGAAGTCCGCAGAACGCACACACCTGTCGCCGCCACCATCAACAACGCCATCATCCTCTATCCTCGCCGCTGGATCTCGACGAAGAAGCGTTTCCACATCATCGAAAAGGGAAAATTTCGACCCCTCGACACGCAACAACCTTCCACCCCTCCCATCTCCATGTGCCAGCGGTACATTCACCTCACCATCTGCCGTCACCTCGACTGTGGGGTCCAGGTCGGGAAGAAGCACCGCAATGTGTACTGTTCTGCTGCCCGTCGAGCCCGACGTCTGGGCCGGTGCGACGACGGTCTCAAGGTCGCTGCCGAGATCAGCCATCGTGGCACTGTTTCGTGTACGGCCTGCAAGGCGTCGAGGTCTTCCTACTCTTCTCCTTCATTGGTGAAGACTTCTTCTTCTTTTCTCTTGACAAACGAAGAAGAAGATGTCGAGGACGAGCAAAACGACGAGTTTTCTTCTCCTCGTCCTGCTTTCCAGAGACCGTCCCGGAGGAGAGGAAGAAAGCCACGCAACAGCGTCTTCCGGGACGTTTTCGAGATCCCCCTCGAGCAGCAAGTTAAGGACTTTGACAAGCAGGGCAAGCGGAGACGCAGTGGCAACAATGTCCTGGACACCGAGATGGAATCCGAATTCTCATGGCTTCAGGTCGAGGGCCCTGAACAAAAGAGACGCGGCACCCGTCAATATTCGCACGAGAAGAAGAAGCCTCGAGCAAATGATTCGGGCTCACTGGGCTGCTATGGCCTGTAGCGAAACTGGTGGTCATTCCAATGCAGTAAATACGTGGGTCTGCCAATGAATGCCCAATACGGTTATTGGCGAAGCAAAGACGAGGACTTTGTGATACAACAATACATATATAAACTCCAGTGTTTCCGCTTCATGTAAATAAAAAAAATGAAGACCAAGCTTTTGTTGTCTGTTCACTCGTATATAGTAATTATGAGAACATGAAAGTGATAATATCCCAATAAGATGAACTTTCTGTTTCAAGTGTGAAATTCGTAGCTGTGAATCAGATTGCATCATCCACGTCTCAACTATTCACTCTTATCAATACAGATGACCATGCCCACGCTCGAGGTATCCTTCACACATCATACAGTTTAGAAATTTCATGTCCATAATCCGCCAAAATACCTCTCCGGTCCAACGTCCCTTTGCCCAGCCTCCGCAGAGGTTTATCTTTGGCCGCCACCAAGATATTCTGGCGCGGTAGATGAACCTCGGCCGAATGCTTCTCGTTGAGCGTCCTCACAATATTCCAAATATCCTCCTCGTCAAAGTTTCTCACATCCTCAGAGAGCTGGAGAATCACAAACGGTGTCGGTTTCCCCTCCCCACCCACCATGGCATTGCTGATCCTAGGGTCACGCACCAGCGCACTCTCCATGTCGCCGGCCCGCACCTTGGTCAGCCACACCAACTTGACCAGATCGTCTTTTCGACCTCGGTAGCGTAACAACCCCGGCTTGGTGGGGTGTGGCGAGTACAAGTCATTGGTGTGCCAGACGTCGAGGTCAGGAAACATGACAAAGACGCCCTGGTGCCGGCGGTACTCTGGCCTCCTCTCCAGCACCACCTCGTACATGTCGTCCTGGTAGTGGTCGAGCCGGTAGCCCAGGCGCGGGTCCAGGTGGTAGTAGCGCCAGTCCCGGGGGTCGGCGAGGGTGCGCAGCGGCCACAGGCCGCACTCGGTCGAGCCCACGCCCACGACGAGCCGCAGCTCGGTGCACAGCAGGTCGCCTACCCAGCCGTCGAGGGGCGCGCCGCCGTACACGAGGAACTGGAGCTGCTTGATCCGCGCCAGGGCGGCGGGCTGCTGGCACAGGTCCCGGGCCATGCTGGGCACGAAAAAGGCGCCGTCGGGCTGAACTTTTTCCAACATCTCCATGACCACGGGCACCGGTGAAAGGGCTCCGTGGTCGACGGGTGGCCATACGGGAATGCCGTCGTAAAAGAGCGGTGCAAACAAGTGCCCCCAGATGCCTCCCATCCACTGAGGAGGCGCTGCCCAAATCATTCTGGAGCCGCGCATCGGGCTGAAGCCGTTCTCTGGGTTTTCTACAGACCCGTCTGGATAACGATGAATCATGTCATTGGTAGACACGGATTCGAGAGTGTGTCGAAGCGGCTTGGGAATTCCCGTCGTGCCTGAAGAGTGTATAACGAATGCCGGATGTGGCTTGGCCTCTTCCCACGTCTTGGTGAATGGATAATTGGGAACGTCGCTAGCATCAAGCCAGTGCTCCAGGGGCGGCAAAGTGTAAAGCTGAGTGCCTGGCCTCTCGTCTATCAGCTTCTTGCCCAAAGCTGTTTGATCCTCTGAACCGCCGAGCCAGCGGAAACATTTTGTCGTTTCCAACAGTTTGAGCAGTGCCTCGTGGGTCAAGCGGCTTAGCTCTGCAATGACCATCTTTGGGGAAATGTCAGCCAGAGACAAGATTCCAAGACTAGATCAATAAGAATGAGCTCCTACTCACGGTACGTTCAGACTTTTGAGCAGCAATCATGATGATGGTATAACGAAGATCATTATCTCCAACGTAGGTAAAGGCGTCAAAGTCTTTGGCAGCACCAAACTCATTCTCGAGCCACCAACAGGCCCGGTTCACGGCTCTGGCAAATTGTGCATATGTGATCTCCCGTGGCCCTCTGTCGCGCCAATCCGCCTCGAGAATTTCGCAGAAAACCCGGCTTGGCGTTTCTGCTGCTCGGGTGTCGACAATGGTCGACCATATAGCTGGAGGGGCAATATCGTTGACAGTCATTTTGTTCTCACCTCCTGATTTGTATGACACGGTGCTTGGCCAAAGAGTAAAGGTTGTGTGTCTGGTCATATACAAGGGTTCAAACATCTTGGCCCGACTTGGCAGCAGGAGGGCTGAAATTTATAGTCCCATGGACAATACCATCTCTACCAAGGAAATGTAGAAAACTTGCAGATGAATGTTGGTCCATACTATACCCACTATGCAAAACCTCCCATTTGGGCATTGATAGACACTTTGCTTCTCTCACGCGAGCACTAGAGCCAGTGACATGGGCCGAGAAATTATGATATTCTAGTGAAATCATCTCTTGCATGTAGAGTTTATGTTGTTTAGTGTTTACTGGCTAGTGTATTTGACTCGAAGCTGTAAGAACACTAAACACCAAGACAAGCAACCAATCATCATTGTACCACCCAAATGAGAGTTCCGAGAGATAATCTCCATACCAATGCTATGACAGGATTCTAAAGGCTTACGCGAGCACTAGGTTGTGGTTTTTGGAAAGAGTTTCCGACGACGACATGAGATAACCAACTTCTATAGTGATGTTATTTGTGTTTTCTATCAATGGTTGGGAGATCTCGATGGGTTTGAGGCATCGGTGAAGGGTCAAATTGGAGACGGCCATGGTCCCTGCAAGACTATAGGCTACCTCGGGAGATATAACCTTTTCCTTGGCGGATGTGGCACCAATGGTACACCAATCGCCAGAAGCGAATACGCCGACATGGCTTACAAACATATGCAAGCTATAGATACCAAATTCTCTCCCATTCAAGGAGTAGATCATCTCCAAAGACGAACAGAGATAACAATGGCGAGCACGCACTAGCTGTCAACCCTAGAACCCGTCCATAATTTCCTGTTTGCCCTCGGCAGATTCATGCACATCACAATCCTGTGGATGCAATTGAATACTCGCAATACGGCCCCATTGCCACTCTACCGATATGACTATTGGCATTTATGCAACGTGGAATCACTACTTTTGAGGGACGAGCGGTGTAAATACTTTGTTTGCGGGGAATCCCATCTTGATTGCAGATATTGCTCCCACTTGTACGGTGGGAGGGTGATGGCAGCAAGCTGAGGTGGGGCCGATGGGATGTTGTGTGCGTTGACGTGCTCGGGAGCAACCACGCGATTCAATAACTTGTTTATAAGTAGATTGAGTGTCGCTAATATGAGGTCTTCTGGTATCCTTCTCTTGGCACCACCGGCCCGATGGGGGCTGGCGACAGTCAGAACACCAAGAAAAGATCAAATTACTCGAAATGCTTCATTGAATTGTAGCATCCGAGGGAGTTGCGCACACCAAGGCGCAAAATCCCAAGCCCCGGGGGGACGGAATCTGTGTGAGTAATGGAAGGGCTTTGGGAGGAAAAGAAATCCATATAAACAGTCGTTTGTGGACTTGACGAAGATGTAAATCCGCATTGTAAACCTCTCCCTTCTAGTCATCATATTGCAGACTATTCACTATGAAGTTTTCGCAACCTATTCCCTTGGCTATGGGCTTCCTCCTACAACATGCCTACGCCGAAAACTTTACTCAACCACTCTTGTGGCAGGACCTTGCCGACATTGATCTAATTCGTGTCAACGACACTTACTACTATTCAGCGTCTACCATGCATTTTTCTCCGGGAGCCCCCATCCTCAAGTCCTACGACTTGGTCAACTGGGAGTACTTGTCCCATTCTGTCCCGACATTAGACTTTGGCGTCGCTGCCTTTAATCTGGACGGTGGCAGCGCGTATAACCAAGGAATCTATGCATCTTCCATCAGGTACCACGAGGCTTCTAGTATCTTTTATTGGATCGGGTGTATTCAATACATTGGAAAGACCTACATCTACACCGCCGCTGCCATTGAAGGTCCATGGGAGCAGGCGTCTGTCATCAGCGACCACTGCTTCTACGATGCAGGTCTCTTAATCGACCAGGACGACATCTTCTACGTTGCCTATAGTCAATGGGTCCCAAATGGTCTAGATGCCCAAATCAAGGTTGCGCAGCTGACAAGTGACCTGCAAGTACAACAATCTCAGGTCGTCTTTAACACCACCGAAGAGATTGGCTACATTGAGGGTGCTCGATTCTACAAAATCGATGATACCTACTATATTTGGCTGACGAACCCTGGCGTGGGAAGAGGTCAGATCGTCATCAAATCTACAAATGGGCCCTTTGGAAATTATAGTGACTGGCACCGCGTGACTGCCAACAGCGGGACTCCTGTCCCAGGCGCCGGGAGCCCGTTCCAAGGGGCCCTGATCGATACGCCACAGGGTGACTGGTGGTACATGGCCTTCGTTGACCGGTGGCCGGGCGGCCGTTTCCCCGTCTTGGCTCCCATCACCTGGGACGACGACGGCTGGCCAAATGTAGTCTTTACCGAGGAGAATACCTGGGGCTCCACCTATCCTTATCCTCTCCCTCATCAGGATCTGGGAACTGTCGTCAAGACCGATCTCTTCAGTGGTGACACCCTAGGCCCTCAATACGAATGGAACCATGATCCCGACACTACCAAATGGGCGGTCGGGGATGGACTCACCCTTGCAACTGCAACGGTCACTGATGACTTCTTTATGGCTCGAAATACGCTTACCCACCGAATTCTCGGGCCCGCCTCTGCTACCACGATAGAGCTCGATATCTCCAGAATGGCTGATGGTGATCATGCTGGCCTCGTGGTCTTTAGATATAACGCTGGCTCGATAAGCATACTCAAAAGCCAGGATACAACGCAAGTTCAAATGATTGACAATATCATCATGAGTCCAACGGATGGCTGGCATACGACGAGCAAGGGAGACGTGATAGAGAGCGTCCAGTTGGCCAGCAACAGCAACAACGGCAGCAGCACCGTCTGGTTTCGAGTTTGGTGTGATATCAGTAGTTCGCCGGCCTATTCCAACTTTTCATACAGCACCGATGGTACCACATTCATCGAAATGGGTCAGACTCATACAACCTTGGATGGCGAGGTTTATTTTGTCGGGTCTCGGTATGGTATCTTCAACTATGCTACAGAGGCTCTTGGTGGTTCCGTGACCGTCAAGTCTTTTACTATCAGCACATGAGAGTATAAGTTATGCAAGGCAAGCTGCAGCTTGGTTTCGCGTAATGACGAGGAAATCAGAAAATGGAAATATTAAAGGCCAGGGGCCATAATTGAAATAATTTCTCGATCATGTGACGAAGAACAAATACTATTATACAAGTGTCATAATTTCAGATGAACATTCACTTTTGTTTTAATCCTCAAAAAAAGGCAGCACCCAAAAATGTAGTATATATACGCAACAAAGTCAGATTGAGGAGTCCATACAGTGTTGGCCGATCCGAATAGCCTTGATCACGAGAAGATTTTAGAAATTGGATAGAAAACAGCAAAGCCGCCACAATCAGTTGAATAATCGCAATCCCTCCACCAAAATAGCCGCCCCACTATGACCGCACTGCGCACATGTCACTAAGTGCACCGTGCATAAGCTCTGATCAGTAGCTGCAGGGGAGCTCCGAGATCAGCTCGAGGTGGATTAGGGAAAAAAAGAAAATCTTGTAAGTCGGCTTTGAAAATTTGTCCAGATCGTCAATTTCTCACTCAATTCATCACTAGATTTGTATTTGTGACTTGCACTTTCTTCTTGTCTTGCAGCATCTTTTTAATCAAAAGTTATCAATTGCAAAAACACAACCAATCAAAAAAATAAAAAATGGCAGCCGAGGAGAGCAATGTCACCTATGAGCAGCTCGCTGACATTGAGCGCGAATTCGAGGATGTAGAACTCGAGATCAGTACGTACCTCCTGGTCAATGATCACCAGAAATCGAATACTGACTCTTTTTGCTTTAGCCCGTCAGCAAGCCGTCTTGACCAAGGCTCTGTACGAGAAGAGACAAAAGACCGTGGCCGAGATTGACAACTTCTGGCCGCTGGTGTTTGAGCAGGCGCCTCAGGAGGTTGACGCCTACATTCAGCCCTCGGACTCTGCTGTGCTCTCGGCCGCCCTCAAGTCCATTTACGTCTCGCGCTTCGAGGTCGAGGACGGCAGCAAGGGCGACCCCCGCAGCCTCTCCATCAAGTTTGAGTTTGACGACAATGAGTACTTTGAGGACAAGGTGCTCGAGAAGAAGTTCTACCACCGCCAGTCCAAGGACGGCAACTTTGCGGGCCTGGTCAGCGAGCCCGTTGCCATCAAGTGGAAGGCCGGCAAGGATCTGACCGACGGCATGCTCGACATGGTCGTCTCCGTGTACGAGCAGGAGAAGAAGAGCGGCCAGACCGGAATCCCCAAGATTAAGAACTTCACCGCAGAGCAAAAGGCCCTGCAGGAGAAGATCCAGGGAACCGGCATGGGTGCAGTAAGCTTCTTTGCCTTCTTTGGCTACCGAGGCTACCCCGTCACCGAGGAGGAGAACAAGGAGTCCATTGCCAAGGAGCAAGAACAGCGCCGCCTCCGCGCCGAGGGCAAGAGCACTGGTGACGAGGACGAGGCTCCCGAGCTCGTGGATGCCGACGAAGACGACGAGGAGATCCTCGAGATCTTCCCCGATGGCGAGGAGCTCGCTGTTGCCATTGCCGAGGACCTCTGGCCCAGCGCCATCAAATACTTCAGTGAGTTTATCAATCACGTGACATTACCCGAGACAAGATGCTAACGATTTTCCACCAGCCAATGCTCAGGAACAAGACGGCCTTAGTGAGATGGACTTTGAGGAGCTTGATGAGGATGAGCTTGACGAGGAGGAAGAGGAGGATGATGAGCAGCCTCCTGCAAAGAAGGTCAAGGCTTAAGCTAAAATGCCTTCTATGATTCAAAAATTTCCTTTGTTCAGTCCTGCGGCAGACGACGGGAAAAGATACCCTTCTATATAGACTCGCAAGTATGTGCGGGTTCAAATTATGAACATTTTCTATCACTAGTGGCTGTGACTCGCGGAATAAAATGTATCTTGCTTTGGGTACCGCTGTATGACTGACGAGTTTGGGAAAGACGAAAACACAACGCTAGTCGCGTTTACTGTGCGTTCATGATATCAATCAAGCGCTTGCAGCAGAGTCTGAGTACAGACCCCGTGTCCATATATCATCTTTGCTTGTATGGGCCACAAAGTCCCAGTCATGGTTTCAATCCTCAAATGGATAAGCTGACCGGAATCCCTAGCAAAACGATCGTCCACGAGGCTCTCTTGTTTGCAATGTTGGGCCACGGAAATCTCTCCCACGAACTGCTCGACAAAGACCTGTGTTCCTACCCGACTCTCCATGGTAGTGCAACCGCCGATCCAGGTCTCGCGTCTCGAACGACAGAGCGGCGGCGGCTATTATATGACGCACGAATCCAACCTGCTACTTCTCTTCCTCGCGGCAGTCCGACACACAAGCTTGGGCCCTTGCACCAGTTTCATCCCCCCATAGTCCCGCCGTGGATCTCTGGGGGGATAAAAATAATCTCAAAAATAAGGTCGCTTTGCGCTAGCCAAGGCGGGTATAGCTCCTAACCGGCGACGTTCTAGCCGGCAGATGCCAGGGCCTAGCCTAATGGCAGCCCCCACCCATTTTTCGTGCTGCAGACTTCAATTCAAGGGACTCGTCAATTATTCAAGTCCACTTCATAGACCAAGAATACGACTTTCTATCAGTAGATTTGCTTCTAATGACTTGTCAATAATGACGGAAGGGAATCAGCAAAATGTAGTATTGATTGTCTCCAGACATTCTTGAATTCGTCGGGCAGCATCCTTTGTCAGAACTGATTCTAGTCCTGTTCCTGCACGAGCAGCAGGGGTCGCTCGCCAGCATTGAGACGAAACGTCGCCAAGACCCAAACTCGAAAGGTTTCATACTGTCCCTTCTGATGTCTACACAGCCTCGACCACGACTATGGATGACTGCAGCATCCGAAATGGAGGAGCAGCGCACTCTGTAACCGAGTTTGGTCGCTTGGTCGCCCGCCCGCTTGGTACGGCGGCTGTTCAATGGTTCAACGCTGCTGAAGCATCTGGTCTGGCCCCGCAGGCCAACCAGTGGACAGCAAGGCAGGTAAGGTAGGAAGGTAATGTTGATGACTCTTGTACACCAGACGAGCTGGATCAGATCTGCATGTGGTTTGCAACACTAGCTGGGGACGAATCACTGCCACCCCATCTTTCTCTTTTGTTCACGGGTTGTTTCTGAACTCTCTTTATTTCTCTTTTCCGTTCTGACCTTACTCCTCCACCGAAAATATTTCTTTTCTTTTGGTAGGACAGGCGGCCTATCCCATCGCCATTCTTTGTGTTGTTCCATTCGTACTCCTGGCTGAGTTGCCTTCTTTTCTTTCATTCGTCTTACGGTTACGACCTTTTTTCGCGCGTCCCGGTGACTTGGATAATTGTGGCGGCTGTTCGTAGTACTCGAGCTGCCATTTTCTATTCTTACGTCTGACATTTACGACTTTCGTATCACACATCGGCTTTGTGTTCTCGTGTCAGACCCCGCGGCGGTTTTCGACAATCAATTTCGATGGCGTTGCACTGATTCTTACATCAAATCATTCTTCCTAATAATCTGCGGCTGGAACCTTGGCTGGGCCTGAGCAACATTCTCTTCTTCAACACAAATTTCTTCTTCTTTTTTCATCATGAGGTCCATTCTACGCACGGCAGGCGTCTTTGGCCTGCTGGCAGGTGCCTCTCAAGCCATTGATGTCGACTTGACCGATGACGACTCGATCAAATCGGCATCGAGCACACTCGCTTTCGGTTTATTAAAATACTATACAGGAAACAACACGGGAGATGTGCCCGGAAATCTGCCAGATCCCTACTTCTGGTGGGAAGCAGGCGCCATGTTTGGGACCATGGTGGACTACTGGTTTTTCACTGGCGACGATACATACAACGCCATCACATCACAGGCATTACTACACCAAGTCGGAGACGACAAAGACTTTATGCCACAAAATCAGACGAGATCAGAAGGAAACGATGATCAAGGCTTCTGGGCCATGGCTGCCATGTCGGCTGCAGAGAACAAGTTTCCCGACCCGCCGGCAGATCAACCACAATGGTTAGCCTTGGCACAGGCAGTATTCAACGAGTACGTGGATAGGTGGGATCCGGATACGTGCGGAGGAGGGCTGCGGTGGCAGATTTTCACATTCAACAATGGATTCAACTACAAGAACTCCATTTCCAACGGCTGCTTCTTCAACGTCGCTTCGCGGCTGGCGCGATTCACTGGAAACCAGACCTATGCCGACTGGGCCGAGAAGGTGTACGACTGGATGACCGATACTGGACTGATCACTGCCGAATTCCAAGTCTTTGACGGTGCGCAGGTCACCTCAAATTGCTCAGACATCGACAAGGCTCAGTGGACCTACAATGCCGGCATCTTTCTGCATGGCGCAGCCGTCATGTATAACTTTACGGGAGGCGACGACAAGTGGAAGCAACGAACGCAGGGACTCTTGGACCAAACGACTGGGTTCCATTTTGACAATGGTATCATGGTTGAGAAGCCGTGCGAGGAGGGTGGTTTCTGCGATATTGATCAGCAGAGTTTCAAGGCGTACCTCGCGCGCTGGCTGGCGGGTACATCTCAGCTGGCCCCTTTTACCTTTGATACCATCATGCCACTGCTGCAGTCCACGGCCACAGCCGCGGCCCAGCAGTGCAACGGCTCGCCGGCGGCGGCGCTGTACAAGGGCCCCGCAGGTACGGCCTGCGGGTTCCAGTGGACCAAGAGCCCCGAGTTTGACAACATGGTCGGCGTAGGCGAGCAGCAGAGCGCTCTGGCTGCCGTCATGTACAACTTGGTCAAGCGCACGACGCAAGCCCCCGTCACAGCCGACACGGGCGGCACCAGCAAGGGCGACGTCAATGCCGGCGCCTCCACCGAGGACAAGATGCCCGTTCTCGAACCCATTACGCTCAAGGAAAAGGTTGCTGCCGGCTTCATCACATCGGCGCTGGCGCTCAGCGTGCTGGGCGGATCTATTTTTGTCATGAAGTAGTAATATTGAATTCTGAATAGAAGAGCTATAAAGAGGCATGGCTATGATATAGAAATCAACAATACACGCAGTTTTCAGACAAATAAATGTCTTGTAAGATGTCAATGTCTCGAATATAATAAATCAGAATGACTTTGCAATGATATTCTGTTGAGCATCAACAATTAATGTCCAGGAGCTGGAAGAAGTGATGACCATGCCGTTTGCATCTTCCGTTTGCTATTGGAGGGGTTCAAGTATCTGAATAAACAGCCAACCATTGTCTCTGGTCCAGCACCCTGGCGACCAGACCTGGACAAATAAACTTGGGGAGACATGCTGGCTCAATGGTAAGAGCGTAGAGGGCAATGACTACTCTGCCAGTGTGCCGGGCTCGAGTCCTTCTTTGGATTCGCCTGCTTTTCCTTTTTTTTTTTTTTTGCTGTATTTTCGCTATAGTGTCCTTCTTACAAAATTGAGCTGCCAAATTCAGCATATCTTTTTAAATGGATATTGGATAATGTGTACTTCCGATTTATCAATAGTGAACCCTAGCCTTGAGCATCTGGGGTCGATATCATGGATACAACTGCACGCAAGCTTTGATCATTGCATAATTTCCCAGGTTTTTGGTCGAGACAATATCTGGTTATTTTGAGATAGTTATGTTACATGCCATGGAACTGTCTGAAGAGCAGGCAGATGCATACTTCAAACACAGAAACATGTCGTTCTTTGCCTGCTACCTGCGCAGAAGATCAGCCATCATGGCTTCTGTATCAACCTCATACACACTTGCTGACCCACTACAGTCCAAGTACCACACATCCGCAGATATTTTCCCAACCAAGAGAACATGAACCCCAGGACCTTTGCACGGCTCCTCAAGCAGACTTGGGAGCCTTGCCCTCGTAAATCAACCGCACCACAGCGGGAAATTGTCCGGTAATCTTGACCTGCGTGGCCTTGGTCTCAGCGGCCGCCTCCTTGAGGGCCTCGAGCAGCGCCGCCGCCTCGTCGGCCGTGGCGACGCGGCCCCCGCGCTTCTTGGCAATCATGATCTCGACGCGCTTGCCCTTTTCCAGGAACGCACGCATCTGCTTGAGGCGGTGCTGCAGGTCGTTGGGGGCAATGGCCCAGTTGAGCTCAATCTCCTTGCGGTTGAGCTCCTTGCGCCGGGCCTCTTTGGCCTTGTCCTCCTGGTCCCGCACGTGCGCCTGCTTGTCAATAATGCGGCACACGGGGCTGTCGCGGCGCTCGCGCTCCTCGAGCTCCTGCGGGGTGCGGGGCTGGTCCTCGACGTCTTCCTCGTCCTGGGCTTCCTCGTCGTCTTGTCGTCGCTGCTTGGACGGCGGCAGGGCCACCATGACCAGCGTGTACTTTGCCCGGTCGAGATTGCGCAAAACGTCCCGCGCGCGCAGGGGTATCGAGAGGTCCGTATTCGGGTTCATGGGCTTCATGCCGTGCTTCTGGCATTCGGCCACGCGGATCCACGTGTACGGGATGGCATTGTCCGAGGGTAGGTTTGAAGGGAGCTTGCCGCCTTGTTTCTGACCACCACCACCTCCTCCGCTGCTGGGCGGCTTGGGTCGTGACCGGATAAAGGACCGAGGGCTCGATGTGCTAAAGAGTCGAGGCGCGAGCAGATAGACTGGCAGGCGGGTTATGTTGGTGGCCATCTCCAGCTGCGCCGGCAGAAACACGGAGCGCAGAGCCCTCGAGGGCGAGAAGAGGCAGTGTGCAGGACGCATTGTATCAACAGAACAGAAGGAATGTAGATCTACAGCGCCACGTCGGATTGAGGTAGCTTGTCCCTAGGCTGCAGAAATCCGCAACGACAAACTCTGTTTGGGAGAAGGGAGAAAGTAGAAACTCCAATTATTACTGCAGTTTCAATTGGAGAATACCGTGTAAAGGAAGTTGACGTATGTTCTCAGAGCTCTAGGTGAGCGACCAATCAGATCCAGTCTGGCCTAAGCTCTTCTCTCGGTGAACGAACGGGACTCGGAGCCCCACCCACACCGGCATAGGTCAATGCATATCAAGCCATCCTTAATGAAGCCTCTTGGTGCTAGATGTATATATGCGCATCCAAACACGAACAACACACCCACTCAAAGGATAAGGGGAAAAGATTCTTTTCTTCCTGCTTGAACATGACCATCCGGTGAGGCGGTCAATATCAAACACCCCTTTAGAGCAGAAATGCCGCTCCTAGGCCACCCATTCCGCGTATTCCTGGCGACGGGGCAGACCCTCGCGCTGGCCCACGTGCTCTGGCAGTACGGGTACTCGGTGGCACCCGGTTCGGGTCCCTCGATGCTGCCGACCTTCTTGGTCTGGAATGAGTGGTTCGTGGCCGACCGTTCGTACCGCCGGGGCCGTGGCGTGCGCGTCGGCGACTGCGTCACCTACACCATCCCCGTTGAGCCGCACGAGGGCGGCGTCAAGAGGGTCATTGGCATGCCCGGCGACTATGTCCTGCTCAATAGTCCCGGGTCGAAAAATGACGATATGATGCAGGTCAGTAGTCTTGATTCACCATTGCACTAGTCGTGATACACAAAAGCATGCTGACCTAAAGTAATCAGGTACCTCAGGGACATTGTTACATTGTTGGAGATAACCTGCCGTGGTCCAGGGACAGTCGGGATTATGGTCCCCTGCCGTTGGCTCTCGTCCACGGAAAGGTCATTGCAAAGATTGAATTCAACGGCTGGAATCCCATGAATTGGTTTACAAAAGTAAAAGATGGACTTTCGCCAGCCGAATCACCGCACCCATAGTAGATTTCTATGGTCGGCCACTCAATCATGACGGACCTTCCAAGCATGTACTTGTAGAAAAATGTACAGCACTCGTGGGCGATTTGGAATTGTGGCCCGCAACGGAGTCTGGAATGAAAAGGATTGCTGCTGAGTGGATATCTCTACAAAAGGGCAATCTAATTACAAGACATAAGGTCTTCAACACAAATCAACTCGGTCGTCCCCATTTCGTAGAGAAGCGCAATATCGCCAATGCGAAACGCTAGAGCTTGGAACCAGCCTTTCTGGCTAGTTGCTTAATCAATAATTCTTACAAAGGGAACCATGCATTTCTCTTGACGGGCTTGTCCTTAAGCGATGTGATACCGCCAAATCAATCAACAATGCGCCAACCCCGGGTGTGCCGACCGGCCGCCGGGGATATGCATAGATCCCTGAAACAAAAGGGAATACCTGAAGGAGACCGCTTTCCATCATGTCTTAACAAATGCTCGCCTATATAGATACGCCTAAACTCCAGGCCCACGTCGAATTCATGCCAAAAGATGCGAAATAGAGAATTAGAAGAACCAAGCCATGCCTGTAAGTGCGAGTGGGATGTGGTATGTCATCTTAGCCCTCAATGTGGGTTTTGGACGAGCTTTGCCCCAGCAACTCCAAGCAGCGCTGGGCAAGGTTGACTACCTCGCCTTCATCCTCGTCTTCGGCGTATTCGTTGTTGTCAGGCTCGGGTTGGCGATTGGCAATTTGCTTGATCATCTCAACAATATCGTCCGACTTTCCAATGTGGCCAATCAGGGTCTTATCCTCTGACTCGAGCAACTGTAGCAAAGTCCAAATGGCAATGTGTTGAAACGTAGCATCGCCGCTAGCGAGGAATCTGCTCAAGTATCCGTGAATGCCGCCGTTGGGCTCCTGCCAGTCCTGAATAAAGATGGAATAATCCCCAACTGTGTCATGTTAGTATTAACATCATCTGCTTCCAGTGCAATGATATGGTGCTTACCCTTAGATGACAGATTACCCAAAGCCGCAGCACTGTTGCCTTGAACCTCAATGCTTGGCGAGTGGGTCAGTGGAATCAGAACATCGAAAACACCGAGGTTCAAGAGGTGAGTCTTGAGGTCGTCGGACAATGCCAGGACGGCAATGGCAGCTGTCATTTCAGACTGGACCGTAACCGGAACATCCAGGACGAGCTGCTTGCATTTCTGTACAGCACCAGCCTCGAGTACTAGTTGCTTGTTGCGGTCCGAACTTGCAGCCAGGTTGCGAAGTGTCGAGATGGCATGACATTGGATTTCCTCATTGTCGGTTGATCCCAAAAGATCCACCAATGGCTTCAAGAATCCAGCTTCAATGATCGGCGACTCGTTCATCGGGTGGATGGAGATGTTCCGAATACAGGCGACGGCCGACAAGATGAGTGGCAGGTACGAGGATTGGAGCAGTCGTAGGAGCGGGTTCAAGCCTTGGGCCCTAACGATATCAAGCTGGTATTTCTCATCCGAGGCCAAGTTACGCAGTGCCAAAGCAGCTTGGCATTGCACTTTGGGAGAAGAAGAATCCATGAGATTTACCAGCGATTGGACGAGTTTGTTTTCGGAGGCTGCAAGCTTTCGGCGGTTGTTTGCGTCGACTGCAATGTTACTCAATGCTGTGGTGCAGTAGTATTGAACATCGACATCTGGAGAGGAGAGAAGCTGGACGAGCACAGGGATCGCACCCGCATTCACTAGCTGTTGGCGATTCTCATCTATATCCACGTTAGCAATGGCTACCCACAAGACAAGCTTGGATGGTATTCTGACCAGAATGTGTCATATTCAGCAAAGCTCCAGTCGCGTTCCGTTGTACTCTCATGTCCCTTGACTTGGCCAGTCGTGTGAGCGGGCCGAGCGCGCCTGATCTTGCAATCTTTGCCTTGTTATCTTCATGTGTGGCGAGGTTTGTGATGCAGCCGACGGCGTTGCACTGGACTTCGACGTTGGGGGATAGCATTTGACGGATGAGTGGTGTCAAACCACCAAGCTGCACTATCAAGACTTTGTTTTCGGCTGTAATCCACCGAGTCAGCATGATGCAGCCGAAGACTTGATGACGAACTAGACTTACTATTGACGGCAAGATTTCCCAGAGCTGCGCTGGCAGCCCTCTGCACCTCAATATCAGGACTTTGCAGGAGAAAAAGAATAGGCTCCAGTGTATCTCGGTCGACCTCTCGCACATCTGTGGTTGCTTGGTTAACTTCCCACCATGTCCTTTTCTTTCTTTGTTTGTTCTGGCTCCATGATCATACCTCGTTCCGTGATCTCTGCAAAGGTCAAACTTGCACTTCGCTGCAAGTCTATGTTGTCCGAGAAGACGAGTGTGCTCAGCGCCCGAAGTGGCTCTCCCGAGAAGAAGTCGGTCTCTCCACGCTGTGGGTGCTCATTAGCATATCGAAGCAGCGGTATGTTGTTGGAAAGGATAGACGCACATGCTCGAGATATTGCAAGAGATCAGAGACGGCCTCGCGTTCCGACTCTTGCAGTAGAGGTTCGTAGAGACCATCGCGGGATTTCCCTGCAGGCAGATAAGCTACAAGTCGCGGCGCGGCCATGCCGTCATCAGATTGTTGGAAACCATACCTCCGCAGCACGACTGGCAGACACCCATCGCGGCGATAGCCCAACTGTGCTTCAGTAGACGTGAATAGATCTCTTTGAATTGATCTTTGAAGAACTGCAGTCGATGCGACCGTGCGGTTGTTGTCGAGGAGATGGAAACCGGGTGGTGGATTGCGAGCTCTGGTTAGTCGGAGCTTCCCACGAGTGGCTCGGGTTTCACGTCGAGCTGCGCTTTCTTTTTAGATAAGCGGCGAAGGGGACCGCCAATAGCAACGGAGGTAAACGATCGGGCCTTCGCAAGTCGGGTCGGTAGGGACTCGTGGAGGCTTCTGCAAGGCCTAGACGGGCGGCAGTTGAGATGGGAGGAAAAGGAAAACTTTTTGTCAGTCGTTTATGGAATGAGATGCAAACAAAAAAGATCCTGGGCAGGTTTTCCGTTTTGTTTATTACGAATGAGAAGTTGCGGGCCCAACGTGATGCGCAGTTAGCGGGAGGTGCACAGGTGCAGGTGCGCTTTGCTTTGGACCCCGGGCCAGTTGGTGGCTCAAGTGCGAGAGCAAGTGCAGGTCGAGGTGCGGGTGATGGTGCTGGGTGAGAGCCAGGGTCCAACTCGTTTGATGGGCAGGCAGACGGCCAGAGGCAGGATGGATAGGACAAGGCAGCCCAACCAGCACCAGCATGAAAAGACGAAGAGACCGGGTTGGCCCCCAGCCGGAACCCTGCCGACTTCTTTTAGCTATCTTTAAGCTACCCTACATTAGACTATCAGCGATTCGACGATGGGTGCCCGCAGCCCTGGAAACACATTGTCCACTAAAATAGCCCATGGCAACCTCGCTATTATTGTTGTATTGTAGCTCAAGAGGGACCAAAAAAAAAAAAAAAAAAAAAAACTGTCTAGATGATATTTGTATTGGCTCTCGTCTCCAAGCGGTGAGCTGGAATACCTTCGTTTTGGTATCGCAACTGAAATATTCAACAAGCAGGACATTGCTGTTGTCTTTCCACTATGACGCACTCCGCTTGGCTACGTGTTAAACACAACGCGATGATGTCGATGCTTTGGTCAAATATGGAGCAATCCTTTATCATGCGATTGAAGTACTGTGTACGTACTTCTTTTACTTTTGAGGAGAGAGTTAGAGATTAACTTTGCACAACACCAAGGACGTAGGCTCCAATGTTTTCGGTCAGCTAAGTAGGTGGCACTGGGTGGTGCATGATATAGTAGATATGACTGATTCACATTTGCTCATCTGTATATCGAATCATTTGTCCTGGTCTCGCCCCTACACTCCACTATTTTCTTTTCTTTTTGCCTTCCCATATCTCTTGGGCATGTGTAGTCTACACTACGAGATATCAGCGTGCGATCTTTTCCCAGCCGAGCCATCTGCACCTCGACGTGGTAACGAGATCGACTTTGCAGCGATTCATGGATGCAATCCTGGCGCCACCAAAGCCCAAAGAGCTCTGAGACCTAGCGCCCTTTCTGGTAGAGCTTGTCCCAGGTCTGCCAAGTTTGATCTGTTCGAGTGGGCAATGGGCACAGTGGGCTGTCTCATTGTTGCTTGTGATACTATGTACTTGTTCATGTTTTTTTTTTTTTTTTTTTTGAGGCCTGTATTACAGGTTCAAATATGTCACAACAAAAACAGACCAACTGGTGCGACATCTTCCCACGATACTGAGCCGCAGCAAGGTCCTCTGCGATATAGCTGCACCGGTAGGTATGTGCCACAAACAGTCATGATCCAAAGTCAAAAGACCGCCACTCGTTGTGTGTCTGATCAAGTTATAAATAGATGAATTATGGACAAGCAACACGCTTGATGTCGCGCAAAAGTCGGCACGCGTAAACACCAGTTGTCGTAATGATAGCTATATTATATATTTCGATTTAGTGTCTATGTATAAAGGTGGGCAACTTTCCACAGATGGATGTTTTTGGGGGGTTGCAGGCTACCTACCGCATATCGTGCACGCGTCACGAGTATAGAGTATACTTGTTCTACATTGCATCGTATTTACGCCGCTTCCAGCCCCAGCCAGACTTGTGGCATTCAGTAATGAGCACACACTCACTCATCATGAAGCTCGAAAACAACATTCTAGACTCGGCAATATGCAAATAATGTAATCACTACCTGGGCGCCATGACCAGGTATAACCCTGGCAGGCTTGGGTGTTCCCACCTTGCTGTACCGCCTCATGATCGATCCGGTAGATTTGCCTCCACGGGTCGTGTGCCATCCACAACGCAGCCGTCAGATGACGCGAGGAGCCCGTCCGTTGCTTGGGGTCTCCGGTGCCCATTGCGCCCGAGGTCAAAAGTAAAAGTCTAGGTATCACTATACAATGTTATGAACCCCGGATATGCATTCAATGCCTAGTAACGAGAACCAGGTTCGAACCTGCTCATCAACCGGCCGTAACTAGCAGCCTCATCCAATCAATCCTGGCACATCGACCTCTTCTTCCTCTGGCCTTTCTGAAAACTAATGCTTGGTTGAGGCTATACGTCCATCGCCGAGGGGAAGAAAAAAAAAAGGCAGAGGCTGGACAAGGAGAATCACGAAAGACCTGGCCAAATATGTTGCGCTGAAGATTGTGTGGCATTACGAGCATTGCCGTCCAAGGGTGTAGAGAGCAACCATTGTTAACCATAAAGTTTACGAGATGGCCATCTGTCCTGTGCGGTCAACACCCACTTTGCCAGTAGGCAGCGCCAGATGTTTCGAGAGTGTGTGCATCCCTTGTGTTGTACTCAGCTCAAGCAAGTTTTCCCCGTAATGTTGCTCAATGTTGAAGAAGGGAGGTCATCTAGCTTTGAGATGCTCCGACAATTTTGTAGGTGGGCATCTGAACAGGCCAAGCAACAAGAGCTCTCACCACTCGCTGGTCCAGGCGTTTCGTTTTCTCTCCATTGTTGAACCAGGGGAAACCGCCCGAATTTCTTTGGCTCAGAACGACGGGGCCCAGTCAACTGCAAGCTCCTTATCACCCACTACCCCTCCAAAGAGGGCCCTCCCTCCCCCAGATTATCATCCAACGTCCCAGAGCCGGCCAGCTTCGATTGACCCTCCATTGCCAAACTCGATTCTGGGGAAATACTCATTTTCGACTTCTCACAAGCACGCCAGTCCAAGCTGGGTGCTTCGTGTCGCCGTCTGCATTGCAGTGTCCATCCCAGCTAGGCAGAACTGGATGGGAAGACAAGTGCCAAACCTTGCCTGGCACTCTCACACCCCCAATCGCTCCGCGCCGGCGCGTCACCTCAGACCCCCCAAAAGCTCCGATCCAGCTGAAGCCCAGCCATGGACGAGGTCGAACCTAATGACGGGGCACCCTCCAGGCTCCCCGCCACGAACTCGAACATACGTCCTGGTCATGCGCTCCCCTTTGTAGCACCCAGCTCTTACCTCAGGCCGAAACCGAAACCGCGCATTCCATCCGTATCCGAACCGACTCCAATGAGCCCAATTGACGAGGAACAACTACAAGGCCTGGTGCGTGCTGCTGCTTCTACTGCTCCTTGTGCGAAGCCCTTCAGCTTCGACATGATTGCCGTGGTGCAAAATTTCTCGAGCTACTTTTGCTACATTTCCATGCGGGCCTGTTGACTTTGCATGAACTGTGTGACATTCAGGCTTTGAAGCATGCGCGAAAACTGACTTTGTCTGCAGAAAGGTCTCCGCGAGTTCCTCCAAAGAAGAACAAGCTACGATGTCTTGCCGCTGTCCTTTCGCCTCATTGTCTTGGACAATGATCTCTTAATCAAGAAGAGCTTGAACATCCTCATACAGAATGGTACCGAGTCACTCTATCGCCTCGGTTCCTGCCAGCCAAACTAACCTCGTTTGCGCGACACAGGCATCGTCTCGGCACCACTGTGGGATTCGCATACCTCGAGGTTCGCTGGTCTCCTTACTAGCACGGATTACATGAACGTGATTCAATATTACTGCCAGTTTCCGAATGAAATCGATAACGTCGAGAAATTCCGCCTGAGCAGTCTTCGAGGTATAAATCGACACGGAGAGCCGGACGCATGGGAACACTGCTGACGAAATGGCACAGACATCGAAAAGGCGATTGGCGTCCAGACACTTGAGACAGTGTCGGTGCATCCATCCCGTCCATTATACGAGGCGTGTAGTCGCATGCTTAAAAGCCGTGCCCGGAGGATACCCTTGGTGGATATTGATGATGAAACCGGTAGAGAGACGGTCGTCAGTGTCATCACTCAATACCGCATCCTCAAGTTCATTGCAGTCAACACGGAGCAGTACACATCACTTCTCAAGAAATCGGTTCGCGAGATTCAATTAGGAACGTACAAGAATCTTGCGACATGCCAGATGTCCGACTCGGTCCTCGACGTCATCAACCTCATGGTCGTCCAGAACATCTCGGCAGTGCCCGTGGTTGATAAGAATAATACCGTACTCAATGTTTTCGAGGCGGTGGATGTTATTCCTTGCATCAAAGGCGGCGCATATGATGAGCTCAAATCTCCGATAGGCGAAGCCTTGTGCAAGCGACCCGAAGACTTCCAAGGTATATATACATGTACCGAGGATGACCGGCTCGATGCAATATTCCAGACCCTACGCCAATCACGCGTGCACAGGCTTGTGGTCATTGACGACCGGCAACAGCTGAGAGGCATCATTTCCCTGTCAGACATTCTCAAGTACGTGTTATTCTATGGCGAGGATGTTGATTACTTCTCCTCGTGAAGATCTCTACACAAAAGGGCAATATGGATGGCATTGCAAGGTGTACGGCGTCATATACTCGGTCGGGTCAGGAAAGGCAAGCTCTTGGGGGATTCACATGCACATGATGGTTTCTGCACCCATCAGCTTATAGAGGCCTGCCCGTTACATTTTCCTTTGGTGGCATTGTAGCCTTCTGCAGATGGGAGATGGCAGTGGGGTTTCCAGGAGTTTCAGACGGTTCAATCAACATAAAGACTATCAATCTATCACACGTCGTATATAATGCAAGGGCCGGCGCAGCCGAATCAACACTTATAGCACATCAAGTTTGAAAATTCTTTGCAGCTGGCTGGCATCAAACCACACAGATTCTTTCACGTGGTGACAATCAGGTCAGTTCCCCTCTTGAAAAACTTTACAATACCATAAGGAATAATCCGCTGCAAATGTGCGGCGAGGTGCATCTACACATATACATGCGTCAGATCGCTTTACATCTTAGGGCATGCATGGCGCGCGATGTGAGTCTCAAGGACATGGGACGATTGCGTGCATCAAGGGGAAAAAAATGTCCCAGTCTCATGAACGAAGACGGCGAGCTGAACTCAAAACAAATATATATGTCGAGTGACGGAAGTTGCAGCACGATCGAAATGCATCCATCTAATGTATGCAAGGCAGGTTGTAAGTGCCTAACCTTGAATCTTGAGACATGGACTGCGAGACAGACAAAGGCCGCCATTTTTATCCCACTTTGTTGCTCACTCTGACACATGGTGGAAGGTGCAACTGAGTGTCTTGACAAATGCTAGTTCCTGTTCCTGTTCCTGTCCCTGTTCCGCCTCCCGTCCCAGGCTGAATCTTTGCATACAAGGTCTCATTCAGCAACACGGATAATATTCTAAGATTCCACTAGACACCAGCGTGTTCCATCTCTTCTGCCTACTTCTATGAGAAGACGTTCTTGGCCTCGTCCACCTCATGCAGCCTTACAAGTATGATTCGACTTCCTCAAAAGGAAAAGGGCCGGCCGTCAGTGATGATCTTCTCTCGTCTCGAAATTCTTCTCCCGCTCCAAACAACAGCGCAATGGCACAGCTTGAAAAGTCCAAGGACCACCCAGTCGAGCACCCATCTTCAGCAAACGACATCATAGAGACAGACCCAGACTCATCTCACAAACAACGGCAGCGCCGGTTGCGATTGAGCAACACATGGAGTTCGTCTAGTGCAAATATCGACTTCATCTCTAAGGAAGAGGAGGTGAATGATGTGAGGCCGTTCGTTACCGAGTATAATCGTCTGGCAGAAAAGGTTTCGTACAATCCTATGCAAAAACCCATGTCAGTGAAACCTGGGCAGCGTTGACGTGAACTTGGCAGTATGGCATACGATCACTCGTCCCGGGAGACTTTCCCTTGAAAAGCGTTAGTATCTTTGAGACTGGTCTCAACCTCAACACTAACCATCTATAGGAGAACACGAGCCAGTCACTTCCCAATCGGAAAAGCAGCTGGATGTCAAGGGTTTTGCACCAAGGATCAACGACGCATCCCGAGCGACCTTTGATCGATATGCCGAATCAGATCTTGCGGCACCGAAGAACCATCAGCGATCTGGCCGTAAATTTCGTGCAGCATCAGCGCAAAGAAGGGCTCAAGAATGAGAACCTACGCGACCTAGTCCGCCTCTGTGGGAAGAGCATGTTCTACTTGCCCCAGGAGTATGCTTATGGCTCCCTGATCTTGCCAACTTGCCTGCGCGCAACAGCGCAATACCTCGTGCAACATGGTCTGTATCACAAGAAATATCTTACTGTTCCACTGTTGACTGACCATGACAGCTCAAACAAGTGGCATCTTCAGGGTCCCCGGCTCGGTACGTGTTGTCAATGCGCTTTACGATTACTACTGTGCAGGTATCGATGGTGAGGAGGTACGGACCACAACTCATTGCCCGAGTCTTCCTTCTCATCTCAACTGTGGAGTGCACGATGTTGCATCTACATTCAAGCGTCTCTTGTCTGGGCTTCCTGGTGGTATACTTGGATCTCTCGCCCTGTTTGATGCTTTGGTCGCCGTTCATAGCCAGCTTCACAATACTGTCGAAGCAAACAGGACAAAAGAGACCAAGTTGCGCGCAAGACTGATTGCCTTGGCCATTTGCACGGTCAGATCACAATATCAACGCGAGCTGATCTGCGCCGTATTCGGGCTCCTATGCCTGGTTGGTCGCACCGCTGAAAATGCCCCCAGGGAAGATGAGTATGGCCAACCGTTACCCACATCTGACCTGATGGGATACAACGCTCTGGCAATCATATTTGGACCACTACTTGTTGGCGACTTATTGAGTTCGTACAGTATGAAGCTTGCAGACCCTGTCTCAGGCCTCGTTATTCTGCCCATAACCCAATCCAAGCTTGGCAAGCATCGAAAACTGAAAGTAATGAGGAAGGAAAAGCCGGGAATGTTGGCTGTCGACAGGATCATCGTGGCAAATGACATCACGGAGATGATGCTTGTGCATTGGAGAGACGTAGTGCGGCACTTGGCCAATCTTAAAGCCCACAAGAGAGAGCAGGCGACGACTAACACTGCGGACACTAACGGCGCATTGAGAGAGACACAGAGTCAAACCGACGAGCCGAGCCATGTAAAATCAGATGGGTTGCCAAAAGGGGAAATGGAAAGGTCTTTGTCACAAAGATCTAAATCACAGGCTCCCAGGCGGATGAGCACTCCTCCAGCTGCACATTCGACGTCTTACTCAGGTAAGTTCACGGGAACTTTAATATCTAGTGTCAATTACTCATCAAAACATAGGTTTGGGAATCTCGGAAACTCACTTTGGTGATAGCGGCCAAGATGACAAGCTGCAACTGAAGCGCCGTAGGTCTCGCCCACCCAGCTCGGTTTCTTTCCGTCAATTATCTGGTGGCCATCCCATGAGTCCCCTTTCCCCTACTATGGAAGAGGCACCTATACCTGAACAGCCTGAGACCCAATCGCAGAGCAAGCAGGAGGGCACTCTTGACCAAGCTTCCAACAAGCCAAAAAGCGAGAATCAGCAGGAGAATACTGCCGACACCATGGGTGGATCTTTGAGTGCTTCATACAAATCTCCGAGCCAACCGGCCGATTCATCACGCGGCAGTCTACCCGTGCCATCGACTCTTCGACCGCCAACTCAGCAATCTACGAAGCACGACTTGGAGTACACAGAACTGAAAGTGGATACTAGAAGAATTACGGAAAACATGCTGACCGAGAGCTCAATGTCTCTGGGCACCATAAGAAGACATACTCCGAGCACTTCAGTGCCTGAAACTCATATCAAAGAGCAGTACCCCTCACACATGGATGACTCAACGGCAGGTCATACACCACTTCTTCGCGCTCAAAAACTTCCCATGCAAGAATCCAAGTCCGTACGCGTGGTCGCGTTTGATGAAAGCAGCTCGCGCGGCGGTGTTTCCCCTTCCCCGTTAGGGATGCACCGCTTGAAAGGCCAGGAGAATGTGGAGTCAAGATCCATCCAACATAGGAACATCTCAACCCGTTCCCACGAAAACACTCAAGCGGAAGCAATATCATCGAATGGCTCTCCAGAACCATCATTTGGAAGAACCAAATGGCCAAGCTATATGCCTTCCGCGGTGAACCCTTTGAGAACACCGCCATTATACAAGGCGGAATTTCTACCACCAGCTGAAAACTCGCGCACACAACATACCAACGAGCAACAAACCAATCCAGCTAGAGATTCCAGTCCCACCACCAGATGGAAAGAGCTGGTTAGAGATAGTCCGACGTCTTCTCCAGCGGAAATCAAAAGCAAGCGTATGGCACGGGGGTCAAGACAAAGTCTGACTCGTGAGTCTGGGGAGTCAAGGGCACGTGAAGATCCTTCTAGTTCACTGACTCCTGACTGGAAACGCCAACTATTGATGAAGAGAAGAGGTAGAGAACAAAGCGAACAAGATTGTACAGCGCCAAGGTGGCCCACTGGAGTTGACAAAATGCCCCCAGAAGATGGCCTTGCAGAGTCTTCGCACTCGACCAAAGGTGATGCACCGTCTCTACTAAACGTCACAGCTTCCGCTTCATCTTCCCGGCGATCCGCGTCCAAGCCAGTCAATGGAACTGTCAAGGCGATTGCGGCACGGTTTGACAGTGTATCTCAGGAATCAAGCCCAAGTCAACAGCGAAGTACTCTTAGAGGATCGCATAGCTTTGTGTCAGCTGATACAGAGACTCAAAATCAGAAGCCGGCTGCAAAGACGACAATCCATTCAGATAGCACAAAATCTCTAGAAACTCCCAGCTTCTCTCTGTCAAATCAAGGCTTGAAGAGGGTCAAGAGCACACCGGCCCGTTTTCGTGCCTCAATCAGCCGCTTGAGTCAAGGATTGAGGTCAACTCCCGCCTTGGCCAAGTACGTTGAATTTCCAAGTCCCTCCAAACCAACTACCATTCCTGAAGTGGAGATCTCCACATCTAAAGATGCAGATGAGGAATTCCCAGCAACCCCGTCGAGAGTCCCGCAACTACAGGTTCAGCCTGCTCGTGTTCTATCTCCTAATGCTATGGCTGCGCCCCAAGATGGCTTACCGAGGAGAAGACGCTCTAACATGACCGTTCATTCGCCCGAGGCGTTTGGGCGTGGTAACGTCGTTGAGAATGGAAACGACGGTGGTTCACATGCTGCAAGGCAACTGCGCAGATCTAACAGCGACACAAGCAGCATCCTACATCATCAGATTCGGATACTCCATAGCCAGCTGAATGTGCGAAACGAACATATTCATGGTTTGCGGAGAGATCTCGATGCTATGTATGGAACTGATGTAGGTGTTCTCAGTCAACAGTTGCGGCGGTCCAGACGGGAGTGCCAGATGTGGAAAGACCGTGCTTTGGAAGCAGAAAAGAGACTCGCCGTTTTCGAGAGATTTTCGGCCAAATTCAAGGGCCTCAAAGGGGATATCGACGACACGGCGAATAGTGTTGGAGCCAGGTCGAGTATTTGCAGTCACGGCAACCCACGCCGAGGACTGTCGCAGAGCTCGCACTGCTCTACACATGCGGAGAGGCCAGGCACAAGTTCAACTTGCCACCATCACGAAAAAGACTGCATCGGTGGTGGAAGCGATGGCGTCGACAGTCCCGAGGTATATGAAAACTACATCAGCAAATATCTTGACGACACGCAGGCGAGGACAAGACAGTGCAATATCTCCAAAGCCCAATCAGAGCTATGGATTGCTGCTGAAAGACTTTTGGGTGTTCCAGGTGTTATGAATGAGCATTGAGCATGGTACATATCAAGAAAGGGGAAGTGCGATCCACAGATAGAGTTTTGGAACCACAACAACAAGGCAGTCAATTTATAAAATTAAGTTTCATGTTTGATTTTATCATTTAGAATACGTCCTTTTGTTACAGGACACTCCGTACAATAATGCAACCAGTTAACTATCAATGGATCCACGATCTTGAAAAAGACGTCCAACAGTCTGGAAAAGGAAGGTTGGTATGCTGGCCTGCCTGTGAGCCCTCTCATCGACCACTCGCGCCCTTTGCAGCATAATAATCTGCTGCCCCCGGTGTCGTGGAGAGAGGGCGATAGGGACCTCCCCCGAATTGGTTGCCGGTACCCCAGTCTTTGCGCTCCCGGGACACGTTCTTTTCGTAGCTTTCGACTGCCGGCGACTTGAAGAAACTTTTGAGCCTTTGACGTTTGGACAGTTGTTCCCTCGTACCTCCTGCTGGACCTTTGGTGTCATTGAGATCAGCAGTGGTATTCTGCCGAGGCTCTTGACCTTTGGTATTGGCGTCTTTGGTGGTTGGGGTGCTGAAAGCAGACATCATCAGTGTCTGGGTCGGTTTTGTGTATAGAATCATGACAATGAAGTTTATGGTACTGGCTTGTTGCATTGGACAAGTAACCTCAATGTCCAAGATGTACGAGTTGGTTATTCTTGAACGTTTTGTACCATTCAGCGCATGTCATTTTAAGAATCGCCCCGTTAACCTCTCCAATGTCCAGATGTGCAGGGCGGGCGTTGGTAGCGAGTGGCTGAGCCATGTGTCATACTGTTTTCTTTCGTGCCCACCAGTACATACGCAGACGACAGGATGTGTTGTGTTGGTCACCGTGGTTGTGGCTATGCTTGCCCAACGTACATTTAAACTTGATTACTTGTATGCCAAGGAATGCAGTCATGAGTGATCAGATCTTCGCTTGCTTGATTGGCCGCGTGAAAGCCATCAGTAGGTAAGAGTCGGTCTTGTTCAGCCTGAAAAGGGACATTTCTTGAAATATAGCACATTTTTGCAAGAAGGGAATAATTTGTTTAATAATCCAGAAGGTGAAAACGAAATAATTGTCATTTGGATTTGCCTATCTTGATGACAATTATCTGCGATCGTTTTGAAAAAGAAGGATGCTCGCCGGATGATGGGCTACGCAGATGAATCCAAAGTATCTACAGATATTATCTCGCAAACGCGCCATGTTTTTTCTTCTTCGTTTTTTCTTCTTCTCAAATATAATGCCACGCCGGGTTCAATATGCCGTAAAGATATAAATCTCGGCACCTGCATTTTCTGCGGTGCAATAAGCATGGCGCTTACAAAGCCTGGCTGTCGCGAGGCTCCTGCGAAGGGCCGGTGTTCTGTTTAGCCAGTTCACTCTGGAGTCTTGGCCATTTTCGTTTGCATCTTCGATATGACATTCTCTAACCTGGCAATCTCGCCTTTGAGCGCGTCAACATCAATCGAGGACGGGTCAGAGGCTGCAGTGAAAGATTGTGTCCGTTCAAGAGCGGTTCGTAGTGCCCCATCGTCGTCGTCGTCTTGATCTTTTGCATCGTCGACATCTTGATCACTCACCGGACGCTCATGGCTATCTTTTTGTGGGAAACCGTAGAGTGTCTCATACAGATTAAGCAGTCCAACGGTGCTGTCTGCAGGTCCTGCATTTGGCAGACGGCGGAATGTGGCAATAAAATGGCTGCCCCAATCTTTCATAGCTGCGCTTCTTGCAATCGTGATTTGTGCGTCGGCGGCTGAGGAATGCATCATTCGCTCACGCCAAAAAGAATCATATATATTCGTCAATTTTTGCTTTGAATGCGATGTGAGTCTCGAGTGTATTTCGACTGTCTGGTGTCGACCGCCATGCAGGCTTGGCTCAAGGTCGACTTCTTTGGCTGACAACAACCGCAGCGGCAGACCATGGTCCAGAATCTGGCGAATAACATGCTCCAGCCCTTCTGAGTTCGGCAACAAGAAAACTATATGGCCCTTTGGTCTGACTATAGCTGCAAGTAGTATGGTGTTCATTGTCGTGGCGGGTTCCCCGAGCATAGCATGGACAGCGTGGTTGAAGAGCGGCGCAGTCAGGGTTTGCCAATGCCTGGGTGGAGTTTTCGTGTAGTTGCCATGGATATCCACGTCGAAAAAGTACTGGCCATGATTGTACTCGAGCAAATCCCGCAAACAAGGAAGAGCACTGAACGGACTAGCGAAATGGGTGGTGACCTTTGCTCGGCGATTCTTGGCCCAATTGACGGCCTTTTCTCTTGCGGCGGTTCCTAAGGATTTAAAAGCTGCAAAATTATTGTTGGCAGGGTTACCAAATCTGTATGACTGGGTGAATGTGTGATCTTTAAGAGCTGCTGTAAGCGCTTTGGGCTTGCTCAGGTTGGCGCCGTGAATCGCTCGTGCAAGGTAGCGACTGAGTTGAGATTCCTTATGCGGAGCCATGTACAAAATGTTGAACGGTCCATCTGAATGCATTTCCCCCAGCACTTCCCACGGCACAGTAATGTCAAGATTGAGATTGGCGACAATTTGGTCACAAATTGCTGGAGGAATCTTGTGTGTGTGTGTGTGGTCAGCACCCAATCAAAGAATAGATCTGAAGGAAGACTCTTTTTCACCTACAAGAACAGGACGGTGTCTTTCGAAATCTGAGGATACGGGCAACGTTGGTTTAACCAGGGAACTTGTCTTGGGAGCAGAAACGCTGGTGGGATCTGGAGTGACTATTTCTGCTTTGGGAACGACAAAATCACTGCCTTCAGTGTCGATTTTCTGAGCTTCTTTTGCAACAGGAAGATTGATAGGGAAGTATGAGGCAGCTACTTTTCCGGTAGCTACTTTGCTAGATGATACGCCTTGTGTGTCGACTTTCCGAGCTGCTTTTGCAATTGGGAGAACACGGAAAAATGAGGCAGCTACTTTGCTAGATAATCTGCCTTGAGTGTTGGCTTTCCGAGCTGCTCTTGCAACTGGGAGAATACATATGTATGAGGCAGCTCCTTTCTTGTAACGTACTTTCCGAACTAATTTGAAGTCAGAATTGTTAATGAACCAAATACTGACAAATTACCATGGTCATAAGAATCTACGTACCTTTGGGTTGCGGCAATCGAGTAGCTGCTTGAGATTCTTGGGACACCAAAGTCGGAGATTCTTTAGCCAGCGTCGAGCTCAAGCGGCTCAGCACCGAGCCCCAGCGTAACCGGGACATTTTGGTCGGCCAAATCCCAATATTGCCTGGGTTTATACAGACTCCTTGGCCGAGCAGAAGGGGGTTCGGATCAATGTATAATGGTTGCAGGTTCGTCACAGGACAGATGACTGTGAATGAGAGCTGACGTACGGGATATTCCCAGCCACATCGACAATGAAATGCGACGCTTGTCGCTCAAAATTTGTTGCCGGATGGTGTTTTGAAGCTGTTGTAATATCAAAATTACCGCGATGACAACCAATCAGGTCCCACGATGATGATGATGATGAAGATGCCAATCGATCGAATAGAAGTAGAGAGACAAAATGAGCTGCACCCAAATGCGACAATCTGGTGTTGCAGCACGTTATAACTGAACCATGATTCACACTCTCTTGCGGAAACCGTATTCAAGTCAGGTATGTCAACAACAGAAGTCCTGGAGATTGCAATCCGGGCAAAATTAAACCCATTCGGATTTTTTGCTGTGGAAGAAGCAAGGAATGAATTTGAACCCGAAACTCTGGGATCTTGACATCAATTCGCATTTCTTATCGATAAGAAGACGACCATTTGGAGAACCTTGGGAAAAGGCGAGACAGGTACCAAAAGTTAAGGAAAGCCACCAATTACCCCAAGCACCCCTGTCGGAACTGCACTAAATTTAACGCCGTCTTGGCGCGCCGAACGCGATATCTGCGCTACCTACGAGCTACATTACCCCAGATCAGCGCCGCCGCCCCCGTGCCAGCGCAATTACGCACGCCAGCAGAAAAGAGTTCCAGCGTTGATCGATCGACAGACGGGTTCGACGACCCTTTTTCGCAACACTCGAGCAGCATCACCCTCCACAGTATCCTCTATAAAACAAGGAACTGCGGTCATCCATTCATCCCCTCAAGCACGGGATCTTGTACAACAAGGAAACTGGGCAAAGATGCCGCATTGCGCTTTGCTCTGGAAACGCCCCCGACACTTGCCCCTTGCCTCGCCAAAGACCAGGGCCAGCTTGGTTGCTGTAGCTCGACGTTGCTGTTGATACTGCTCTGTCCTGCTCTGCCCCCCTAATAAGGAAGCTAGCAGAAGACAAAGAGGGAGCTTGAGCAACATGACACGGCGTATTGTGAGTTGTCTACTACTACTACTACTACTACTCGCCCTTTCTGCATCTATTCGCCTACGTTTGGAACTCTTGCTCATACCATACCACGGCTGCAGGTTCGAGCCATCACCCAGCTAAGTGCTGCGGCCTTCTTCACATTCCTCGTCGTCTTCTTCCTCGATCGCAACTTTCGCTTCATACCAAATGCCATACACGAGTACATGCCCCAGCACCATCCGGGGCTTGTCATCACAGATCTTAAAATCACAAAATGTTCGAGTGTCAGTCTTTTTACATCTTGTAAATTGGACCCGGAGCAATGGCACCGCATCGAGAAAGATCTTTACCTCGGAAGAGGCTGGGTCTCGAGCGCATACCTAAACGTAAGGAGGCTGAAGGAGGAGGATCTGACACCCGACGACAAGGTGGTCATGGACGTCATGGTCGGCCGATTGGATCCTTCCGAGGGAGCCAAAGGCCAGGCGGATCAGCCATGGGAATCACGAGGCTCGGGCCTATGGGTCTTGCGGTCAGCCAAAGTACACGCAAGCGACTCCAAGCAGGCCGTTACTGCTGTGGATCTGTTATTTGGAGACGATGCTGTCGAGGCGCGGGACGGCTGGCATATTGTCGGAACGCCCATGTTGTTGGATACAAACCCCAATATACCTGCTGCGCACGTCACGATCCGCCGTGGCTCCCAGCCAGCACCTTTCAAGCCGCAGCCCCGAGTCAAAGACAATGGAAAGTTCAAAATCATGCAATTGGCAGATATTCACCTCAGCACTGGTGTTGGTCACTGTCGCGAAGCGGTGCCAGACGAATACCATGGGGGCAAGTGTGAGGCAGATCCACGGACTTTGGACTTTGTTGCGCGGCTTATTGAAGAGGAGAAGCCAGACCTGGTTGTCCTCAGTGGCGACCAGGTCAATGGAGATACGGCCCCTGATGCCCAGACGGTAGGCAGTCTAACCAAGATATCCGTCATGCCAGATTATCGCTGACTCGTCTAGGCCATTTTCAAATATGCGCAGCTGCTCATCAAGTACAAGATCCCCTACGTATCCATTTTTGGCAATCATGATGACGAGAAGAGCATGTCGAGAGCAAGCCAAATGGCAATCATTGAGCAACTTCCCTATTCGCTCTCCCGAGCCGGCCCAGACGATATCGATGGTGTTGGTAACTACTACATTGAAGTGCTGGCACGCGGCCAATCGACACATTCAGCCCTCACGATCTATCTTTTGGACTCACACTCGTACTCGCCCGACGAGAGGCAGTGGCAAGGCTACGACTGGGTCAAGGAGAACCAGATTGAATGGTTCCGGCAAACATCGGCGGGTCTGAAGAAGAACCACAAGCAATATACCCACATCCACATGGACATTGCCTTTATCCATATCCCACTGCCAGAGTATCGAGAAACAGAATCGTTCTTCTTTGGCGCTTGGAGAGAAGGTGTGACGGCTCCAATGTATAACTCGGGCTTCCGTGACGCCCTGGTCGAGCAGGGCGTCGTCATGGTCAGCTGTGGACAGTAAGTAGTAGTGATTGGAGCCCTCTCCCACGGACAAATGCTTACGAGATTTTAGCGACCATGCAAACGAATATTGCATGTTGTCAACAGACGAGGTCGAAGAGGAACAAAAGCCTCGACTTTGGATGTGCTATGGCGGTGGTACAGGCTTTGGTGGTTACGGTGGTTACGGAGACTATATTCGACGAGTGCGCTTTTTCGATCTCGACATGAATGTTGGCCGAATCACAACATATAAGCGTTTGGAATACAATCAGACGGATCTCCGGATCGACGAACAAGTCATTGTCGAAAACGGCCACCCACTTCCGCCTCCAATCATAGAAGAGGAATGAGTTGCTACCGAGACGGAGAAGATCTTGGATACATATCTTGGTCTAATGCGAATTTGGGCCAACCACTTAGTCCTACTCAAGCATGTCCCGTTTTAGCAAGGGATATAACGCTTGGGAGGGAAATCATCGCAACCGGTATCATTATTTGGATATGCTATAGCACATGAGTCTCGGCGTTAAAGGTGGGACATATCGGAGCATGCATTGCGTTGACTTATTGAGAAGGGTGACGAATTGGCTACTATAAGATAGGCGCTCGGCGGCAAGTTGTATATACTGCGTTGGTAATGCGATCTGAAGATGATCCTCCTTTGGACGCTCAAATTGACAATTTTGCCCCGTATTTTACATGAAAAAAGGAGGAAAAAAAAAAAAAAAAAAAAAAAGATCACTCATGCAGCCCGTTTGACATGAAGCCGCAAAGAAAAGTAAGTGCTGACTGGCTGAATAATGATTGGCCATCATTCTTGGAGTATATACGTATTGTAGTACATTGGAGAAAGCCTATTGGCAATCGTTTAATTTAGTTGCAAGCATGCATATACATATTATGTATAGACTTGTGAATACTTTTGACTACTCACACAATTGAATCGTTGCTTCGGTTTGTATGGTATGAAATTCTCTAGATTCTTCAACACGTCTGTGAGTATAGGTCTATTCTAAAAACCACTCTTCTCTTTCTATTTCTTTCAGGTATCGGTAAGACCGCTAAACTCCGGTTCCCATGCAAATACAAAAATTGCTTCAAGAGCAGTTTCTACTTGATTATTTTCTTTTTTTCTCATTTTACGCATTTATCCTTTTTCTCCCAAAAGGCGACGAAGACGACACTCTTTAGGCACCAAAGACCTTGACGCGCTCGTCAATGGGGATGAACGACTTCTCGCCAGGCTTGTCATTCTCCTTGCCGCCAAAGACGAGCTGGGCATTGAGCTTCCAGTCGGCGGGGATGCTCCACTGGGCGGCGACCTTTTCGTCGATGATGGGGTTGTAGTGCTGCAGGTTGGCGCCGAGGCCCTCGGCCTCGAGGGCGACCCAGAGGGTGTGCTGCAGCATGGCGTCGGCCTGGGTGGCCCACAGGGGGAACTTGTCGGCGTAAATGGGGAAGGCGGATTGCTGCTTCTTGACTGTCTCGGAGTCCTCAAAGAACAGGATCTGGAAAAGATCGAATTAGTATCAAATAGGAAAAGATGACGAGAGTTGTTAAAACCTACCGAACCAGCGGCGCCCTTGAACAGGGCAATCTTGTCGCCAGTGGGCTTCCAGTTCTCCTCGGGGACAATGGCCTTCAGGATGTCGCCGGTAATGTCCCAGAGCTTCTCGTGCTCGGCGCCAAAGAGGACGACGACGCGGACGGGCTGGGCGTTGAACGACGAGGGCACGTGCAGGGTGGCCTCCTTGACAATCTCGGAGATGCGCTCCTTGGAGACGTCGCCCAGGTTCTTGGACAGGACGTAGTTGGAGCGGCGGTTCTTGATCAGCTCAATGACCGAGTTGGCCGAGACGACGGAGGAGGAAGACATGGTTGCTTTGGGTGTGTAGAAGGGAGTAGTAGTAGCTTGGGAGATGCGATTCGAGATTGTTGTAGACAAGAAAGGTGTCGTTTGACGAGGTATCGGTCTGAGAGATTGTTTGATGAATGCAGAGGAGAGCGGTCTCCAGACTTGCGGGCGAAACATCGTGGGCTATATAGCTGTACTGCAACAATGGGACTGACGATATAACACTACAGCAACGCGCAATATGGGTCCTCTTGGTGGGGGCTTTCTGTTCCAACGAGGGGTTTTCGGAGGGGTTCCAGGTCGAGTTCTGTACACCTAGACTACACTATTCTGTACAAGCCGGCGGGAAACATGACACGACAAGGGCAAGGGAAAATGGATTCGTGGAATAGCATCGAACCTCGGGCCTATCGATCGATGGGACGTTTATACGATACCTTTCAAGTAGAAGCAGGGTCGGGCGGTCGGTCGAATGAGAGTCCATCAATGCCCCATAGTTGAGCTCCACTAGAGGCGTGTATATCCGTTGAATGTGTGGTAAGCATGCTTTCATAAGGCTTCTGTAAGCAAAAAGCCCGTGGTATCTACTGCGTAGTGGTGTTCCTGGTGGACCCCTTGGACCCCTCCGTCGCAATCTGGGTCTGGCATCGTCCTTTTCTGGGGCTGTCCCAGAGACGGCTGAGGTAATCGTGGCTAATCAATGCGTCAAAGCACGCAAGCAGAACGAAACGACTTGGGCCCGTTGAAGAAAATCCCACGTGGGGCCTTTTCGGTCGATTTTCTTTTTCCGCTATATGCGTGATTGTCAGGTCTTTCATTGGGTTACATACGGATATAACATTTATGATATATCCGAACTACCGGGCGACTTGTGCTCTTGTTGGCGGTCAAGGTCAATCTCGTCTCTCTTCGCTGAAAGTTCTGCTCGGTAGCTTGTCGGGACGATGGAAAATCTTGGCTTTGCGAAAGGATACATGAGATTCGCCTCACACACACTACGTATCTACCAGATCTGATAATCCTTACTCTTTCTCGAATCAATCGAAAAAAAGTCCCCTTACACCAAATGCCGTCATTCCTGTCAGGGGTGCCATGCGGAGTGTCAAACCTTAATCCTCTTGCCCCTCCACCCCGGGACGGGACACTTTTGCGACCTCAACCCGACGATCGGAGGCTTGTTTTCCACAGGCTTGACAGGTCAAGGGTTATCATTGTTAAGGAAGCTGTGAGAATACTTTCGTAGCTTATAGACATTTCTATGGACGGGCCCATGGCACTTGGAGCATACCCTTTTGACGATGCCAACAAGAAGGCCTCTTCGTGTCTTGGCATTGAGCAGTCCTATCGACATGGAAACCCCCAACACAGTAAACACGTTGATAAATGATATAGTATCAGAGTGACTGTTGTCATAGGCAGACACTCAAAAAGTTGTTACACAGTGGATGTCTGTAGTCCACTGGCGTTAGAAGCAGTACGAGCCGTGCCATGTTCTGGCGTTCAGTGCCCAGCAGATATGATTGCTTCGAAAACCCACAATCTTATCTCAAATGGGAGCAGTTGAAGCACATGGATAAGTTTTACAAGGAGCAGAGATTGTAATTTCTTGCAGTTTCCGAAGCACAGCGACCTTGTGCTTCTCCTTCCTTTCCTCAAATATCACCGCTACGATAGCATACGAGTCAGGCGTAAGCACGGCCATAGCACCGACCCGAAATCCGCAACCTGCCCATTGAATCACCTCACTACAGCTCCCCAACGTTAGAACTGCAACGACGGGATTGAACAAAGGAGGCAGGCTGTAGGCAGTAGTTGAGAAAGGCGTGCGTAGACATTGAGGCGAAGCATTACTGAAGTAGAAGAAAACACTGAGCCGGCGTCAGCAAGTCAAGTCCGCCGGCCGACCGACCGCCGAGCCCGAAGACCGCTACCTTATGTCCGAGGCGGTCATAAAGTGAGGAGTTGTCGGTTTGGAATCGCCGAATAGGTAGCTTTAGCTTTATATTAGGCAGGCAGTGCCACGACCTCGCTTCTATATGAGTACTGTTTCTCTTTTTTCTTGTGTCTATCAATCATAGCAGAATATACACACCCAGCAGGCAGCAGACTTTGCCATCACAATCGATTCAGAGCTTGCTGAAGGAGCCGGAACTTTTGTATTTTCTTCTCTATGAAACCAGCATTGATGCATACGATGCAGCAAAGACGACCCAAGATCCCCGATACCCAGCTTGCGCGAAACGCCAAATATTCTAGGACCATTCTTTTTTGTTGTTGCTAAATCAAGAAAACACAAAACTGTCACTGCCGAGCCTTGGAAAAAAAAGGAACCGCTCGCTTGTGATTATGCATGTGGAAAAGGATTCGGTGCGTGAGCGCGAAAGCTCAACAGCACCGTAGGTTTGTGGTATTGTCCTTCCCATCTCAAAACAAGAAACTTCAGAGCAATGCGCTGCCCGAGATCTACCATGCCTCTGCAATGTACTGGCCAACCTCTTTCTTGAGGTCCCAGAACTTCTGTGCCTCGGGTCGTCCCAGGTTGCCCTTCTTCATTGCCACGTCGACAAGTGCTTCTTCAACACCTTCGCCCATGCCCTTGGAGCTTCCGCAGACAAAGACTCGGCCATCCACTGAGTTGATGACGTACCAGACTAAATCAGCCTGGTTGGTAACCTCTTCCTGCACATATCTACCTTCGCCACGGCGACTCTCGACAATGCGCTTGACGTCGCTTTCGTGAACTCCCCATTCACCCTGGTAGATTTCATCGACCAAGGAGTCACGGATACCCTGGAGCACCCACACCTTGTTGGCACAGTTTGCATTCTTCAGTCTGCGCTGAACAAAGCCTCGGAATGGGGCAATGCCAACACCGGCGCCAATGAGCAGCATTGGGCCATCGGACACGAATTGCTTGGCCAATGGGTTTGCCATCAATCCCTTGAACATGGGGATATAGATTTGTGGAGCAGGCTCACCAGCTGCCTGCATTGCAGTGTACTTGCGAGACTGACGCTCAAAGAAGCCAGAGCCAATTCCTGTCCGTTGTCCCTTGCGCCAATCTGCAGACTCGTGAACAGTGACAGCAATCTCAATGAGGCGGTGCTGCTTGCCGTCGCGGACCTCAAAGTTCTCATGGGGGTCATTGGACAGCGAATAGAAGCGCGGCATCAAAGGCGGCAGGACCGAAAGCAAGAGATCCAACGGCGGCTTAGAAGAGGGGAATGCATGAAGAATCTGGGACAGCGACACGTGAGGGCCCGTGCGGAAATCGCAGAATACACCTTGACCTTCGCCTGCACAAAGGAACATGAGAAGCTTCTTCTCATTGGGATCGTTGGCATATTCAGCCAACACTCTAAGGAGCTGCTTGGTAGGTGGGTATGACTGGATATCAGAGCACCAAGTGAGCAAGGCTCTGCGGGTGGTGACGAGTTCACGGGCTTGCTCATCGCCCCAGACGGTAGGCCATCGACCACTCGTTGTCTGCAGGAGGACTGGCTTGTCGCGGAGGTACCGCGGCACACCGAGCAGATCGAGAATCTCTTCGACAACTTCAGTGTCATTGGGTGCAGAGACTCCGATGGCCCCACCAACCTTGAAGTCAAGGCCATTCTCAGTGGGGTAGTCCGTAATGTCGAGATCGAAATGGTAAGTTCTCTTCTCAGCGCCGAGCTTTGTCAGCTCTCGAGTGTTGTGAATCTTGGCCGGGAAGACATGGTAGGGTGGGTGTGGCTGCACAAATGACGGTGGCTGAATAGTGGTGTCGAGGTCTTCCAGCTCAAGCTTGGCCAGACTCTTGCTGAGTTGATCGGACGCGTCGGAAGCATCACGCGGGCTGCTCACCGAGATTGCCGAGTCGGTAGGTGACGGCAAACGGTCCGATGTGCGGCGTATGGGCTTCAAGAAAGCCGTCTGCTGGGGCATCTCGGCAACATTGTTGAGCACCTTGGGAATCTCCGCAATCTTAAGGCAAAGACTCCGGAAGGCGTCATTGTCGGGAAGAGGAATGCTTTCATATTCCAAGCCTTCCTTCTTCTTCTGGCCCAGCTTCATGCAGCAGCCTCCGCCGCAACATCTGTTGATCAGCTCCGTCGTAGACTCGCCAGTGATTCTTTGAATGTCTGCTGCACTCTGAGAAATCAGCCTGGTAGAGGCTCGGCGCCTTCTGTGCGGTTCTGGTTGAGGCAGCTCATCTTGGTCCTCAGAGTCTTCGGAGTAGGTAAGAGAGGGAGCAATCGAGGGCGTCCCGGGCGAGCAAGAGCCACAGTCGCGGCTCGTGTCGGTGAGAATCTGCTCAATGCGTGTCGACATTGTGATCTTCTATGTCGCGTAAAGCGATGGGAGAATGGTAGGTGTTAAAAGGTGAAAGAACGGGAAGAGACTGAGGTGGCGAGTCGACGGATGAACTAAGTTGTCGTCGTTATTGGCCAGACCTCATGACAGTTCTCTCATATAGTTGTTGGTGTTTGAAGTGTATAAACTCTATAGGAGGTATTGGCCCAACAGCCGAGGCTGGTTTGGCAATGTTGGGTATAAGGTGGTGTTCCTTCTAGGTGGTTGACACAGCCGCAGAATCCAGATTGGCTGCTGACAGTACTCGGGGTTTCGTCGAATTGGATGTCGCAGGTACCAAGAGAGTACTTGAATTGGATGAATATGTCGGAATTGTGTGTGGTCACTGGAGGCTGTGATCCAAATTACCAGTGGTCAAACAGAAAATGGTGAATTGACGAGTAGAGTGGCCGAGGGTTACGGAGGGTTTTGGTGGGCGGGCAGATTTGATCTGATAAGTAAAGCGATGGTCAGCGATGATGAATGTGGGTATTACTCAGTAGGTAGGTACGCAATAAACCTTGGTGCTTTTTTTTGTGGCACCCTTGACACCCTGTCCCCACGTAGTACTGCCATATGTACCTACTTTACCGGCTATGAGAACCGCTCGCGGAGCCCCCCTAATCAGATGGGAATGCAGCGGAAGTCGCAAGGGTTAGTTAGTACAGGTTGGGTTCCGATGCCGTCGAGTGGCCGCTTGGCGGAGGCGCCCAGAACCTTTTCGCACGCTGCAAAGCCCTGCGTCGGTTTGACGACAGCCAGCCCGAGCCAGTGGCCAGCTAACATTCAGCGTGCACTTGCGGCTGTTGGCGCTGGTTCCTTTCCCCGTCTTGCCCGTCGGCAGGTCCCTTGGGGCAGAAGGAGAAGAGCGAAGAGAGGAAAAGAATTTTGCGGCGATCCCTACTCCGCCCACCAGCCAATGCGATTGACACACTCTAGCGTTGGTCGCTTTTTTGTCTTTTTTTTTTCATCATCTTTTTTTTGCCATGCAAGCGGTTTCTTGGGGGGGGAGTACTCCGGTCCTCGCCGAGCCAGACCCCAATAATTGCGTGCGAACCCCTCCAAATTCAAAATTGTCATTGCTTTCGAAAATTAATGACGAGTGTGGCCGGCAACAATTACAGAGTACATACGCACGTATCTCTCGTGACCCGGTCAGTCTGGGCAAAAGGAGAGCACAAAGGCCAATCCTTGCCGCTTATGGCACTTTCCTTTTCAAACATAAAGGACAAGCTGTCCCGGGCATCAAAATTGCATACGGTAGACTTACAATTGCTTGGTGTCTGACGAATTACCTGATAAATCACCAGACTATCGGCAGGGTTAAAGAACTAGTATCTACGTACAAAACACACGCCGCGCACTGCTGAAATACACTGCCTCTCGCGTTGCTGGCTGCGTGTTTGTTGTATCTTTTGTTGCCGGCCTTTTTAGGTCCTGACAAGCAGCAATATGACACAAGGTCGCAGGGCAGATCTCTCCCTCCAGGGCTTTCATCCAACTGGATGTTACCCGGAAAAAGACATTCAGGATATACTTACATATGCTGCATCATGCGCCTACCCTTGGCCAATCCAGCTGTTCCGAGGGCGCCGTATACGACAGTAGGGAAACGCAATTCTCCCGAAACAATGACTTCTTCCTCGGTACAGTGCTCGGTTCGGCCAGTGATCCCGCAAGCGAACCGAATACGTCGACGACTCGTCGGACCTAGAGAGTTCGCCGCTAGGGTCTACGTAGTGCCTGTCTGGGGTAATAATTACCCATTTGTACACTTTTGTACGGAACGGCACACAAACCTGCACAGCCCGCGTATTTTACGAATCGCGATCATGATGGTCGGGGGGTTTGTCAAAGCAAACAGCCCTGCTGGCTTCTCTCTCTCTCCTCTAACCCAGTAAATCTATCAATCTGCCCACAAATGCAGCATTCATACCACTTCCTCATCCAAAACCTCCGGGAATAAGAGATAAGAATGGGCACAAGAGAGCAGCCTGGCCGCGGATCGCGGGTTGCCGAAGAAGACAGTCAACATGCCCTGTGCGCGTGCAGTAAAATAATGATCAATCGACATCGTGATAACCAACGGTGGAAGGCTCCACATTCAACAACACATGATGATTCGACCATCCAGCACATGCACCATGTGTGAACGGATTTCCACATTGTCGGACCAAGTTCCCCGCGCCGCTACCGGAAAACGGGAAAACATTGGAGCTCCTCCCAGCTGCACTGCTGCCATGGAGCTGCTGCCATTCAGGTTTCTCTGCTTGATTCTTAGTGTCTTCTCTTGCACCGTAGCAGTCGGCTCTCATCCGAACTCCTTCGAATCAAGCTTTCAGTCCTCCTCTATTGTAATCCGGGTCAACTGGTTCGTTCTCAGCGGCATCGCAACGAGATAGGCCATTTCCGCGATTGAGTTGTGCTCCATCGCAATGCATCTACGCTAGAATGTGCTGCAGTCCGACGAGTCTAGAATCCGGGGCCCTCAATCGACGACTCTGGTGGATTTCTAAGGAAGTGGTCAGGATCTCGTCAGCTCCTTGTCAACAATTTGTTGCCCCTTTTGTGCTCAAACCATTCCTTCAGGTGGTCAGCCCGGGTTAAGAGCTTGGACGGCTCCTCATTTCTGAATCATATCGCAAAGGGCCCCTTGCCCCTCGTATCCAGCAGTGAGCACAGATCACATACCAATCTTATCAATCTAATCAGCGCGCCGTGTCTTGCCGATATTTTATCAATCTCATCTAATCCGATGGGGTCCGAGACCGGCCATGACCCTTTGAGAAACCAAATCTCGCGTAAGAGATCCGTCTCCAGGGCTGAAGAAGACAACAGTGAAATGCAACTCTCCTCCCTAGACGTGTCCACTTAGTACAGCTCTGCTCGTCCGGGGGGATTGGGAGGGTAATCCATCTGATAAGATTTCCTACATCCCAACGCCCTGGGATCGTCTCCATCATTGGCCCAACCACAAAAGGTTCCATGTCGCCAACGAAGCCCTTTAGCGGGACAACACGCCGGGGGTCCCGTCGCGACTCGCGTGCCGTTCCCCGAGGCTGACACGTCTAGCTTTGATTGTTTCAATGCCGTGAACCCCCCGACCAGTTCAACCATCCATCAGCATGACACCCATGGATCAAGACTGGCAAACGCAGACGATGGACACATCATATGCGTAGAGACAATCACAAGTCCTAATGATCAACCAAGGCACAAGGGCCCTGAGCACCTATCCATGTTCTGCAACAGTGTACCCACGCAGAGTCAATTAGTGTTCGAGCTTGATATATTCTGGTGGAGTGCGATCAACTACCGGCGTTCAGAGCCTGCCAGGCCTGGCACGAACGACCGGCTAAGAACTTGGCATGCTAATTCTAACACACTTTGCCAAGCTTGCCATGGTTCGTATTAGAGTAAAGTCTGACCGTACCTGATTCTCAGCATGCTATGAAATCAGAATGTGGATCATCGAAGCAATGTTTGACCAAAAAGGGCGATTGTGTTTTAACGCAAGGCATGGATTGTTTTCTAGCGATCGAACTCTGTTGTTCTCTGAAGCCCAAAAGAGAAGAAAAAAAAAGAGCAAGACTTGGTCGTTAGCCTCTCACGTCCTAAAACATGTCTTGACTTCTGGGAGCAAGTACTTTTGCACCTCCATTTCCTCCGGACCCGCTGCCACACTTCGATACACAGACCATGGAAGAAATGGATACGTGTGGCCCAGCATCGGTTTGCTGGCGATGTTGATGAATCAGATGATCTGCGCGCCATTGTCAAGGAGCAGTTTTGCCATCTCGGGGTGACGTGTTTCGTTGCTCCATTGACAACTATGCTGCTCTTCCCCAGTAGAAGTGGATTGAAGCCATGGTTGCTCGCTCCGGACGTGAGCGAGGTCTATTTGCTGCGAGTAAATCAATGTTGTTCAACCGTTTATCAGCAGCACAGTCACGATCGCGATTTCATGTTCTTCCATGATGTGGTCGGGAGATCAGGTGGAGTTGACTTGATTTGAACTGCCCTAGAAGCTTCCAAGGAATCTACTCCGTCTTTTCCTGTTTTCAACAAAAGTTAGACCCATGAATTCCCCAAGTACAAGCCTCATCTCCACGACCTTGAATCTCGGAGATAACCCCCAGCGTCTTCACTTCGCGCTGTTCAACCCCGAGCTCCGGAAGCATAAACACTATGCCGAGGACCACTGGCTTTCCTCAATGACACATCTGCGACCATGTACCGGAATCCGCAAGCAAGGGATCATCACCATCATAATTATCCCATAGTTTCTCACGTTCGAGAGCTCTCTCGCTTTCGGTCTTGGCTAGAGGTTTTTTTTTTTTTTTTTGCCGGTATTGGTCGTACAAGAGGGTGGTTTTCTGGACCTTCCGGAACTGCTCTGCCGACAAAGTTCGCGGCCAGTCTGGATTATTATCAGATTCAAAGTGCGCCAAAGATGCCGCGATAGAAAAGGCGTTGCGTATCTGCCACCAGTTCCATCGGCCCACATCGTTGGTGTGGCTCTTGAAGTGCTCCTCCGCGCAACCCAAGATGGCTTTCTCATAGATGACTAGCTTTCCGTCAGACCCTTCTCGTCCACTTTGCTGTTTGTTTCTTTCAATTTCCGCATTGTTTCGTTTCTCTTCAATCTTTCTCAGGTTGTCAATTCAAAGTTTGAGTGGGAAAGCAAGGTCACTCACGGGCAAGTGGCCAACGAGGATTTGGCTAGCTTATGCTATATCTTCAAAATCCTCATGAAGAGTGCCGAAAAGAGTTCGTGTACCTCACTAATGGTAAAATAAAGCGATCGAGTAGCTCTTATGGCAGGGAACATATACAGCATTAGAAAGCGCAGAAGGTTTTGGATAGCTTTGCTAGCGATTATTAGCCTTGGAATATCTACCAACATAAACACGGAGAGAATATCACTACAGATTTTACACCAGCTCTTATACAAGATATCGTTTCTCTTAGATGTCCCATCCGATATGCCTCGCAAATATCTTTTTATGTTGCCCAGCATGGTTATATCATTGCTCATTCTCAAAAAATCTCAAGCCTTCTCAGCTCTTTCTCCGTCCAATCCCAAAGCTTATCCGCTACCCCTTCGTCCTTTAGTATTGTCCTCTCTATGTGCTCCTTTGCGACGGGGTAATGTAGCAGACCCGACTTTGCCTCCGGGGACGTACTAGCCCAGAGCTGATTGTAAGCACCCTCGGCAACGTCGGCAAAGGTGAACCGCTTGATCAAGTCCATGAACGCCTGGACAAGTGCGGGCTGCGTCGGCTCGACTCCCTTGGATAGACTCGTCTTGGTGCCACCCGGGTGCACGGCGACGGATCGGATCCCGGGGTATCGCTTGGACAGCCCCTTAGTGAAGTAGACATTGGCGATCTTGGAGTGGCCGTAACGCTGCCAGGGCCCGATGCCGCCCATGGTCGTCTTGGCCTCTTCGAGTAAGAGGCCATTGGGAGGGCCGAACCATTCCTGTGCTATCGATGTCACATTGACGATGCGGACATCGCCGCCGTTCATAGTGGCCGTTGCCTCGAGGACTGGCAGCAACAGCTTGGTGAGGAGTGCGTGTCCCACATGGTTTGTCCCAAACTGGATCTCGTATCCGTCCTTTGTTAGACCCTCGGGTGTGGCCATGATGCCGCCGTTGTTCATGAGTATGTCGAGACGATTGTTCGCGGCACGGAATGACTGTGCCGCCTTGGCCACGGAGTCCAGCGACGCCAGATCAAGTTCAATAAAGTGAATGTTTGCAACGGTCTGCTCCTCGCTTCTATGCACCGCCAACCCAAGACTAGCCTTGATCTCGGCAATGGCAGCGCTCGCTTTCTCGCGATTGCGCGCGCCAATGTAGACGGTTGCGCCGTACCTGGCGAATTGCTTTGCGGACTCCTTGCCGAGACCGTCACTGCCTCCTGTAATGAATATGACCCTTCCACGTAGGTCTGGAATGTCTCGATCGGGCTTGAACTTTGCGGCACCAAACATCGTGGAGCAAAGTTGTCTTTTATATTAAACTTTATACAGCCAATACAAACGTGTCAGTATTCCTACGGCGCTTCAGGATATCGTTGCAAAAAAAAAATCAAATTGGACGTTATACAATATTCAGTAAGAAACTGCAAGAAAATCTCAATTCTGTCAAGTTTGCTTTAATATTACACCTATGTATGATGTTATGTCTCCAAGCTCTACGGATTTGGGCTTCAACTTATCGACGTGAAAACCGCTCGTCTTGTATAGTATAGTAAGAGAACGGGATTGGAATCAATTCCGCGCCGAGTTCCCTGTGCGTTATGGTCACGCTGTCAATGCCGCTTATGATGATGCTGACCGATTTGTCCGTCGAGGATCGAATGTCGCATGCTATGCAAAGGAGCCGGATGGATCTCCCATCTACGCAAATTCGTTTCAAGGTTAGAGTATTATGGGCTCAGGCATGTGCTCTCCGCAATTCGCAGTGATTCCCACACCTTTACAACACGATTTAATGCTATAATGAGTGCACAATAAGTGAATATTCTAAGTCTATTGAACCTGGCCAAATAGCCATCTCTCTCTCTCTCTCTCTCTCTCTCTCTCTCTCACACACACACACACATACACACAACGGTACCATTCTTGCTACGCCTTTGTGGAATGCCCCAAATTGATACGCGCGCTTCGTGGAGAAGAAATTTGCTTGCTGCAACTCTTGCGTCTGGGGAAAGCGAGGAAAACACGGTTGCCTAGAGGGCAGGCTGTTGAAAAACCTGAGATTGCGCAGCGAATAGCTAAAGTTACCTTATTTAAAAAAAAATGGCTAAATATAAACTCGAAAAGAAGGGGGGAAAAGGAAGAAATTAAAATAAAAAATATATAAATATCCATACTCATATTTGAAATTTTAGTTTATTTCAGTTTTGCTCCTATTATATCATATTATTACAGCTATATAAGCGTAAGTATTTGGTAAAAATGGTGTTTTTCAATAGTTTGCCCTCTGGTGCTTTACAAAAAGTGAGTTTGGAGAATCGAGCGACTTGCGAGCAATAATTCAGCAGCATCGGCTAGATTATTTGCGTTTGAGTTGGCTCAAATGAAGCAGTGTGTTGATTTCTTCCTTGTTGTTTTGCAAGTGTTCCCCGACCTCGAAAACGGTTTTACCTTCCTTGTCTTTGATTGAAAGATCGCAATTCTCATCTTCTAAGAGCGCGGTTACAAGTTCCAACCCGCCTTTTGCAACAGCAATATGTAATGGTGTTCTGCCCTCGTAGTCTTGTACATTGACAAGATGTCGAACTTGGCCGAATATCAGACGGAGTACTTTGGTTGAATCATTATGAGGATAGCCCCGGCAAATAAGATGAAGCACGCTTTGTCCCCTGGAATTAAGGGCATTGATATCGACAGCTGCATTGATTTCCAGAATGAATTTAAAGACATGCAAAGACCTTTGTGCTGCGAACTGGAGTGGATTTTCTGCCTGCCGTGTTCCGTGTTCAAGCTGTTCCACAGTCGCGTGCCGGACCAAGACGCTCATGGCTGACAAGTTTTCCGAACGGCAGGCGCGATGTATCATGTTGCCTCCATTCCAATAAATGCTAGGTGATTTCCTGTAGGTTTTACTGAGTAATTCATTCTTGGCATCGGCATCCAGAAGACTCCAGTAATACTCGTACAACTCGATAGCATCCCGACCAATCCGTGCAATAGCGCACGCGGAAACGAATATATCAAAGGGCTTCAGCCGGTCCTGGCGTCCAGATTCCCAGGACAGAAGTGTGTCCAACAATTCTCGACAACCAGAACTGATTGCTGCGGCGATATGACTCTGCAACAAAGGACCTTGAACAAAGTCAGCGCGTTGATCTTCGGTTCCGAGTTGGACGAGTTGATAGAACAGTTTCGAGTTGCCTGCTTTGATAGCCTCTCCTGCAGCAGTAACATTGCGCTTTGTTCTATCCTTGGCGTCATATATCGAACACCCTTGGCTGACAAGATATTCGCAGACTGGCAAATGACTATTCCTTGCGGCACAAACGATTGGCGACAGTGCTGCACCTTCACGCTTTCCCAGTTTCGGATCTACTCCTTGAGCAATGCATGACTTTACGTTGGAAAGATTCCCAGACGCGCAAGCAGACCAGATGTCGTCTTTTGTCTTGGCTGAAGAGGGAAACACATACTGAGTATCCGCTCCTTGAGGATGAGATGTCTTAGTATGTCTTTGCAGATCTGACCCCGAGGTGAAGCCAAGAGTATGATGAGGACAATTATCTTTGGGACAGAAAAACTGTATTTTGTGATTTCTCACATGTTGATTTCGACTTTCTCTGTCCAGGAAGCCTTCAGAGAACATTCTGCATTGCGACTTCGAGCACTTGTATCTTGGGAGTCCATTAAATGCGAGAAAGTCGTTCTGTTCGCGAGCGCCACGAATTTGCGGCCAGATTGTCTCAAGAATCTTTCTGATGGAAGAGCACCGTTCTTCCAGAATTTTCTCATAGGATCTAAAACATTCGTTGTTTGGAACAGATTCAATCGTAGGGGGATCTTCTATATTCGCACCACATTGGTATGGTTCAAGAGCGTGTGCTTCGAATCTGGTTTTCAAAAGACTATTGAGGTCGATGATAAGGTTTGGGGGTGCAGTAGTGTTCTCTGTCAACACGATGTCTACATGCCGCTGCCAGTAGACGACAATGTAGTCAAGAAGTCCATAATAGCCAGAGATAGCTGCGCCGAAGATGGCTTTCGCATCTTGCCCTTTCTCGAATGGAGATGAAGCGAGATATCGCGTAGAAAAAATAGCCATATTCGCTTGTTCTTGAAACAAATCAAGACGTCGTGTGTCAATCAGAAATCTGTATCTCGTGTCTATAAGCTTCTGCAAACTTTCCCTTGCAAATAGGAGAAGTTATGCAACATACCGTAGAGCTGTGTCATGGACGAACCGAACGATCAATTCACATTCCTCCACCTCATGTTTGGAATGCTCGACATCGACGAATGAGCCACAAATAGTTTTGCAATCATCGACTCTTTTATTCCTCGGTATACAGATACCTTTCATTGGATCAACGCAAAACAAAGATTGAATTTCCCTCCATTTTAGGGGCCGGGTAGCGCATGCAATCCAATGCAGAATCTTGGCGGCAGATTCTTTCAATGTCCGACGCCGGCCAGGATGCTCCAATAGACGAACAGCAACACGCTCGTACCTGAATTCCACATATTAGTACATGCGAAAACTATGAGTCTTGGAACACTCACGCCTTGTCCAAACCATCAGGAAAGTTGACAGTGAGCTCATCGTCCAGCTCTGTTGCAGAGCCTTGAGCCAGAAGATTTCCCATAACAACCGTAGCGTACAAGAACATGCCTGAGACTGTTTAGCCAATTCCTTGTATCAGGAAAACACTAGTTTGATGATTCGCTGAAGAACCTACCGTTTGAGGCTTCAACCACCTTCTTTGCAATACTTTGCTCCTCGAATCCTTCAAGACTGAATCTTCTTCCTAGCTTTGATGCCTCTGCCCTTGTGAATGACTTGATGTCATCTAAGTGGGCAGCGAATGTGTCGAGCTTGAATGTAGGATACTTGAAGAGTGCCTTGTCCAATATGCCGTCTCTCTGTCCTGTGATCAGTAATCGCAAACTCGACCCTTGGGCTGACGTTTCTGGCATGATTTCTTTCAGAAACCAATCAAGGATACCTATTGACTCGCTGACTGGTTTACCATTATCGGGACACTCATCCAGACCATCCAGAATGATATGACATTCTCTTTGGCTTAGCAGCAACATCTTGGCCCAACTTTTGAGGCAAGTCAGACTTCTTGCCTGTCTATCGCTAACTGAACCGTACTCTTCAAAAGATGCACCTACGAGAGTAGGATCTTGTGTCAGCAATTGCACAATGACTGCTCGTAGCATATCGGTCATGGAATGCTTGGTGTCTTCTCGATGTTTGAAGAAGAAGAACAGGCAGCGTGCTGTGCTAAAACTAGTAGAATTACGAAGATGAGAGATGACTTTGGACGCGAGAACTGTTTTTCCTATTGCTCAGATTGTTAATTACTCCTCGTCAAGGTGAGTAAGTACATTTTTTCTGCTTACCGGCTCCTGGCATGCCATGGATATAGAGGGTAGTATTGGGCAGGGTCTGGGATGTACTCCACCGTAGAAACAGCGGCTCTCGTAGAAACCACGATCCGGACTCATGATATCGTTGCTCTGAGGCTCCCTGGTGATCGGCTTCGTAGTCTGGAGGCTCCAACTTTTGAGTAAGGAGCCTTACTTCTTTCAAAAGCGTCGCAGTCCGCTCTTTCGTGTCGCCATCCTCGATTCTGTGCTCGATGGAGTAAAGTTGTTGGGCTATCTGCCTATATACCTCACTGACTTGATCTGACAAATAATCAATTTTCCGGGTTGTTTCTATCGAAGAAACATCCAGTCCTGTCAAGATCTGGTCTCTGGTGACTTGCACCTCCGAAACGGCGGCATTGAGTCGTTCATCTGCTAATAGTGCTCTATGACGCTTCAGGCTCTCGGCAATAGGCTTGAAATCCGTTCGAAAGGTTTTCCAGGTCGAGTCGAAAAAGATCCGCCAGCCTATACCAAGAGTGAGATGCCTTTTCAGTCATCAAGACAAAGTGATGAGACTGCATACCTGGTCTCGAAAAGACCTTCAATGCATTTTGGTGAAATCGGAGAATATCTTCAACGTATCGCCCAAGAACCTCCAACACTGATGGTGAGGATGCAAATAGACGATCATACTGTTGCAGGTGAGGAATCAATTCGCCAAACTCCACATATGTGTCAAGCAGGAACTCCAAGGTCTCGAGTTTGGAAGAGGCGATCTAAGAGGTCAGCAAAAGATAAATCACGTTCACGCAAACCAAGGCCTCTTCTCACCATTAACATGAGTTTGATAGGACCCTTAAAGCACCAAGAGTCAGTCGCTAACTTTCCATGAGATCTTGTTTTCTCCACATACCCAGATGAAAGCCACGACTTCCGACACGTTCAGGAATATTTGGACGAGCTTCTCAATCTCGGTCATCGCCTCGACAAACTTGGAGAGGCGGCCAAGGTTCCGAAGCTTCTTTGTTGAACCATATTGATTCTGGATTTGTTCTATCTTGTCAAGAACATCGACCAGGGACACTGCAGCAAATTGATTTTTTTTCTTCCTCTGTCAGCGCATCTCGAAATCTTTGGATCGCTTTCTCTAACGTGCTCTGTGGGGATGAAGTCATTGTTCTCTCCGCCGCAGCCGCTCTGTCATACAAAAAGACGTAGACGCACAAAGGAAGAATAATGTTGAAAACAGAGTCAATCAGTTGTAGATCAAAGTTTTAAATATTCTCTCTGCTCAAGTCAGGCGAGCTGGTATGTCTGATGACGTGGCAAGCAAAAGCAGGCTTGTGCCTCGATGTGCCTCGTCAGGCTCTGCACTGCTTGTGTTGCCCGACTGCGGTTGGGGGTCGCGAGTATTGGCCGGCGGCGTTCTTGCATAGCCACTATATGCGCCATCCCCTGCAGCAGACGCCCCAGCGGCAGGCCACTGCCTCAGCGCTCACCTTTTGTCGGCTCCCTTCCATCAAGTTATTGCGTTCATCGCATCTCAAGGACTACCTAGTAGTGCCGAAAGTGTGCTTTTGGCCCAAAAGTCATTGCCTTGTCTCAGCATTCGCTCCTCAACTTTCCTTTACCGCCAAACAATTGCTACTCTGTGTTCTCCTTCAATGTAAGTATGCTCTGTAGCAATCGCAAGTTCTCAATGATCAATTTTTGATCTCCGCGAAGGGAAACCAGCGACGCCAATCAATATGCTACTCCTGCATCGCTTGTAAAATACGATGATGCGCAGTCAATGTCAGAAGACATTGCGGAGGATGGATCGGATGGTGACCAGACTATCTGCTACGGGGCGGTAGGTGCTTGTTTATTCTGGTCTCAAGCATTGGAAACCTCCCTACGCATGTCATTCAAACCTAACGATTATGGCAGTTTTGCAACATGAAAGCACGCTTGAGCAGAACAGAGGAACTCGGTATTGTCGTTAGTCCTTGGGTTCAATTTCACGAATTTACAGTGACTCAAAGAGACAATTATTTGTACCTCAGCAATAGCTTGAGAAACCCGGATTCTAAAGACATTGGCGTCCTAAACATGACAGACTCAATGGCCCTTATCCCGTTGCTGTCGTTTCAAGGCATTGTCATCACAGCGATAATTACCTCAAAGTCCATGAGTCTTGTCTCGAAGAAATCAGGTCCCAAAACGTTCACCGCGGATATCTCAATCAACGTTACGGGACCAGAGGCGCTCTTTACTGCTATAGGTGAGACGCTGACTACCCGGAAGCAGTTTTTGCAGCATCCCGAATACCTGCAAAAAGGGTTGAAATACATGAACCCGCAATACTTTTATCGCGGTAATCAACCATCTGATTTGCGGTCCCTGGTTGGACCTTCGCCGCAGGAAAAAACACCTTCATTCTCATTTCAGGAGTTGACCAATCTCATGGACGGGACGGGCATGCTGTCGGATTATAGCGAGCATATCGATAAAGTTCTCTCGCTGGGTTTGATCAGGACCGCACTCAAAGAGTATGTTCTTGGAAAAGAATCATCTGGTAGACCGCGAGTCAATGCTAACCTATAGGTGTGGTCAAGTCATCAAAGAGATGGTGTCAGTTTCATTCTTGGTCGCGAGGATGCCAACAGAGCTTCACTTCTGACCCAGAGCCTGGCATCTGCTACCAATGAAGGGTAGGTCTTCTTTCAGTGACAAGCTGATAAACGGTGGATGTCATGCTGACCAGGCCACATAGGTCTTCTGACAAAGAGCCGTACACAGCGCTCGGTGGGATTTATGCAGATGAAATGGGTCTTGGCAAAACATTGACGATGCTTTCCGCCATTTCAGTCTCGGAATATTTGAATGCACGGGCTACCGACTCAATGGAAATAGATTCAGACCTTCAAACAGTAAAAGCGACCCTAGTCGTTGTCACCGCACCCCGTATGTATCACATCAGCATTCGCTCCCGCTTTCATGTGAAGCTAACCGTAGAGTAGAGCTAATCAATGTCTGGGATTCTGAGATAGACAAGTCGGCTCATCCACTAGATATCACGGGGGGGAACGTACTGACCGTCGTAGGCACTTCGCACCAAATGTTTTCAATGTGAGCATCTTCCACGGCGACAAACGAGCAAAGTCTCTGCAGAGTCTACACGAAAAGGACATTGTTTTGACTACCTACCATACGCTCATATCAGATTGGACCTCAAAACGCTTGCTTCACCAACATACGTGGAATAGGATAGTCCTTGACGAAGGTAAGGTCATTCATCTTGATAGCGCCTTTCAACCCAATGCCTTTTCCACATCCTTCACCAATACATTTCAAGACTTACGGGAGAATAGCACACTGCATTCGGAACCAGTCAACACATCAATTCAAGGCGGCCCAAAATATAAATGCTCGCAATAGGTGGTGCGTAACCGGAACTCCTATACAAAATTCGATGCACGACTTGCGATCTTTACTGGGGTTCCTCCACTTCCGCCCCTTCTCAGAACCAGCCATCTTCAACAAATTCATCGTGGAGCCGCTCTCATCGCAGGAGCTCGATCCTGTTCGACATCTTCGCACGCTGCTCTCTGTCATGTGCTTCCGACGCACACGGGCACTTTTATCCTTGCCGCCATCAGATTTCCATAAGATTTCCGTAACCAGAACGGCTGACGAAACACATTGGTATGATAAGATCCTCGCAAGCGCAAAATTGGAGTATGAAAACATCGCAAACATGAAATCGACAAAGAAGAAGCATACTGTCCTATTTGCAACTCTTATGGAATTGCGTCGTTTGTGCAGCAATGGGCAGCCGCGAAGTGAGGTGAAGAATACGTCGCAGAGTAATGATACTGAGTTACGGACGCAAGGTTCAAGACTCGGAGGCAAGAAGAGAAAGAGGGACACCATAGCCTTCTCGGGATTCTGCGAAGACTGTTGCAGTGACGAAGTCGATCCAAGCCTTGGTGCCGCGTTACGCGAGTTCTGCCCAACCTGTTCCGAATCTTCGTCGTCGCCCTTATCAGGGGCCATGGTCATCGAATCTATCCAGAATTTGCCAATGGATTTTGAGTGTTCTTCTGCTAGCAGTCCCGCTTCATCCACTTTTGCTTACCAACGAGAAGTTCCAAGCCTGCTGCCAGCAAACAACTTGAAAGCAGCTCTGCCTTCTTCCAAGATTTCTGCTGTAATAGATAACGTGGAGAACTCGCCAACGGGCCACAAAAAGTCAGTCAAACATCCCAATCCCTTCCTTCCAAGATAATTGAAGGTTGAATCTAGAGCTAAACATCTGACAGCTTGATCTTCACTTCCTGGCGGCTCACTCTTGACGCGTTGCAATTCGAGCTGAGTCGCCGCGGTCTTCCTCATTTGCGCATCGATGGAACGACGAGTTTTCTGGATCGACAAAGAATTTTGTCTCAATTTTCCGAGGATCCTGACCAATGCACTCTTCTCATGACCATTGGAACGGGTGCTGTTGGGTACGTAAACTCGTTTTTTCCCATGCTTTGCACAAATCGATGCATTGAAGCGCAAAGGCTCACGATTTGGATGCAACAGACTTGCCATCACGTCCGCTAACCGGGTTCATCTCGTCGAACCTCAATGGAATCCCTCCATGGAGGACCAGGCCATTGCAAGGGTTATTCGTATGGGCCAGGAGAAACGTGTCAGTGTATTCAAATATATAATGAAGGGCACAGTAGAAGAGGTACGTCTTATCACGGAGGATAAAACAAAGTGGATATATAAGAGTTTGTCGCTAATTGATGCTCGTCGTCCCTTACAGAGCATTGTCGAGTTGCAACAGAGGAAAAGGCGCATGGCTAGGATATCGCTGGACGGAAATGATGACGACGGCAGACTCGAGGTTCGTCTTTTCCTTGTCCTTTCCCCTTTCCACTGTCTTTTGTCTCTTCTATAATAATCGCAGCCTTATGCTAATGGCTATGCTAGGACTACCGCTTCGTGTTGACGAATTTACACTAGTTTCTTGGGTATCGTAGTGGCAGACTTGTGATCCTTTTTTTTTTTTCCCTGTAAAAAGATAGAAACTGTAGATAGTGACTCTGAGCAAAATTCGTACGCCACAACTCAATTAGCTTGAGCAGATGGGAAAATGGATCTGCCATAGATAGTCTTCCAGACCATTCTAGCCACTACTGCCGGCTGGACTTGGGATGGTTATATCAATGTATGACGTCTCACCTCAATTCGACTCGCTGTATTAAGAAACATGCAAGCCATTCTCTATGACTCGTGCAATCGGTGCGAAATGCCAAACATGCAGTAAACGCACAATCAAACCAGAAAGACAACAATAGTCTCGCTCTTGGACAGCTACGGCAGATATTTGACTGCCGAAAAGCTTCAAAACTTGCTCATGACAGCCTATGCAACCGTTTCATCCCAAGCATGAATCATGAAGAATGGCTCTTGTGATGAGAGTGTTGTAAGGTCATGACTGAAGACTAATATTAATGAGACACAAACCATGAGGCCGAAGTGAGAAATCCGAGTTGACCACGTTGACAGTTTCACGGATATTCCGCAAGTGGAGTAGTAGAGGAAAGGGAAAAAATGCTGCCGAAGATGCTGACGACGCCGAAAGTCAGAAAAAGAAAGATTTCTGCCTCCTAAAGATGCTTATGTCAGGAGTGATAAGCGAACTACAGACGAAGAGAAAGAAGCTTTTTTGGTGGTTGGCGACGTAAACATTGGCGGTGGGTGTCGTGCTGCACGTCCATCTCCCGAGACCCCCCTTCTTGTCCCCTACGTAGGATCCTGGGACATGCGCCAGACTATACAAATCCCGAGGGCTTGGCGCAATGCTTAGTTGTATGTAAAGTTGGGAGCAGTACGTATTCCAAGTCACGTTGCGCCTCGGCTTCTTCCTGTAGAGTTCCGCTATTATGTGGGCAAATCGGGAATAAAAGTGGTCGGCCGGATCTCGATAGGAGGTTTCCTGGGGATGCTGTTGCTGCTATTGTACGGACGAATGTGTTGCATTTGCCAGGGAGGAACGGAGCCTTTACCGCGATCAAGCCTTTTCTTACATCCAACAAGCTTCTTTACGGGTCGCGGCTACGATGTAGTTACGCGTCGGTAGGCAGGCGGGCGGGCGGGTTCAGCTGGATTTCCCTCTCTGTCTATCAGTGTGTTGCTTTCTCGGGGGGATCGACGCTGGGGTGCGACCCCTGGTCCGGAGACAAGGCCAAGAGATTCACAATAGCATTTCGGAACTCAAGCTCGGGGACCCGCGAACATCAAACGAAACAGGGCCAGCAAGAAGCCGAAAGCAGTAAAATCCATACAACAGCAGCTTTCTCGACTCTTTGGCAACTCGGTTCACATCACGAGTTGCGCTCTAGCGACGGAAGAAAATAACGTTGTTGGGCAAAGATCATCGATTTGAGTTTAAGAGTAGTAGTGCGTGCACACATGGCAGATGGACAGAATCAATACCAAGCAGTCGTATCTCCCAAAAAAAAGGCGCCGGCTCTTGAGCTTGTCTACGGCAGTAGGTGCATCCGTGAGATAGCGCCTGCGAGATCTGCCAACGCTAATGTACGTAGCTTCTATCCCGCTAATGAATGAATGGAACAGGCGCAAAGGTAACCAACCCAAAAACAACAACAACATTTACCATAAGATCTCCTCAATCTACCAAAGCATATTTACCAGATTTTTTTGACCGCTAAAAACAGAAGATCCGCTTCGAACAGTACAGTGGATATTTTGGTGAGTACGCAGCAAACAGTTGGGATCAAATGCCCGGGGGGCTGAAAGAAATGTGATGCGCTCAGAGCCGCGAGACTAGGGTCCGGAGGTGACAGGTCCCGACTCCTTAGTACGGCCTCGCTGCTGGTCCACGTTTCAGGACCTCGCGACTGTCTGAAGAGCCCACGAAGGAGAGCAACTTGAGTCTGCAAATCAGTAGCAGAATTCATCGGGATGAATCACTGGACCAAAAGGAAGGGGTCCCTGTTCTTTTGCGGGCTTTGCGATCTTCATACAATTCTTCCGAAAGATTCAAGATTCTCCCCATCGTCGTCACCCGTGCATTGATGTTTTTTGGTTGTTAGTTAGGTGCGAGTAACGCTGTACAGTACATGCTCAGGTCTCCATTTACACCTTGTCCTCTTCCGACTCTTTTCCGAGCGCTTTGCTTTCCACGTTCTTTTCTTCTTCTCTTTGCTCTCTCCTGCCACTTTTCGAATTACTTAATTTGGTCTCTATATCTCGGTGCAAAAAGCAGGGCTGGCTGCAACCTATCAGATCATCCTAATCTGATATATCTTCTTCGTATTTTCCTCTCTTTTCAATATCCGGAACGCTTCTCTTCCGGTGTGTGGGGGCCTCATTTGGGTTATAGTGTTTGGCTCCTATTGGACTTTTGTTCATACCTCTAGGACCGTTCTGTCTTGTCTCCACCTGTCAAAGTCGACTATCATTCCACTATTCTTCTTCTATTATTTTTGGGGCTTCAGCCGGCTCATCAACAGCCTTAAAATTCCTTATTTTCTCTTTATCAGCCTGCTTGCGACGATCTAGTTTCGAACTTCCTTCTTGCCGGTTGCTCTCTTCTCATATCCAGCATTGCCAAGGTCGCTGTCAGATCCGTCAAACCTTGATTTAATAAAAACGGACAAACAACCACTTCAATATTCATCATATGGCTGCTAGATCCCTATGGTAGACAACTTTGCTGCGCTTGTCAGCGATCACAACATCTCCCCCCATCTCTCGGGGTAATCTCCTCCTCCTCCTCCCTGTCAAAATCGCCAATATGGAGGTAGCACAAGAAACCATCAACATGACCTCGGTGGTCGACTCGACGACTCCTGATGCAGTAGTGTTGGGCAAGAACCTGAGTTACTATGCCATCATTGCTGCCACATTGTTGTTGGTCTGGTTGTTCCAGCCCAATCAACACAGCAATGTCTCAGCCCCCTTCTACAAGGCATCGAGGATGAAGTGGATGTTTAGTGCAGATTCCCTCGTCCGCGACAGCTACAACAAGTTCAGGGATCAAGTATATCAGGTCAGATCCACCGAGGGTGTACGGACACTGATTCCAGCCAAATTGATCAGCGAACTCAAGGGACTGCCGGAAGACGTCTTGAGCACATCGGAAGCTATCAACGAGGCCATGTTGGTCGAGTATACCAAGTTTACCTTTGGCAACCATGCCGACACCATGCACCTGCTCTTGAAGAGCAAGCTGACGCAGCAGCTTGGACGCTTTGTTCCAAGACTAAAATCGGAACTAGAGTTCATCGAGAGAACCGAGTTTCAAGACTGCAAAGAATGGACAGCTGTCACAGTACAGCCATTCATTCTTCGTGCTGTCGCAAGACTCAGCGGCAGGATATTCGTGGGAGCAGAGCTTGGACGAACCGAGGAGTGGATGGAACTGAGCATCAACTTTGCCATCCGGGCCTTCATTGCCGTTATCAAATTGCAATTCTTTCCTACATGGGCCAGGCCGATTGCCAAGTACATGGTCTCGGAGCTGAGACAGATCGACCGAGATGTTGCAAGGGCACAGGAACTGTTGAAGCCCATCATTGACGAAAGGCTGCAGGACGCGGAGCTTGATCCGTGCGGCGAGAGGCCTGATGATTTCGTTCAGTGGCTGCTTGATGCTCTGCCGGAAGATCAAAGAAGGGATTATCATATGCAAGCAAAGCTGCATTTGATACTCTGTGCCGCAGCGATACACACCACTAGTAATCTGGCAACCGACTGCATTTATGATCTCGCAACACATCCAGAAAACCAATTAGTACTACGCGACGAGGCACAGGAGGTTCTCGTGGACGGCGATGGGTGGGCAAGAAAGGAGAGCATGGCCAAGCTGAAGAAGACGGACAGTTTCATCAAGGAGTCGCAACGCCTTGCTGGAAACGTCAGTAAGTAGCCACGTGATAGCAACCTTCCCATGTGGGCCTGCCAACTAACAGAATCCAGCGTCTTTTATTCGCAAAGTGGTCAAGCCAATCGATCTCTCAGATGGCACACATCTGCCCCCAGGAACTAATCTCCTCGCCCCGCAAATTGGTTTCAGCCATGATGAACGTTATTTCCCGGAACCCGAAACATTTGACGGTCTGCGCTTTTGGAAGATGAGAAACCAGTCTGAAGAGGCGGCCAACCGCTGGCAGTTCAGCAGTATCGGTGACTATAACATCAACTTTGGCCTCGGAAAACACGCTTGTCCGGGCCGCTTCTTTGCCGGCAACGAAATCAAAGTCATTCTCGCTCACCTCGTCATGAACTATGACATCAAGCTCAAGGAAGGCGAGAACAGACCGGAGCCCGTCATGTTTATGATGAGCAAGACTGCCAACTCCAAGGCTGAAATCATGTTCAAGCGGCGTCCCGAGACATGATTTCAACATGATATCATACGAAGAAAAGAAGGGAAAACAAAGAAACGGCCGTTTGTACATTAGACTCGATATAGATACCATCTCTTGTCACGTTTGACAAGTCAAAACGAGCGAAGCCAGGCGACGCGCGCCTGTGTCCTGGTCTCTTGAGAGTTCAAGGGCGTCGACAGGATTCTCAAAGTAGGAACAAGAACCTACAAGTACATACCTGGGCTGATAGCCTCTGCATTTTTGGAATGTCGGATTGTATAAATGGGCCGACGAAATGGAAATTGCATCGGGAGGCGTAGATCAGTCACTCTTTCTATAAAGAACAAGAAACCAAAATAGTAAAATGATCGAAATTTATAAAGTTTCATAAAACATCAGCCGATTTCATCATCCAGTGCCCCCAATCCGAATTTTGAATGAGAAAAAGAAGAAAACAAAAACAGCCCATGGAAGACGGAGTAACATCGCGTCTTGGTGCCATAGGGGCGACCTCTCTTGCACCACATGAAAGTAATACATTCTTTTTGGAGCGCAGCCTAATTGGACCCGCAAGCTGAGGCTCAGCCAAGCCACAAGGCGTGCATTTCCACTACGAAATGGTCAAAGCATCATCATTGACTTTGATACCTATAAATTTGGTCTCAGCCTCCACATTCAAAACCTAAAGGAATCTCTACTCTTGACACCTCGGCCTTTTGGGGAGATGCAAGGGTTGAGGAGAGTGACTAACCTGGTAGATCAAAGCATCCCAAAATGCCATTGTTGTTTGTGATGACGGTATCTGTAAACATGACATTAATTTCCATCTCATCAACACTCGAGAAAAGAAAACACTAACCCAAATCAAGGGACGTGGGCAGATAATCATTGTGCGAATTCCGACACTGGCAAGAAATAGTAGCATCGGTAGTCGAAGCCACACAATCCTGACAAGAGTAAAACGCGTGGCCCAGCCGTCCGGGCTCCAAGACGCCCTCGGTATTCTTGAGGCAGTCGAGCAAGTCAATGGCGCTGGTCACGTTGCCGCCGGCAGCGGGCACCGCGGTATTGTTGGGAGGGGGAGCAGGCGCAGAGGAGGCGGGAGTGGATGGACATCTCGCCACGACAAAGTTGCTGTTGTGGTGGTAGCCCAGCTCCCAGGTTCGAAAGCAGGATTCGTAAAAGCCTTGGCCTAGCGCCAGCGAGGCCGACGAGGTTAGGAGGAGGGCGGCGGCGAGGGGGGATCGCATTGTTCACTTTTGAAACGGTTTAATTGGGTGGTTGAAATGAGACGCGGATAGTAGTTTATATGGTGGAGGAGCAAAGTAGCTGTTATTGGTCCTCAGAGTAGGTGTAAGCTATATGTTGTTGTGGGAGTACTTGTTGTGTGTAGCCTTTATAGATCTGCACCGGGTTTCTCTACTATAGTCGGAGCTTTTTTTAAGGACGAGAATACTTGTGTGTGTGTTTTGGACAGAGAGTTATGACCATGTAATTTAAAAATGGAGAGAAATCAAACACGTTACTTCCTGACCAGGGAGCGGCTGGTCCCCTAGATGTATTTATATATCATGTCTCTTATTCTTGTTCACATTTCTCCCTCGTGACAGGCACGGGTTGGGTCCGGGTATGGTGACAATCCTGCCAGGGCGTGGGAAATTAAATAGAAATGTGGGGTCACAAAGTCTTGAGAGAAAAAATCCGGGTTAGCAAGCATACAAATGAATTGGATATTTCTTGACATATCACGGATCGTGTGTGTGGTGTGTCTCTGGTTCATGTCTCTCTCCTCCTCCCACAGAGTCCAGCCCGTTTGCGCCATCGAGAGGGCAGCTCAAGAGGGGTGGTATTCATGTCCAAGAAAGTGGAGCGAGTATTACCGAAAATGGATATCCAAACAGGCGAGGGGGGACCCCTACCAGCTTTTTTTTTTCCCCCTACACCGTAGAGACAGAAAAAAAAGCGTTACCATGTACACATGTTTTTGCCTTTCACCTTATCTCGGTACTCGACGTTCCCCCTCAATACCACCTATAAAACCCAAATTGGGCAGGCAAATGGTCGGAATCCCGCCGCACTGGCGCCCGCCCCGACCGACATCCAGAAAAAGTCATTTCTGGGCAGACCATGTAACCCAGCTCGCCGGATTGGATTTTTTCTTTTTTCTTTTCCTTTTCCAACAGCGGCCGGTTGCGACGCTGACTTGAGGCTGAATAATCTAACAGAGAAGTGACAAAAAAGGAAAAAAGAGGTTCTGGACCAAGCACGTGGTGCCATTATTATAGTGTATTTATTACCGGGGGGAACAGGATTTGTGGAATGAGCTGGTCCAGTAGCGATGCTTGGAGGAGAACATTTTCCCAATGGTTTTAAACACCCTGCCAAAAGGTCTCAAAAGGAACGGGGCCCTCGTGCCACTGCAGCTTTCCGCTCCGAATGATCTGATTTCCTGCTGCCGCTGGCTGATTTCCGCCCTTGCTTGGCTAGAGACAGACGCCTTACTCGAGCGAACTCTGTGCCTAAGAAAAAAACGCCTCACTTTTCGGGGTCTATATAGTAATAAATAACGGATGATAAGCCCCCGTGGACCAGAAAGATTACGTGCAAAAGTAAATATACCACTATTGGATTAATGAGAACCGCGCACTATTTGAACACCAACTAACATGTATAATGCACGAAATATGAAAATGAAGAAGTTTTGCAATAGTATGAATCCTTGTCTTGGGCTTGGCAGCTGTCACCAATAAAACCGAGCTCATCGCCCCGAGTAGTTTGTCCACTGAGCTGCCTTTCGAGGTACACCACTGCTCATTCGAGATGCGATAAGTCGTAGCTGCAAATTGGATAAGAATACGTTACTAGCATCTGTACGCCACTTTTGTAGACCCACGAGGACTTGTCACCGGCCTCATCGAGGAAATAGGCCCCATCACTAGCATCTTGGAGGATGCAGGCGCTTTCGCTCCCATGGGGCTTCTTGCCTTTGTTGGAAGTGATAATAATGCTCGTCTTGTTGAGCCACTAGGCGTCTGAGGTTTCGAGGGCCGCGTGTCCATGGACTGCCGCCCAAGGCTCGGATCAGCATGAGAGCGATTGGCAGGCATACAAGGGGCAAACCTTCATTCTTGGAACTTTCGGCCTCGTTCTCTTTGAATCTCCAGCCGCAAAGAGATTGTTCACATCGTCTTCGTCATCGGACGCAGTCATTACAATGGTGGAGCTTTTGGCTATGGCCCACGCTGATTTGAGGGCCTGGCTGATGACGAGCTCTGTGGTGATCTCTTAAATATATCCTGCCGGTTTTTATACTGTGAGTACTTTTCCGCAAATTGCGAAATATTATGATCCATAAAAATAACTCTATATCTATATATCCTATCCTACCAGACAAGTCGCCGAGGGAAATTTACTTAATCATTTTCTGTGAAATTATGTGAATGTTGACTTTGAACCCACTCCTCTGTACTCCGTACATCACATATTCCATCTACTCTCGTGAGAATCCCGAGCTCTTCAAGTCGCTGACAGATAGCAAGGCGCCCGCTCACTTTCAGAGTCCAGGGTCGCTGAGTGCATAGAGATACCAATGACTCGATGCTTTCACGATCGTCACCCACATACGGACCGCCTGACATCCTCGAGCTCCTCAGATGGTGCAGTAACTCACTTGTGATCCGTTCCTGTTGATCTTCTGTTGTCTCAAACCATCCGCCTTCCTCTAATGAAGCCGCAGCACGACCCACTCTGCCAATGAAACGAGAGCGCTCGCTACTGCACCAGTTTTTACACCTGGTTTCAAGGGATAATAGTAGACCATTCAACTTCGTCTCTTCGGCTGGCGGTGGGTTCCCTAGACGTATCATGTTCAGGAAGGCGTCCAGAACAGCATGAGCTGGGAATGAAACAAAAAGAATGCTATCTTCCATGGTATGGAAGGTGAAGTCAGGATTGATCCGCGTCAATTCGAATACTTGGAAAAGATGCAGTCCCGGGAGAGAGTCTTCACGGCAAGGATCGAACCAGGTACCTAGTAAGAACACAACGGTGACCATTTCGTCAAGATTCGCCTCTCGATCAATGAAGATACGCAGTGTCTCTAACATGACCACTAGGCTCTCCAGTTTCAAGCCATGATTTTTCCGGTGAATCTGTCTGCATGCCAAGTAGTCTGTGAACGGTGTGTCGAGCTGTGCGAACGGCCACAACCACAAGTCTGGCGAGAATTTGAACCCCTTGTACTTAGGGTCTGCACCTTCTCTCAGTAACACTCTAATTGATTCGTCGACATTCAAATCTTGTGGCCTTAGGTAGGTTCTTCTACTCGCATACGCATTGCATGCGTTCAGGAGGATTTCTGATTTAGCTTGTTGACTCAAGGCCCCGTGCTTGATGGCGTGTAGGACATATTCGTCGCTGCAAATACTAGCCGCCACCTTCAAGAAGTCCTCGCCTTTGCACAGACGTGCTTGGTTTCTGGACCCGACGAATAGTTTGCCGTCGTTGCACAGGCTCTCACAACGACGGATCAATTGCTGCCAGTCGAGAACCATACAACTATCCGTACCTTGATAGACGCGACGCAAATATCTCATAAGGTATAGAGGCGTGGTAGCGAAGCTTGCACTGTCCAAAACGTAGTAGTCCGCATGTAAGAACAATTGGCTTCCTGCCAAATAAGCCTGGACGATTCGGATCTCAAGTGATATCTTCGACGAGGTGTCGAACTCGAGTATCGCTCTACCATCCGCTGTATCCAAAAGAAAGTCGTGCGCGGTTCGATGCATGAACCGCAGGACTCTTTTGCCGCCTGTTAGAGGCAGGAGTTTATCAAAAGCGTCGCCATAGTGACCGACGACCGTGGTGTCCTCATCTCCAAGATAGTCCTGTCCCGGGCCAAGTTCTATGAGCCCGAAACAGTAGATACCTATCTTCCTCTCCACTTCTTGACATCTTTGCAGTATGGTAGCTTCTGAGATAAGATCAGGGGCTCTATTGCCGTGCTGAAGGATTTCATCCGCAGTCGAGGTTGAAGCCAGTGTAAAGGTAAATAGGTCCCAGCCAAAGAAAGATCGTTCAAAAGCAGAGTCTTCCTCACGGTGTATCAATAGGAGCTTGAAATATAGCGCCGCAGTCTGTCGATATTGTAGTGGATCATCCTTGCAGGCTCTGTTCCACATATCTTTGTACAATTCGATCAGATCTCCAGGCAACTGGCGGATTCTCTCATCAACAAGGTCAATGGTATCACCGTATTCCGCACCCCTGTTGATGCTGCTTACTGCCAGAACGAGCCATAGGAAAACGCCTTCCGCTTTATTGACTAAAGAGTGGATGAGATCATCTCTGCCTCGGTCGGCCACGTATCCATCGGGAAGTATGACACGATCTCGAGCATACAACTCTAGGTCACCCATGTTCAAGTCCTGTAATCGGAGCGAGGGGTATATCGACAGACGCCTCTGTAGCAGCGGTTCGGGTCTGCTGGACAAGCATATCTTGATGTTTGCGCTTTCTGCCACTTCGTCAACCAAATTCAGCAGCCGAACAACACCATCTCGAGAATCAACCTCGTCGAGTCCATCTAGAAACAGACAAATTGGTCGGTCGTACGTGGAGAGGACCCGAAGACATAGTAATCGGAGTTCTTCGGCAGACCAGTCCGTGTCTGTATCCTTCATGTTCACTCGAGGAACGCATTGAAGAATTGAATCAAGGACAGTGGTACTGTTTTCCAGCAGCTGTTGGACCAGGGAGCAGAGCAGGCCCTTGATACTCCGCTGTAACTCAGTACCAGGTCTCCAAAGAAAATGAGATACTATCAAAGGGCTCGGTTGCCAGACTTTCAAAAAGGTCTGTGTATCTGGGTGGTTGATGATGAATTTGACGAGTGTAGTCTTGCCTGCCCCGGGCTTCCCACTGATCCAGTAAATGGTATCCGTCGAACGAAGCCAGTTGGAGAAGCTGTCCCACTTGATAGCCGATACATAATCTTGGACGTTATGCCTGGTTTCTTGCGACTCGCTTGTTTCAGAAGTTATATCCTCCGAACTGGAGCGGGCACGATCCTCAAGTGAGTCGATTTCATCACCATCACCGGCAAATATCCACGTTCCGGTGTTCTTGTATGCCTCGGCCACTTGATTTCGTCGCTCATTGAAGCCCGGATATTTAAGACTCTGGAGTAGACGGTCTCGCTTTGCTTGACTTTCATGGAAACTCGCATCAAGAACCAAGCTGTCCAAACTCTGGCGGGCTATTTCTAGCGATTTCGCATTTTGTGCCGATACAGACGTCACATGCTCCTTGATTGCTATAGTCTCTCGTGACACTAGCTCGCTCGTGTTGCGATGTCCGTTCTGAAATTGCACAATGAATGAACGGAGGTCTTCTTTGATTTTCTTCAGGTCCAGTTCAGCCGTGTTTGCGCTTGACCTGATATTTTAAGAAGATATATGAGCTAAAAGATGGAAAAAATCTCGAAAAAGACAAGAGAACGGCATATGCCCGGGTGGAAAGGGGAGGTCTAATGCACTCACCATATTCGTACCAGAAGCCCCGTGTTCATCAACTTTTCTGCGCTGTCCAAGTTCTCCTTGAGCCTCTCCAATCGACGTCTACGCCAGCTGGTCCTGGCCACGACCTTGAGAGTCGAGGCGAGACTGCCTTTCTTCGCAGAGCCGACAAGAAACTGAATTTCTTCCGTCAAATCTCGCGCAGCAGTAGAACATCTCTCCGCCGCAGCGATTAGTTGCTGCTCATGCTTTGGACACTTGGCAGGCTGTTTAGACTTTTTGACCTCGCGCGAGATGTTTGCTAAAATGACAGCATTTTGTTCCAGCGCATCGTCTATTGATCCGCCCTGGTACACAACCTTGATGAGGTTGATGGTCTGAAGCCCCACTTCAACAACCTGCAAAACATTACAAGCCAAGCCCAAGGCGGCGAGGGGCTCTAGCCCAGACATGGCGTCTCAAGTAAACTCATGCAGTAGAAAGAAGAGAAAGATAAATCACAAGAACAGAGCTTTGGTGTATCGACTGATGCGCGGGCGGGACACTCAGGCGCCTAGGTTCGATGACTTGGTTGCATATGTACGATTTCAAATGACCGACGAGGGAAAGAAGGCTCGCTGGATATCTGTGCGGGGTCACTCACCGAAACATGAGTTCGGTAACACAGTCTCACCCACTTCTCGCCCCCTCAGCACCCTCAAGTTCGATGCTCTTATTGTACAATAAGCACTCATGATGCGCCACAAGTGGCTAGGGCCTGTCACTTTTCGGGGTTTATATAATAATAAATTACGGATGATAAGCCCCCGTGGACCAGAAAGATTACGTGCAAAGTAAATAAACCAATATTGGATCAATGAGAATCGCATATTATTTGAACACCAAGCAACATGTATAATGCACGGTTCTCAAAATAAATATTCTGAACATATATATATGTATTGGAAACGACTGGGGTATCTCAAAAGCGCCAAGACGCTCGCTAATATATCTAGTTGCCATTTTGCAATTGCAATAGTGCAAACAAATGTCGTCGTTCATCGTGCCGTCATTCTTATGTCGTGTGGTAAAAGCCAGCTCTCTCCCTTTGCGATCTCTTGCGTACAAACATCGTATCCCGACACCCAGCAATACTGAAATGCGGACCCGATACCCAATTATTACCATTCCATCCTCGGATACGACCCCATTTACTAACCAATTCGCCCTATACCCACAAAGCTATTAAGCTTCTGAGGGATCTGTCCTGCAGCCTGAAAGAAAGAAAAGAATAGAAAAATCAATTGCACACTTCAAAACGCCTTCTGATGTGTATATGCATCAAAGAGAGAGTGTGTCTCTTGATATGCTGAAAATCTGGGCTTGCGCCCTCTTGAATCTTTGCAATGTTCCCCTCCGAATGCCCGTGCTTGGCTTCTTGACAAGCCTGTAACCCTCAACGAGTCAAGCAAAGAAAAGAATGTGTGGGGATTCTCAAATGATGCAGAAACAAGCCGAAGCGAGTCTGGATCAAATCAAGATAATTAATCGTGGAGAGGGGAATCAAGGTTGCTGTGTATTGTGTGTTGTTTTCGAGTCCCATCTTGAAATTGGGATCAAATGCTTGCGAGTCGCGTCTTTGTCTCTGGAATCTTTGCATAACAGACCATGAGCTTTAGTCTCGTATCGTACTCCTCGCACTCAGTCAAGACTGTGCGGTCTCTCCAAATCGATGTCTTCATGCCTGTCGAGGTCTCGTACAGGCGGTTGTACCACCAGCGGCCAACCTTTGCAACCATCTTGGTAATATTGGCGTCGCCCTTTTCCGTCTCATCGTTCATCATTTCGGCCAGGCTCCGTTCGTCCTTTGTTCGTCTCCGCGAACCACGTTCTGATGAAGAGCCGGCAATCGCACTGGCTACAGGGACACCGACCCAGCAGTTCTTGATGTCGGTGAACCCTTGCTTTCCAAGGAGGCGTAGTATGGTATCTGCAGTGCTACTGAGGCTAATCTCAGCTTGCTGTGCGCTGATGCGCTCCTTCAGCTGTCGAACGGCGCGCCGAGTATGACTTCCCATCTTGTTCAAGTCGACATCGAGGATCGAAAGTTCGACATATCCACCAGGCTTGAGAACGCGTCGAGCTTCAGAAATGATATTACGGTAGTGGGATTCCGGAGCCATGGCGGGAAATCGAAAGACGACTGTGGTGAAGCTCTCGGATCCAAACGGAAACTTGTCCATGTGGGAGGTATATTGGATCTGGTGATGATTTGATGGTGATGCTGGGAATTGTGTCGCAGTGCGTTGCTCCTGAGACACTGGTGCACGAGGAGATAGGTTGAAGAAAGTTGCCGCAGGGTAAGTTTCAGCGGCATAGAATGACCAATCGTCGTTGCCAAGTCCGTCAATGACCAGGATAGAGTGTCGCTTGAGTGATCCAACCACGGGAACGAGCTCATCTCGAGCTGGGCTGAATAGCACATGCCCAAAAGTGAGCCATTTACTAACTGTCATCGAACCTACTCTAAGGTTCACTTGAGCAAGTGGAGATTCGTCACTGGCACTGCTGCTGCCTGAAGCTCTGGTCTGACGACTCTTTGCCGAACTAGCACTGCTTCTCTGAACGGACCTGCGGATATCCGGGGATTCTGTAGTGTTGTTCCTATCCTCGTACTCGGACACAAATTCTGAGACTGAGAATGGAGTCTCTGGAGGCTCGGTCCCGAATCGAAAGGCTGCGTTGATACGAGCTGTCATATCAGCACTGAAGTGACTTGAAGTAGACTTTCCGGTTGTGATGGAACTTCGGACATCTTTTGCTTCGTCCTTTGGTTCTTCCTCTGCCTGCTCCTGAGGTGGAAAGGTGCGTACAGTAGGTGACTCGAGCGGCCCGGTAATTCTCTTTGCCAGTTTGGTGCCATAGTTTTCCAGGTGAAATGGAATGCCTCTCGATGATGTTGCTGACGGCGGGACATCACCGAGCAGGTCATTGTACTCGTCCCAGATTTCATCCTCTGCCAGGGGCGCAGTCGGCGCAGGGATCACAGCAACATGCTGTGCAAAGAGTGCGATCCCGGAGCTGCTGGAGCTGGAGCTTGTCGTGCATTCCGATCCTTTCCTTATAGGAAACGCAAGGAATTCCCCGCTAGGCCGTGCAGAATCGAGCGAGCGGCTCTTCTTGTGCCCAAGAGATCTGGGTGGAGGACCAACGGTGCTAGTTGTAATGGTGGACGCATCTTGTGAGAGCTCAGGCGTGGACGACGTTGGTGGACTAGGTCCTTTGGCAATGGAGTCACCATTCATGCTGCGACGATTTGGCGGAGGAAGCTGCAAGCTGATGCGATTGAACGGCCGTGAGAAGCTCTTTGTTGATGTATGTTCTGGGCGCCGGTTGACCACCTTTGGAATTCTTCCCACTTGTGGCAGGCGACTAGGCCTACCCACACTTGTCTTGATTTGTCCTGTCTTCATCTCAACGTCAACTGGCTTGTGCTGCAATGAAATCTGTGGTTGGAAGATCATGGGTGAGTTTTGCTTCTGGCTCATCGCAACTCCCTGCGCAAGTGTCGGCTGTGTCGGCTGTGTCGGCTGATCAGCGCTATCTTGACTCAGCGTTGAGGGATTTCGTTCATGGCCCTGCCCTGTGGTACTTTGGGCTGGCAGGCTTGGTGGAACCACAATGTCAGCGTCTCTCAAGATATCTGTGATATCTGGACGTTCCGAATCCTCTTGCTCGGATGAGTCAATTATCGTATAAAAAGCAACCGGTTTGCTTGGTGCAACGTCTACTGCAGTTGGTTTTGTCGCGGTTGTGTCTTTCTTTTGCGACCTACCAAATAAATTCCACTTTCGTGGAGACTTTGGCCGCTTTGTCAGCTTTCTCGGTGCTGGTGCTAATTGCGTTTGAGGCAATTCTAGATCTGATTGCGACAAGGCCAGAGAGTCGTCCGTGAAAATGGTGTCAACACTCGCGAGAGATGGTGAAGTGATGCCTCGTGTATTGATGGGTTGTGGCAGGTTGACGGGCTTGTGGTCGCCGGTTGTACCGAGTCGCTGGATGGAGCGCCTGAAAGCAAGGGTAGATTTCATGGGGTCAGCCCCAATATCGCTACTGTTGGATGGACGGTGAGAGTGAGAGGGGTGTGGCATGGCGGAGGGCCACAGCGTGTTTCTTGCATCTTCCCTAGAAGAAAGAGACGTCGAAGAGCCTTTCCGGGAATCAATGCTGGGCCGAGTGTATGCGAGACTCTGGCTACTGTCGTTGCGGCTGATTTCAGCACTGGCATTCCTATTTTCAATGATCTCGCCGCCTGCAATAACCACCGGATTGAGACGCGCAAGGAAAAATGGGTCTACGGATTGTGTGCTTGCCAGGCTGTCTGATGAAGAAGAGGCCCCAGCTGGAGGCGCTGTACTGCTGTTGCGCCGTCTCACGGCTCCCATCTTGCCATAACCCTCGTGGCCAGTCCCAGCCGCGGGTCCTTTCCTTGAAGGCTTTTCCTTCTTGTCGGTATTGGCATCTGAATCCGTCTTCCGCCGAGTGAAGAGTCCGAATTTTGATCTAAAGGTAGAAACACCGGGACTGGGTGTGCGAGTCGGTCGACCAGGCTCGGCCTTTCCAGGTTGAGGTAGCGAGGTGGGTGTGGGTTTCGGGTTTGGCGTTGGTTGGCGACTCACGGGAACTTTTGGCCGAATTTGCTGATCTTGGATACTCGTCGAGCTCATAGACCTAGGCAAAGAACTTGGAGCAATCTGGCCACTGCGTCGACGTTCCGTGAGGCTGGTAGACGACAAGTTGCTCTGAATTATTGGCAGAGGCCCTCCAAACTGGGAATAGAGGTCAGGGGTATTTTCTCTGCTCGGTCTTGACGGTGGTGTCGCACGCGCTTGAGGAGATGCTGTGACTTTTTGAACGTTGAGCGGCAGCGTTTGTGGTGGAGATCGTACCGGAGATGGAGATCGCATCACTAAAGGGGCCTGTTTCCGAGATGTCTTGGATGGTGAAGCATGGTTGTCATACTCCTTCCTGAGCTTGTGAGAAGACTTTCTTGGAGGCGGATTCGGTGGTCGCAAGTCCAGGAGTCCTTTCTTTTTGGAATTCTTTTCAACATCGCGAACCGTTGTAGAGCTGGACGAAGATGATGCCAAAGATTCTTGAACAATTGATAGAGCATGTGAGTCTATGTCAGAAGCATCATCATCATCATCAGCCCTTGTGGTACTTCCAGCGCGTCTCCGGGTGACTGGCGGACGGGATGGCTGTTTTATTCGTGTCACAGTGCTGCGTGAAGGAAACACCAAGCCGGGAGATACCGATGACATGGAGGTTGGAGTTGTATCCCGACTATATGGGCCACCGCCGGGAGACTCGGAAAATCTGGTAGATGGACTGCCACTGAAGCTGCTCAATTGGCTGTGACTACTTGCCCCAGAGAATAATGGCGTCGGAGGTGGCAAGTCATGAGTGGCTAGACGGAACAGCATTTCACTGGCAGGGCCATCACGCGGGACCTGAATATTGCGATATCTGTCCAGTTCTGGGTAAAGAGTTTCGGTCCTTGTCACTGGGAGGTCGACTTTGAGAGGAATGTGATTCTCCACTGGCGCTTTGGGGACATTTTGCTCCAGGCGCGGTGCTGGCAAATCCACCAGAACTTGGGGCCGTGGCATCATTGATGTCGAGTTGGCCTTTTCATGGTTGGCTAAGGGGGGGTTTCGAGCGTTGGATGATCCAGTAGGGACCAGGGACTGCTTACGTCTCAGAACAGGTCGAGCACGAGGTTGAGTAGTACCGATCTCTTTCTCCTTGACCGGTATGGCTGATGACTTGTATGCAGGTGTAGACTGCGAAGAATAAGCTGTCGAGTTCCAGGGCTGGCCCGCATCCTTGACATGCGGTTGCGTATTGGAAGCCGAGGGTCTCCTGGCAGCAGGATTTTGCGGAATTCGGCTTTGTGTGGTGAAACGGGGAGCTGGCAGTCGTGAGGTTGGTTTGCTCGTAACAGTTCCCTGACCATGTGTAAAGTCTTCCGACGATGTTTCCATATGGCCTATCGCCCTCCTCTGCATTGGTCCATTGCCACTCATGTTTCTCGACTGAGAACGTGATCGTAACGACGACATGACGAGCGATCACTGCAGCTGGGGGGTTATCGTGCCCAGCTCTTGACCAAATTATTATGCTATTATAAAATCATTGCCAACACTGAAGGCAATAAGACTGGTTTCCTTTGGCAATCCTCTCGGTGGCTATATCAGGCCAGCTGATCCGGGGAGAACTCTGTGCCTTGAGTAAAGTACCATCAGACGCTCGCGTTGGTAGTGTGATTCTCGTGAGTGGGTCTGATCTGGAACCGTAAAGAAATTGACTATAGGGAGTAGTCCATGGGTTGACGGATAAAATATACTCAAAATGAAGATGAGAGAAGGGGGGTTTTCCGACAAAGGGAATAACTGAAAAACACAAATATGCCTCTGGCAAAAACTAACGGACAAGGGATATCGTAGGAAGTTGGCTTGAGGGGAGCGTTCCGGAGAAAGCTTATTGCAGCTGTGATGGTGTGAAGCTATGCCCTTCACGTAGTATGTGATGAAAAAGAGCCCCAAAAACTAGTGCCCGAGAATGGTGTGGCCGGTAGTGCTGGTGGTGGGAATCCGGGCGTTTAACCCAGGTGCTGATATTTTGGTGTGTGTGGTGCTCAACGGCGCAAGCTCACAAGAGGCCCCTCCCCACTCTGCGCACACAATGAACGGGCTATTTTGTCTGTACTTTGTAGTTGAGAGCGCCTCCAAGCTTTAGTGCCCCAAGAAGCTGTGTGTTGGCAATCGACGTTGAGAGCTGAACCAAGTATGAAAAATGACGACTATTTTACAAGGAATATGCCGAGAGGAAATCAAGAGGGAGAAGAAGAGAGACTACTTCGAAATAGCGAGAAACCGGGAGAGAATGGTAAAGTAGACACCGAGGAACAAAAATTGTGTGAGGGCAAAAGAATTGTATATAGGAAGATACTTTCTCATGTGTGGTTCCGCTATAGATTTGCACCAATAAACTATGTACCGACCCTCAGAGAGGGACACGGGCACAGTAGTTATCCAGACAGCAGTACATGATTCCCATGTACACTTTGTAGAGGGCTGTGGCGTGAGAACCCCTGCCTCTCAGAGCTTTGGAGCAGCATGTTTTGTAGGCATATTCTGTCACGATATGTCTGTCACCTGTTCGATGTGCTGGGCCACAACTGGACTCGCCGAAGTAGCGGCCTGGGAGACTGCCCAGATAGGAGATGCCCTGGGTAGATCAGCGAGATCGCTTTCCACCGGGAAGCGCTGAGCGCTGAGTCACCAGAGGACCAGAGGTGCCGCTGCCGAGACACAGCCAGTCGTAGAGGCACGCGAAAGCGGAGGCGACCAGCACAAGGGTTCCAGGTATACACTAAACCAGTACTTTGTACACAAGGTAGTGCCACAGTGAGTAGCACCAAATTGCCGTAGTTGCAAGTACTGTAGTAGATCCTGGCCTGGGTTGCTAGGTGCTCGTTGTTTGCAAGGGACTGATTTATTCATGGAATACCACGCAAAATCGGTAGCCAATGCAACTCGCTCGACTCGTCGCAGTGGGGATCGATGAGGAGGGAAGAAACAGGAACAGGCCCTGGGTGATAGGCAGAGAAGCGGACGGTGGGCCACTGGATCTGCTGCCAGGCTGCTACTTGCATGCAACTGCGCCGCTATGCGCGTAAACATGTCTGAGATGCTGCATATTTTGACGTCCTATGAGAGCTCAGCAGAGCAAAGTCACAGTTGCCATTCGTCGAACCCCACCCTGGTCCATCGGTGGCCCATTGCCTTCTTGGTAAAGAGGTGAGAAAAAGGATCGATTCGTCCATGGGGCGCCCACTCGAGCCATTGGCGAAACTACTAGTAGGCAATGGATATCTTGTGAAGCATTGCACCTCTTGGTGGGCAACACAACATGACAACAACCCTGCATATCTTGTCAGAGTTTGCAGTAGTATCCGTAACTAATAAGATGGGTGCATAGCGTGTGATTAGACATGGAGCAACAAAAGGCCCAGAGTCAAGGAGAGAGAGGGAATAAAAAAAAAATTCTCTTCTCGGATGAATATGCATACGCGGAACATGAGGTTGGTTGGCCGTGGAAACACCTAGACTAGAGCCTCGAACTTGCACGCAGACGAGTGTGGGTCATGGTCTTTTGTTAGTAGAGGTAGGCGCCGGGAGGGAGCCTGTAGGCGATGCTGACGGGCGTCCAGTGCGGTTGCAGACCTGGGCGATTGCAGGGAAGAGCGATACGGGTGTTGGCGGATTGGGCGGAGTCCCGGGGGCGCTTTGGCCCGCGTCCAGTGCTAATTTCTATCGGTATAGTGTAGATTCCAGGTCCATCAAAACGGAATGCAATATCTACCAGTCGGTTTACTCTTTTTCAATTGTATTGTGGAATACTAAGATTGCCAATATGGAGCTATATGGAGATTCTTTTTCAGGTACACTGCAATCTGGACGTCTGTCTTGACCTCATACGAACTAAACACATTTCGGCTCCGGTCTTGGGCCAGTTATAGCCGTCTGGTCCCTCCCTTGTGCATGCATCAAAGCCTGTGCCTATCATGTATGTCTCACTTGTAAGCGGCCGATTCGCCACAGCCCACTTAGCGACTGCAAGGTCTTGACTTGAACTCTTGGAAAACCTAAGATCCCTGTCGATCTTTACTGATTTATATGTGATTTAGTTTTTTACTTATATATCTTATATCAGTACTGTGTCTTTTGGTTCCTGCCCTTATCGTATTCGGAATCTGTACGCTGCATTGGTTTCGTCGATGCTGGGACGATTTGTTGGGTGCGGGCCCGGCTTGCCTGCGTTAAGAAGAGCAGTCTGTTGGTCTCTTTGCCACCATGGACACAGCAAAGCTACTAATGTTGCTAATTATATCAATTGACAAAAATTGCTGGATCCATTGATATGCAGTTTTATCCATGAATATAAAGACAAAACAATAGAAATCGCCGATGATTTGTTATAGATCGATCTAGGCCGCTCATCAAAGTATCTTCATTCAGTGTCAGTGGTCTGACCATGGGATAACACAACCACAAGGTCTCTCTTCAAATGACGTAGCCTGGAAAACAAAATAACACATGAATTCTTCTTTTTCCCCCATCCAGTGTAACAGAAGATTTTGAGAAGCCAAAAAGAACAATCCCCCAGAACCTTCATGCATGGGACTAGGTCTCTGCTTGTGTGGCCGTGGCCCCAATCTCGATCACATGGCCCTGACTGCTGGCTCATCAACTGGGTTAGGCAGGTATTCTTTGGAAATTCACAACCAACGGATAATCTACAGGAAAATGAAAGACTAAAAAGAGCCATTGAGAGCTCACGAAGCACAAGATTGCTTTCTTATTATTTCCCATTTCTGAAATATTAATTGGGTGCCACCATGCGATGTTCAGGGGATTCCGGCAACGAATCTGACCAAGATTTTTCTGATTGGTTCGTTGACGACAATTGGTGGCCAATCAAGTGCTGGAGTTGCCCCTTCCCTCAAACTCGCTCTGATAGTCAATAATAGTAGTAGTGCACATAAGGAAACCGTTACCACAGCTGCAAAGGAAGGTGTATGACGATCGCCATGGTGCAGTTTCGACAGAATCTATCTTGAGACATTTAGCCTTGGATCATTTGATGTTTTCCAATCGTGCCGCGTAATCTCCAGCATTTCGACATCTACTGTAAATCATGTACTATACCATAAAGTATGGAATCCACTTTTCGGTTACCTCCTAGGAACCTCGAGCTATGCAAAATGCGTCGAGACACGTCAGGTCGAGGACACAACTTCTTCATCGTTCGATTAAGAGTCGGTGATCTTAGAAAACTGTGGAAACAGGGTTTTCTACTCTTGGCTTTATCATAACCAGCCAGGAATAGAACACCGTGGAGACGCTTGCAGCGCCAGTTGCTGTATATGCAAGCAAGGCAAGCTGAGAGGGCGCCCATGAGTATGTAGTGGCAAGCCTCATGCACTGCATCGCCCAACGGATTCGCAGATGGGGTTTACCAGAATATCGGGACGAGCTGCGACACTATTCCTACCCTATCTATTGCTGTTTCTACTCTAGTCGATCGCTTTGTTGTCAACTTCCGAGGTTGTGGCGGGCGCTGTTCAAATTCTTCTTGAAAAGCAGGTATGTATCCTGGGAGTTGCACTGCCACACCAGCGTGCAGCGTCGCATACTGACCAGCAAAACTTGCTGGTGCGGCGCTCTCACCGACAAGCGAGGTGGACTTGTGGCGTGTACCAACACAATCTGTGACTGACGTGGCATACTCTCATGCGAGCTCTTGTCATGTACGCCTCGCATTCTTTCTTTCAAAGCCCGGAATGTGAGAGGCGAAATTTGGCAAGACCTTTTTACAGATGCCTGGTGACTGTTGTTGTTGGGTCTGATGGTGAACAACCAACTCAGAGCAAGTCAAATTCCCTACCTTTGAGTTGACAGTGTGTAATGGACCAACGCCCCCAACCCAGACCCGCCAAGAAAGACCCTGATCTCGAAAAGACAAGGTTCTGACCCGCCGTCGCAGCGGGTACCCAATCGTTGCCCCATGTTTTGCCGCGAGCCAGAAATCCACCTTCAGGTGAGCAAGGTTCTTTCCAAAACGATTGGGCGCTGTCCTCGACATGACCATCATGGATGTCCTCTTGCCTCGACAACTAAACAGTCGAGACGGGTAACGTGACCGCAAAGTGGTGTAGAGGTTTGGCTTGTCTCCTGCGGGATATTCGCTCTCAACGGCCGCCATGCTTCAACTGGATGGATCAAAGAATCATTACTCGCTGACGGCGCCTATAGTCCAGTGTCAACTATTGCCGAAGCGATCAGGGACTGCGGTAGAAAAAGACTCAGACTTGCCGCAAGACACGGACGGTAAAGCATTCAACTCTTCCAAGGGCCACAGGAGAGTACAAGTGTAACATGTATCGATCGACCTTTTAAGCGCAATCGGCCCCCAACCACAAATGGACATTGCCAAATGCTGTAATCCGAGCTGGTACGTACAAAGCAGCACCCACTCTCGCGTCTATCCCCATTCACATAAGACCGCACTGCTGCATGCATGTCTTAGACATACAGATCGCCCTGGCGGAACCCGCCCCATCCTCAGCTCACTCAGCCGAACATGGTCATCATTAGTTCGACAACGTCGACTTGTCAAAAACTGGTTTGCAAAGCTAATTAACTTCCCGCTGCCGTCTTGATTATTCCGCTAACTTTTCTGGTTTTTTCCCCCTCCTAATCGACATCATAGACGTTGGCTGCATTAACTTGCAAGCGCAAGAAGCGCAGAACTGTCCAGAAGAGGACATGGTTTTACAGACCGGCGCCGTGCTAGCTGGGAGGTAACGAATATCGAAGGGCGGAGACAGGCCTTGCCTTTGCCCTTTCAGAGGTAGTATCGCTTTGCTCCACATGACGCTACTCACCACCACAACCGACTATGCACTTCTCAGAAACGAGAATATTACCTATCACTGGTGGAGTCAGCCTAAGACTTCGGGATATTTTACACCAGGCAGTGTTTGACAAATAGCAACCGATTTTCGAGACTTACCCCTTTCCCTCAAATTCTATGAGAGGGGAAAATACTCTTTTCTGGATCTCAGCATCAATCACCACAACCAATACTGTCCCAGTGGCGTACCCTCTAGCAATGCCCCCAAGGATTTAATAGTTTACCTAGACCACTTTCAAAATCTTGGCTGATAGGATGACGACGCACGTTGTCGTGAAAATTATTATGAAAAGTAGCACTCAATCATCTCTCTAAGGCTGACTGATAAGCTCTTCCATGACATTGGTCTGATCTCCTGGAGCTGCTGGCTGCAGAGCTGACATGGAGAGCAGCTGAAATCCTGGAATCCTTCGGATGTCCGCTTCGGTCGATCTCTCCCACAACAAGGAAACCTGGTGCTGACTCGAGTGAAGCATGGAACTTCCTGGTTGCGGAATCCCACGACTTGCTTTTCCGGAACGTCCCAACCGAAACCAGCAAAAAGCCGTTTCGTAAATGTCACTCTGCTAAACGAGTGGGCAACGAATTGTTACTCTCTATTTCCCATAGGCATACCGTTTCATTGGAAAAAGGGGGTGCGGGCCAGACTGGCAGCGGCATCAACTCTTTTAGGATTCGAGAAAAGAAAAACATACTTTGCCTGCATAAAATAATAATTACAAGGCTAGGCCACGCTGAAAAGGAGAAAGAAAAAGAAAAAAGCAATTTCCATGGCGTACGGGAGTGCAAGTCATATGACCTGTTGCCATTTTCGATCCCGCATGAGTATACGCTTTCAACTGGCCAAGTATCACATGCCAGCGGTTCGTCTATTCTCTACTTGGATGCTGTTATTCGTTGCTTGCTACACATTGTGGCCGCATTGGACGAGCTGAGCTGAAGAAGAAGCAGAAGCGCCACCACCACCTTTTTGCAACCAGAGTTATTCATTAATCATCCACATGTTCAAGAGGCGCTGACGACCAACGGCTGACTACTCTTTCAAGACGGCTTCAGGATATCACATGAAATGGATAGTGTGAACTAGCAGCCTCTCATCAGAGCCAAGTAATTGTATAGACCGTGATTGGAGTAGGAATCGTCACTCTCCCGCAAATGACAAGGTAGCTGAACAGCATGGTAGCCGGTCGTACTATCTTGTGATGATGTAGCAATGTGATTTCCCAAGCCCTCTGAGAGATTCAAGGCCTATCGCTCCCGCGATAACTGGTCGATCCAGATTCTGTCATGACACATGACGTCAAGTCATGAAGGCATCACACCCAAAACATTGCATATCGGAGGTATACCAGTCTCCCTTGTCCATGCAGTCACCTTTAATCTACAGGAGATTTCCAATTCTCCGATAAATACAAATGATAAGCTCCAAAAAGCTTTCTTTCCCACTGAACATGATGAAAATATGCATGGGATTTTGGGTATGCTGGAACAGCACAAACGTTTAGGAAATGGACTGGTCTCAAAAGTAAACAGACTTGCAAGATAAATACCATTGTGATTTGAATCATTCATGTTCCATCGACTGAACTTCATCGGCAAGACAGTGTATTGTGTAAAGATTTCCAATAACAAATAAAATCTTACAACATCCGCAAGGGGTTTGGCAAATGCGTTGACCGTATAGGTCGTTTGCAAAGGGAGATCGTGGGTTCCCTCATCTTTGTGGAGTTTTGCAACAGAAAATACAACGATGATCACGACGAGACCCAAGCGTCTTTTGTCTTGGTGCTTGCAGTTTGAATCGTGTGTTTCTCATTTCGTTTGAATATTCTTTCCTTCTTCACGGAGAGGAGAGAGGGAGAGAGAGAAAAGAAGAAGAAGAAGAAGCGGCGATCGTTTGGCAGATTCGCTACCGTGCGAGTACAAATATGAGCTTCATGCTCGCTTCTTAAGATTGTACATTTGGGCCAGCCCATTCTTCATATTGTTTTTCGTTCCCTTATATCACTACAACCAAGAATTTTCGCTCAACCTTTGGCCAAAAGTTTTATATATGAAAAGACCTTGGCAGATGTCCAAGGAGGGCCAAGGGTCGTAGAGGCTCCAGAGGGCTACTTGATGTGTTGAGCCATAACAGGGTCGGCCTTATTTTGGGTATTATATTCGTTTACACAAATCTGCGATAGATTCTTGAGACGAACAAGAAGAAAGATCCAAAATCTTGCTTTTGTAACTGCTCATCAATTCTTCGGGATGGCACAGCACTGCACCGTAGAAGACCTGGATATGTTCAAGGTGTTTGGCGAGTGCTCAGATTTGTGGCGATTGAGGAGTCCCCATCGTTGCAGCTGCTTCTCTCCTTCAATTTCTTTCGCTTTTCTAGGCATTGCACCTGTCTACCGACACTTAATTACAAACGGCAAGGACTCGGATCAAAATGGGAAAAACTGCAGAGGTGAAAAGAATGGGTACTTGGAACCGAGTAACATGGTTGTAATTCTCATACGTAACACAGGAGAAGCGTTATCCATAATTCAACCGCATTCTCGATATACAGATCATCTGACATAAAACAAACAGCAGAGACGTGAGCGTGCCTGAAGAATGTTGCGCTTCGAGTAAACTGGTACAATGAATCAAGTATCGATTCATATAAATGTAACACTCTCTATCCTCTGCTTGTCCTAATTATGCACAAGCATGGCCAGACCATAGGTTGAACAAGAAACCATGCCCAATGATTACATTTAAACCTAAAGAAACTGATTCTTGTCATGCCGACGGATGCCCTGCGTGCTAACCGAACATCAATCTTTAATTCATCGGAACGATTGCCGATCTCTCGATATTACACTTCCTTTGTTTCTCGCTGCCTCGGCTTTTCACATTTTTTGTGTCCAAACATCAAACTCGGCTCCGATCCATCTAAAATCACTTAGGCGCCGAATCTCTTTGCCCGAGCCTCCGCCTTTGCCTTTTCTGCAGGGTCGTTCAGTATGTTCCTGGATGAGCCTCCTCCGTTTTGCTGCCTGCCCTCGCCTCTGCCACCACCACCTGCTCCTCCTCCGCCCTGGCGACGGCGATCCCGTCCCTTGAAGCGGCCGCCACCACGTCTGCCATCGGTGCTCTGTCTCTTGGCGTCGCGTTGCTGGTCACCAGCACCTTCGCGGCCGCGCTTGCGCTCTCTGCGCTCGGGCAGTGCCGAGTCCAGGTTGGCGACACTGGGGGCGCCGGCCGCTTCTCCGCCGAACCGTGATGCGCGCTCAGCCTTCTTCTTGTCCTCTTCACTCTGCTCCACGACAATTCCAAAGCGCTTGGCTCGCTCGGCCCGCTTGCGCGCCTCCTCATCGGCAGTCGACGCGGCTAGGTGGGCAGAGAAATCGGGCTTGGGTGCCGCGGGCTCCTCCGTGGTGGCTGCTGCATCTGTTGTGGTTTCGGCCTCGGTTGCTGCTGGCGCATCCGCGGGGGCATCTGTAGCGGCCGGCTTGGACTCTTCTACAGCTGGCGCCGGTGCGGGCGCAGCAGGTTCAGCAGGCTTGGCTGCCTCAGTTGTTGCCGTCGTAGTAGCTGGATCATCGTCATCCCAGTCGATCTCGTCATCCGCAGTGGACTTGGCGGCTTTTCGGTGTCAGCATTTTGTTACACGCTGTGAGTTACAGCTTTCGGAACAACGACATTGAAGACTCGAGGTTGCGCGATTGTTTGCGCAGAAGACGGCAAGCGGCGACGAAGACGTTTAGAAATGCGAGGGTGGACTAACCGGGCTGGGCGGGCTCCTGGGCCTTGTCGTGCTCAAGCAGGCGAGCGATCAAGTCTGCTTTGTTACCAGCAACGGGAAGCGACTTTTCCTGAAGCAGCTTCTTGAGCTCTGGAACCTTCAATGTGTTGTAGTCGGTCATTGTGTCGAAGGCGCCTTGGCGAGGTGCTGTGCAGCGCGCAGATGGACTTGGGGGTTTATGCTTCTTCGGTTGCGAATCTATCTGTGGGGCGAACAGGCTGCAGGGCGACCAAGACTAACCCGGGAGGAAAAGAAGGGAATTAAGAATTCGCGACGAATATTGCAGTCGTCGAGGTTGTGATGATTGTGACAAAGAGAAGAATGGATGAATGGGGGAAGAGAAATGAGTGAAAGGAAAGCTGGAGGGTCCCTGGTGTTGAGAGCTGTGGGTAACGTCAAGGTAGGTACTGTAGCTTTGCTCGAGCTAGGGACCAGTTCAGTACCCACTTACTGCCTTGTTGCGCCTCGCTTTTTGCCTTGTTAGCTTTGGATCTGCTTGCAGCTCCCCCAGAATGACGAAAAGGTAAAGAAGCACAGAACAGGAACGCGGTCGGCGCGACAACATTCACTAGACGCACGGACCACCGGTACGTACCCAGGTAGGTACGCGCATCAATTGATCAATTCGTTCAATAAGTCTTGGCACAAGCTGCCTCTTTTCACACACCAAACACCAGACTTATGTAGCAAGCTTCATGAAAACATTCATTATTCATGACTATACACCACCGTGGTCACAATGACCACATTGAACCACTACAAGTACCTGAAAATACACAAAACAGACCTGGCCATCCACAGTTCCACGATATACATGTCCGTGTCATCTCTGGACAGCCACATTAAAAGACTAGAGCCAACCCGTTCTGAACAACGCCAAGCTCTCTATCCATGCCATGTTATGCTCCTTCATCCGGATCTGATCATATTGGCCGCTCATGCCTCATGATGATAAAACAAGACCAAAGTCCCAAAAGTGGGAGTTGTGAAAAAAAAAAACAAAGAAGAAAAACTTTGTATGCTGTCCGTAACAAAAAAAGGGGTATCTCTCACAACTCAAGCCAATACTCTTGCCCCAACCCTATCAACTAATGACCACTTCTTGCGTGACCAGCCCATAGATCCAGCTGGCCTCTGCCACGCTCGCGCACTGGAAACACCACTTGCTCACATTACCGCTACTCACGCCGCCCATTTGCACCACTCCTGCCGTGCCGTTGTGGTCAACGACTTCTTCCCATACATTCAATAGAATGCCTCTGCTTCCCAGTCTTGAGAAGCAGCGTGATCCCAGCACCACATCCAGGATCAATACCGTCGTGTTGATGTCCGAGGTTTTCTTCGGGATCTGCGTCACAATAATGCGCTTTTCCATGCCTTGGTACTTGCGTAGGTTCTGCCTCGTGCCCGTTGGAGGGCGTGTGATTTCCAGGAGGCAGTTTCCATGATCCTCCCACTTGCTGGCACTGACCATGAGGTGCAAGCGGATCTTTAGATTATTTGTCGTTAGGCTCATCCTAGCCGCACTGCCCGAGTTGGCTGCGCTGACGGATGGCGAGCGCGGCGGTGTTCCCGACGATGATGAGCTAGTGTACAGAGATGCCTCGCGAGAGCCGGGTCGCATTTGTTTGCCGACCGACGACATGGAGATGTCAAATGACTGGCTACCACCGCCCATCAGCCTCCTGAGCAGTGACGATGCGGATACACTAGATGCGTGCGAAGTACTTCCGGCCGACTGTGAAGGTGCCCGTGTAGACGCGCGGTAGCTATTCTTGCGTCCGAACCAGCTGCGACGCCGTGATGAGTTGTCGCCGTCTTGGTCCACAGCTTGGTTTTGGCCAAAGTTGCGGATGCGAGCCTCCTCTTCCAGAGCTTTGAACTTGGCGTTATCCATTCGGGCGCGATGGACGGAGACATACATGTCCTCCAGCTCCTCGACGGTAGAGGTACGGAAACGGAACACACGCGTCTCGAGCTTGGCGACCTTCGCGTATAGCTGTGCATAATCAAGAACTGGAGATCTTATCTCAAGATCCAGGGCGGTGCTGTTCCGAAGCATAACTAGCGGCGTCAGGTCGAGCGCGATCAGTGGCCGGTCATCATCATCTATGGCGGGGATTGCGTATGCCTCAATGAGACCAGGAGTTGTGATAATGGTACATTTATCAGGCCACAAATCCTTCCAGCATCCTCTTTTGTTGTCCCAGTATGAAATTGAAGCGTGATACTTGAAAGCATACGCTGGCGCCTGCCCGTCAACCTTGGGTATCCCAGCTTGGGAAGCTGAAGCCGAAGGCGTGAGACTAAGTGTGCTCTCCGAAATGTCAGAGTCTGTGGGAGCTTCCTCGTGTGACTTTTTGATGCTAATAGCCGGCATGGGGTCTGGAATATCGATTGCCTCCAACTCATCATCAGATGAATCAGATACAGACTCATCATCAATGTCTGATTCCGATGACGATGATGAACTGTCCGAAGGTTGGTATTCATGCTTCAAGGGGGAAGAACCACGTCGCTTGATTCTTGAAGCAGCCAGGTCTACTGGAGGACTGATGGATGGCTTTGATGGCAGGCTACGATGGGCAGGCGGTGGTGGAGGTGTATCCTCTTCGGGTGCAGGACTTGCCGCCGCCTGAGGTTCAGCAAAAGCGTGAGGATCAGGCCGCATGTGCTCACGAAGAGGGCGGGACTTCTCTTCATCTTGCGCCAGTGATCGACGTTCTGATGCATACCTCGATCTTGATCGAGGAGATGGGCCGACTGTTGGTGACTTTAGCGGACTATCAGCGGTTTTCGTGATCGGTGTTGAAGGTACGCTTCCAGTCCGCTGGTGATAACGACCTGGAGATGTTCTCTCTGAGATCTCTGGGCTCGACTCCGTTCTATGTGGCGCTGGGACATCATGAAGAGCGTATCGTCGTTTTCTTTCCCCAAGTGGTGCTTCTTCAATAGTAGGCTTGGCCACCACTGGTAAAGAGGAAGTCTCGCGCGGCTCGACCTTGGAGACTGCAGGTGGCATTGGGCTCGTGCCCAGAATATCAATCCAGTCCTCTACTTGTTCGTCGTTATCGGTTGTCAAGGTGAGAAGCTGGAACCACTCGTCATATTTTCCTCGGACCATGACCACTAGCTCGCCATCACGGTCGCCCTTTCTTGATGAGTATTGTCCACCCAAGATTGGAGAGAAGAGCAGCCATGACCGACCTCCGCTGCCGGCCTCTCGAATCAGGAGGTCGCCAGGGTCTGACTTGAATAGCTGGTTGTCTCGAGAAATGAGCTCAACTTGACAGTCCAGTCTTTGCCCATTGGTGTGACGCAGATCGAGGGAAAACAGATCTTTTGCGTACACCTGGCGGAAACGGTCAATTTTGACATTATCGAGGGCCTCCAAGGTCTTGAGATCTCGAACGCGGCTGGTATCGGTGTTGATGGCATCGTCATCTATCACTCTGGCGCTCTCTTCCTTATGTCTACGGCGAGCTTTTTCTTGTAGCGCCTCCCAGTGTGCCGCCAGGTCTGAATATTGATCAGTGCCAGTGACGGCACGGTAACCCTACTTAAGTTAGCTTTGCGGTATTCAATGTGTAGCCGCGCTACTTACCCTGATGAACCTCGTGATCCATTTGACGCGGACAAGAGGTCGTTTCAGCAGATGCGCCACGTCAACTCTTTCGCCATCTTCATTTATCACATCACCCTGTTCATTACGAGGTAATGCATTGATCAGAGAATCGTTGTCATCAAGAGACAATGGGGCCAGATTGACGATCAAGTCGCTAAAGCCAAGTCGCCAAACGTCCAAATAATTATCGTAAACTGATTGTGTCGATTCAAGCCACCGAGGAAGTCTGTGTGCATCCGATAAGGGGCAGCGCCTGTGTGCATTCCTGATCTTTTCCAGGGCAATGCCCATTTGGACGACGGACTTGGCGACATTTCCTTCTTTATCTTTGCTTGATGGCGAAGAAAATAGATCCTCCGACACAACAGAGCCGTTTCCATGCACAAATTGATTGAGAAGGACCGGGATGACTCCATCAACCAGAGTTTTGAGCTCCCTCTGATAAAGATCCTCATCACGGGCAAACTCCCGCAATAACCCCTCAACCGTTGCCGAGTCCAGATGGCTTGAGGTCCTGCGTACACTGCGCGTCGATTTCAAACTTCTGCTTCTGCCAACTTTGCTAGGTTCATCAGGCAGAGAAAGCGCTGAAACTAGATCAGAATGCTTGGTGAGCCTTCTCTTCAGGCCGGGTTTGTTGCTTCTGTTTCGAGAAAGCTCAGTCCCATTGCTTTTAGTAAAAGCAGTAGTTTGAGTGATCGTTGTATCAGAAAGCACTGATGAGAGGTCTGACTCTGAGGTTCCTAGAGACTCCAACGACATAATCGTGGAAAGTTCATGGTGGCCGCTTGTTGGGGGTGGTCGGCGCTTGGGATATGATGATGATACCGCCCTTGGCGGATCTGGGGATTTTGACGGCTCATCTTCGTGACTTGAGTCTGATTTTCCACCTGAAGAGCGCCGTCGCTCACGGTGGTCGTCTTCATAGTAATAGTCATCATCCTCGTACTTGTGCTCATCCGCACCGCTGGGATAGAACATGCTGGATTCGCCACGGAAAGCTTCCTTGAGCCTCTCCTTGAACCCCTTTTTCACAGGTTTGGCAGGCGACGAGGTACTTCTGACAGCTCGGCTTCTTCTTAAACCGCCAGTATTTGGGACTGGATCATTCGATTCATGCTTCTCTCGCTCCTTGGGAGAAGTTGACTTGACGACTTCCTCATCTCTAGTGATCATACTGTCCTCGTCCTTTGACGTCGAGGTAACCTCGGTCGATGTCCACGTTGACGAGGTCAGTTCTGTGAGCTCTTCCGTAGACTTTCGCTTGGATGCAGAAGATGGCCGTTCTGGCTTGCTTTCCATGTTGGGCTTCTTTTCCGCAGGTTGCTCATTGGCCTCCACTGCTGGCGTCCCGGCTGCAGCCTCTTCAACAAAAGGATCAACGGTCTTGTTCAACCACGACTCAATGCTGCGTGGTTGGTTGGCGACTGGTTTGGGAGGAGGCTCGGCTCGTTCAGAGAGAATTTTCTTGCTCTCGACGAATGCTTTCTTCAGGACGTTAGTAGCGCCCTTGAAACTGGATGTCCTCTTCGTCTTTGGCCTGCCTCCTCCTTTGATTGGCAAATTCAGCTCACTGAAAGCCGAGTACCCGACCGGAATGTCAGCCAATTTAGAGGGAATGCTTGATGGAACAGCTGAGTCTTCGTCTGATGGATCACTTGTCCACGACTCGCTATCTGATACATCTTCCGTCATCGTCGTCTGGGTATCGCCGGTAAGTGTGGTATGAGTGTCGGCATGGCTTTGGTCTCCAGTTGTTTGCGTCAACCTAGACGACAGTTTCGATGACTTCCTCCGGCTACTACGCCTCGTAGGCGTTTTTGGCTCATCGGATTCGGACTCCTCATAGACTTCAATCTTCTCTGATGGAGATGACTTCTTTGGCTGGCTCTTTCGTCTTGCCGAGCTGTGTTGTGATGTTGCTCGTACAGTGCTGGCGCCCTCCGATCTCCGATCTCCCGAGTATACTCGAATGCCATCGTCTGGCAGTTTTGTCTTCATGGGTGCAATCCTTATGCCGTCATCTTGGTCAAGCTTCTTCATGGGCCTCACGCGAATTCCATCATCCGTGTCTGCCCTGGAAGTACGCGACCTGCTCGTTTCCACCACAATTTCCATGTCTTCCGATTTAGCCGTTGATTTCGGGCTTGACTTGACACTAGAAACGTCGCCTTCACTTCGCATAGCTTTGACCCGAATCCCATCGCCACTTCCACTTCCTACCGAGCGCGAGACACTATATCGCTTGACCTGTGGTTCATCGGGCATCTCTACACGAGCGGCCCAATCCTTGATCTTATTCTTCACAGGCGGGTTTGGCGCTGTCCGTGGCGAGAAAGTCTTGGGTAGCGATGGCCCAGGTTCATTGCTCGGCTTGGGCGACTTGTTTCTCGGAGGACTCCTCTTGTTCTTCATCCAGTTGGTGTCGCTCACAACCCGTTTCTTAGGCGGAATGCTCTGTTCTCCACTCCCTGGATCATCCTTTTCTGTCGCCTCGGCTGCCTTGTGCTGCTCTACAATGATGAGTCGTGATGGCTTGTTCTTGACACCCTTATTCTTTATCCTGATACGGTCTTCTTCTGTAACGCTTTCCTCGTCCACCTGGATATTGAGCTCGCTGGGCTCGCTCGGGGCCGCGAGTGGATCTGAAGCAGCCGCCGCATTCTTCTTTTGCCATTGCTTAACCCGATCGTGGACACCGCCTGGCGCCTGGACCTTTCGCACGGCAGTTTCGCGCATTTCTTGCTTGACTTGCTCCAACGTCATTTGCTTCTGTTTTAGCTTTTCCCGATCGGCAGCAACTCGAGCCGGCGTCTGACGGCCCAGCAGGAAATCACCAAGCAAGGTAGGAGGTGGCTTCATGGTGGCGGCTCGTTGCCGAGTGGCTCCAGCTCCGGCGGCGGCGGCGGCGGGCGCACTGTTAGGAGTCGCGCCGCCGCCGGGCGCAGACATCTTTCTGTTGTGAGTTGCATGAGGACTCTTTGGTTTTGCGGCAGCCGTGGTACGGCGGGGAGTCGTCGGTTCCGCCGGTTTGTCGTCTTCGGTTGTCATGGTCTGCGAACATTATATTAAGCGTCAGTCACACATTCCTGGGAATATGGCGAGGTATGGATAGACACGCCGATCTGGGATGTTCTCGGTGTAGAAGGGGTACTGAGAGCATCATTGGTGGTTGAGCGACGGAAGCGCATGCAACTGACCGAACGAAGCACAACAACAGCATGGTGATATATGGCGAATGGAAGGCTGTCCCGGCAACACTCACCTACTACCTGTTCGGCATGCTGTCGGCGGCGGGATGTGCGTTAGCAGTGCTGCTCGGAATATGCGGCTGCTTCTGCTGCTGCTGAAGGCTGGGAGTTCAAGCAGAAAGTAAGGTAGGTACAGTTTGAAATCAAAGCTGAAGAAGGCTGCTGCTACGGTACATGCGGTACGATCAAGGATGCACGTGCAAATCTAGGTTCGATTTACGAACCCAACCAGTCAATGTGTCTTTTTGCGGGTTCGGGCCGGCCACGCAACTCAAAACAAGGGCGGTGTGTGTGAGTATGAGATTAAGACAATTAGATTTTGTGAGAAAAATGCAGTCAGACTTGCAGCATCTTGGTGGATGACCATGAAGAAATTCCGCTGTTTTCTGCGTGGCTCTCTCAGCAGGGCGATGCAACTCTTGCATCCAGCGTCTGTATGTACAGCACAACCCCTCAACAACCAATAGCAAGCGCCGCTGAGCTCAGTCTGTAAACAAACAGGACTCGGACTAGGGGGAGGTGGGCACAAGTGAGGTAGGCAGTGGGGCATCTGAGCCGGTTCCGATCAGGATCACTGATCGCTAAACTTGATTTAAAGCTGGATTTAAGCTACGGCCTAATGCGCTAACGAGACGTGACAGGGTGCCCCTGGACTTTCGGGACATTCTGTTAAATCGCTGGACGAATCAATACCGGGACCCTGGATGGCCACGAGAGGCCTAGAAGCCACATAACACAGGTGATCAGCAGCTGATAATAAGTACGGTAATAATCTTCGCATACATTGTGGCTTACCATTCTGCTATTGTTTTCTTCCTCGTGCCAGCTCATTGATTGCTGTCAGCCTCTAGCTTCCTTTGTTAGCTCTTGGGCCGTCGAGGGATCTGCACATGACAACGACGCCTCGTGGGGATGCCAGGAGGAGCATTTAGGCCCTTAGGGGATCCCTAGGATCTCTACCTAGAAAGGAATAGGATTTTGAAACAAATCCAACTGTCATGTCTCATATGCGATTTGACGGATGCTCTTTTGGAAATCTGTCATGAAGTTATCACAGTTCATGTAGGAGTTAATCTTATGGCCAGTGTTGGTTTCCTGAGATGCTTGTTTGCTAGATATTAGGAAAGCGTGGGACTCGATGCGATACGACTTGAGCTCACTGTTGTGACTTGGTTGATACGCCTACCTAGGTAACCTAGGTACCTGATAGGTATCACATTTAAAGATGTCTTTCCTACTGTGATTACCAGCATTAGGAGCATAGTTTCACTAAAAAGCCACATCTACGCGTGCAAGTCATAATGGTATCCGTCTGAATCTATATTCCATCCATGATTATTTCTAGCATCATGGATATCGCGGACATGTTTCGCTTCAGACGGGAGACTGGCGCACATTTGGGTGAATTCAATTCACATTTCAGTGGGTCTATCTAATGTATTCTTGAGGCCTGAAGTTTTTTTTTTACTTTTTCCCCCCTTGTTCTTCGGTCTTGTTTGTTATCCCAGAGACAACAGGCATGAGGAAAAGTGAAAAGACCAATTTCAAAATCATAGACCTGTCCTTAACAAACCAGACTGTTCAGCAGTGTGTGAAATGACGAGGCTCAAAAGGCAAAACCCCCACTGCCTGCATGGCTACTGCGCTTTCCATCCCCACTATCCACGATGACATTGCGCTGCTTCTCACAGCAGCAGCCCCCAAAGTCAATTCATAAAATGACGCGCACTTCCATGTTCTGGTAATTTTGAACTCGGAGAAGTTCCGCGCCCAAAAATCTGGCAAACTCAGAAGCACATGAGGTCTCCCAAAGTCATACCCCGTCTCTCCTGAACAGGGGCCCTGCCAGATCTCAATTGTCGGATTGTGCGGATGACCTCGTCAAAGACCTGATTGACACCCTCGTTGGTCTTGGCCGAGCATTCCAGGTATCGAACAGCACCAATGCTGGCAGCAGCGGCCTCACCCTCTGAGATGCTGACGCGAGTATCGATCGGGCCAAAGAGAGGTGCCCAGCGGCCGTTTCCAAGGCGAGTGTCAATCTTGAGGCCCACGAGGAAAATGGGAATACCGGGGCAGTGCATATGAATCTCGTTGATCCAGCGAGTCTGGGCGTTGTTGAACTTGCGATCATTGTTTACGCTGAAGCAGAGGAAGATTCCGTCCCAGTGCAGGTAAGACAGCAGAGCCAGCTGGTGCAGGTCGGCGCGGCCGGCCATGTCCCAGATCTCGAGGTCGGTGTTCCTGCCGTCGACGGGGTAGCTTCGGTTGAAGAGGTCGTAGTGGGTCGGATACCAGTTGCTGTTGAACACTCCGTAGTACCAGCGGCTGCGACAAACGATTAGTATACCCCAGAAGACTCTTGATTTAGTTTTTCTCTTTGGGGATTGGAATCAGCCACAACTCACAGGAGCATGCAAGTCTTACCAGAGTTGCCGTCGCCAATGACAGCAAATCTCATTTTCTCACGAGGACGCGGGGTCGAGGGAGCTCCGGCAGGTGATGCAATGTTCAAGGTGGCAAAGTCCTCGAGAATTTGTCCACTGCTGGGGCGAGAGCTGAACATGTTGTGAAAACCACTGGACAGTCTACGAGCAGCATCGACGGTCGAGCTGAGAATACGGTCTCGACGACGTGCGGTGGAAGCACCCTGGGCGAGCTTGGCCTTCTTGTTCCGATGCTGGCCACCCTCGTGGCCGCCGGGGGCATCATCATGATTCTGTTTTCCAAGTCTTAGCTTGGGTTGATATTAGAGATGGTCTTTGTGAACTTACCAGTGGGTGCTTCTGCGAGGGGGTGTCGGGAAGCTGTTCGTTTAGACCCTGATGAACACTCGGCACCTCGGTGATCCAGCGTAGCATGTTTCCGTTCGACTTCCAGAGTCCGGAGACAGAGAATGAGAAGTTTCTGGCGGTGGGCGGAGTGAACTTGGGGGGAGGTGGCGGCTTGGGAAGCGTGTACTGGGGAGGCGTACATACTCCGACTGGATGCATTCGCAGCGGGTCTGGATGCTTGAGGTCGAATGCTTCTCTGCCAGGAACCGGCGATGAGCCATGCTCCGGTGATGGGGGATCAGGCGTGTTCATGATGGATGGTTGATAGCTGCAGGAAGCACAAGGATGATTGAAGGAATAGGAAATGGATATGCTCGAGTGTGGAGTGTGGGATGAAGAGTGAACAGGCAACAAAATCAGTTGATCGAATGAAGACGTGCGATCCGAGACGGGAAAAGTTGCACTAATCACTGCAATTGCGGTTGCTGGGTGAAGTCGCGAAATTTGGGAAGCTTCATCAAGTAGCAGGGGGCTGTCTTTCTGGTCGTTTTCAAACAAACGGAGCCTCACGCGTTTCTCGAGGGGAACATATTTCAGCGCAAGTAGAATTGTAGAGTGCGCATCTTCACTCACGCGTCTCTGGCAAAGTTGTTGCAAACGGCGCATCCCAGGCAACCGCCACATTCAATGCAGCTCAAATATCAAAATGTTCATTGTCAACGCACAATTTTGGTTCTTTCTATCAGATTAGTACATTCGATAACCGTAGCTTTATAATGAGATAAAATCTGTGTTTCCATGATCCATCCCATTTACACATGCTTTTGACGGAATATCTTATAATAGTTGGTCTCAATTATTCTGGATCCATTAATGAAGCAGTTACAAAGCTGCAGGAAAGAGCGCGCCCTTTCGGATTGAGAATTCAATAATGACTTGATAAAATTTGTCTTCCACCTAATTTGTATTCTTTGTAAGCTCATTTTATCTTTGTTGGCTTACCTTTATAGGGATAATCGTGTCGAAAGATGGCTCGGGTAAAAAGTTGCCTGTCCAGTATCTATACAACCAATTACAATATTATAGTGGCTGGTTTCTTCGAGTTGCAGATCAAGGCCCTTGATTAGTTTCGACCTCTTTCCGGATCGATGGCAACAATATATGTTTGCAGCATTCATGATAGTCGATCGCCAAGTCAGCGTCAAGGTCTTGAATAGTTGAATGACAATGTTTGATTGGCTTTTCCGTAACTCGGTCTTGACCACCAACCCGATGCTAGCCCGAGTGGTATATGTATAGATTTGTTATTCGGTAGCATGGGTGATGTAGTGAACCTCGCGAGTCAGTACCTTGAGCCCGCAAAAATCCGACCCGGCTGCAGAACTGTATGCTTTGCACACTGATCCATCGACTTTGTATTTACAAAGGTCACTGAGGTTTCGACACCTTGCCTCCTCTGTATGATGGAAAACTCGCCTACAGAGATTTTTGTTGTCCGCCCGGTCAAGTGTAAGCTGAGATGGTGCATTGCACTCTACCGGCCTGATCTGTGATTTCACATATTATAGAGTTATCAACATGAGTCTAGATTAAAACGACGACTTCCTCATCTCGACGTGCTGTAAATCATAAGCTGGAATAACAACTGATTTGTATTATGTATCTTGTCATCAGGCGGCCACGAAAAAAGAAAACCAATTGATGCTTCCATTCCCAGTATAGAAGTGATCCGTACCAACATGGCTCCAGGCTTTGTGATTCTAGGCTGTGTATAGTACTATATACCTTTCTGCAGGTCTGGTAGTCTTACATATACAATGCAATGAAGGTCAATTTGTCATCACAGCGCCCTTATATTGTCAATGGCGTGCCTGGGTCTCATATCATGCATCGGAAGTTAATAGCATCCCCATGTGACCTACATGATACATCAGCACTAGCGGAATCTATAGCATGCAAATGCAAGGATAACATTGAACCAGCGTAGTATTGGAAGCTGCGACAGCATTGGATAGCCCCCCAGCGATTACCGACCAGGAATTCTTTCTTTGCAATGAAGTAAGACTTGGATCGGCGCATCTTTTTGCGTACAACGCTTGCATACCTACATATCCCGCTGATGAGGGTTAAAAGTCGTTTACGTCTGAGTGGTGCAAATCTCCATGCGGGTCAACTTTAGACCCCTCCCCCATTGACGAGGTTTCCCCGCTTACATGATGACCAATTAACCTCATGATTCCTAAGCTGGTTGGGAAACCCACGCAGTTTTGACTTGGCGACATGCATAAATTGACACTCATTTCAACCTTGAATATACAACTATTCAATAATTATATCTCTGACTTGACCCCGTGGTGACTGCAACTGATCGATAAATCTCAGTACACTTGATACTATACATTAAACATGGCCGAAAAGTCCAACATTCACCTCTACACGGCTCAGACGCCCAACGGTATCAAGGCGTCGATCGTTCTGGAGGAATTGGGACTAAAGTATGAGGTAGGGCAGCCTCAACATCTACTCCTGTGAAAGTATACTGACTTGATTCCTAGACTACAAACATTGAATTCAGCAAGAACACGCAGAAGGTGGGTCTCGAGTCTGAGTCCCTGCTGTTTCCCGCACAGCCAGTTTTACTGACGGGACACAACAAATCTGTAGGAGCCGTGGTTCTTGGAGATCAACCCCAATGGTCGCATCCCCGCCCTTACGGATACCTTTGAGGATGGCAAGACCATAAGACTTTTTGAGAGTGCCTCCATCATGCAGTACCTTGTGGAACGATACGACAAGGACCACAAGATCTCTTACCCCTACGGTTCGCGGGAGTACTGGGAGGTCAACAACTGGGTACGTCCAATTTCGTGTCATTAAACCAGAACTACAATACTGATTGGATCAAACAGCTCTTTTGGCAGATGGGAGGTCTCGGACCCATGCAGGGTCAGCTGAACCACTTCAACCGTAAGCATGGGGCGAACAATTGAATCGTTTGCACATTTTTTCTGACCGAGACTTTTTCTTACAGGCTACGCACCAGAGAAGATCCCGTACGCCATTGACAGATACAAGAACGAGACGCGCCGGCTGTTCCGCACCATGGACACGGCCCTCGAGTCCTCCAAGTCTGGCTACCTCGTCGGCGACAAATGCACGCTGGCGGATTTCTCGTGCTGGGGCTGGATTGCTGCTGCAGGTAAGTAAAATGATTCGTCGATAAGGACTTAGTTCGGATTCATCATGGGACCCTGTTGCTAATCCCCGTCACCATAAAGCTGGTTCAGGCGTGAACATTAACGAGTTCCCTGCTCTCAAGAAGTGGAGGGACCTCCTCCTTACCCGCCCGGGACTTGAGAAGGGTCGACACGTGCCATCGACGCACAAGGCGCTGGAATCCGAAAACCTGACCGAGGAGCAGATTGCCGAGGCTGCCAAGAAGAATGCCGGATGGATCCAGGCTGGCATGAAGGAAGACAGAAAATAATTTGAACGCATAAAAATTCAAGTTGACCGCATCTGGTAGAGTGAAATATTATTTACAAATCAAATATATTACAGAAACTCTCTTGGATACGGCCCGTGATTTCCCAGGCTTCTGTTTATGTATCTGATCTAATCTACATTCAATGGTCTTTCACCAATCATGATAACAGGAAAATTCAAACTTAAGCAAACACAAGGCTGCCTGGTAATTCCTATAGCTTATTTCCCAGATAATCCTGTTGCCGGCTTCCACTCGTAGTGGTGTTGCCCCTTTTCCGGACCACCCACCGGGTCTTTCTTCTTGTCAAACATGTGCTGCCCAAAGAAATCCAGTTGCGCCTCCATGAACTGCGTTGGCAGTTCTGTGGATGTCTGATACTTGAAGTACTCGAGGCTCTGACTAATGGATGGCACAAACGTATCCGTCTCGACAGCCTTGAGAACAATCTCCTTGATAGCCGGGTATGTATTGTGAAATTCATGGCCAAGTTCCGGATTGGCGAGCAGATTGTCCTGATCACCATCCGCTTTCTCATATATGCTATCCAGCAGATCCACAATATGGTCAGCTTGGATAATACAACCACCCCTCCATAATTGCATAATCTTGCGGTAGTCAAGGTTCCAGCCCTCGGCACGATCCTTTCTCCGGATAATGTCCATGCCCTGGGCGAAGCAGGCCAGGAAGCAAAAGTACATGGCCTGGTGCAGGAGCTCGGCAAACTTGCGCTTGTCGACCCCGGACCACGGCTGCGCCTCGATACCACCCGCTGCCGCCTTTTGGTTATTGATGCGGCGCCTCAGGTCGGCAGATGCACACCGAAACAGGTGTGCGCTGAGGATCGAGGCGGCCGGCACGTGAAGGGTGACGGCTTGCTCGCACGTCCAGGTCCCTGTACCTTCTTCCTCGGTCACGTCTTGAGTCACCTTGTCACGCACCTCGGAGAGGACATGGTTACCGTCCTTGTCCTTGGCGCGCTCGATACCGACGCCGATGGCGACGAGGAAGCAATTGCGCAGGGGACCCGACTCGTTCCAGGATTTGAAGATATCCGCGATCTCTTCGTGGCTGAAGCCTAGACCCTTTGTGAGAATGAGCCAGACCTCGGCCATGGCCGACATCATGCCCTGCTCGATGCCGTTGTGCACCATCTTGACGTAGTGACCGGAACCGGCAGGTCCGACGGGGTTGGTACACGGGCGGCCGTGTGCGTCTTTGGCGGCCACGGTCTTGAGGAATGGCATGGCCTTTTCCAGTGCCTCGGAGCTGCCTCCGGGCGACATGGATGGGCCGTGGCGAGCGCTCTGATAGCCGCCCGAGACACCGCATCCGACGTAGTGGATGCCCTTTGGATCCAGCATCTTCTGTCGCCTTTCCGTGTTTGTCCAGTGCTCGTTGCCGCAATCGACGATGAGGTCGCCCTTGTTGAGGTAAGGCAGAAGCCCCTCGACACATTTATCGGCTGGTTTGCCGTGTGGTGTACTGAAGACGAAGAGCTTTGACTGGCCTTTGGTTTCTATAGATTTGCAGACATCCTCGTAGCTTTTCGACCTTTGTACTCTGTCGTCTAGCTGAATGTCCTTTCCTTGCTTCTCAAGCATATCCATATTCTCCTCGCCTTCTCATTGTCAGCGCTGGCTCGCAGACGCGGCATTGCATGGCATTTTCTGACTTACTCGGGTCGAAGAAATGAACCTCATAACCATGTTCTGCGAAAAGGAGCGACATCATGGCGCCCATACTCCCCACACCAAGCATACCAATCTGGACTTGTCAGTGATCCATTATAGCCCGTTAATTTAGGTGTCTCTTACCTTTTTGGTCTCTGCCATCATGCAATATTAATACTTAGTAACCACGTCTACTCACGAGAGACAATGGATGATCGTAAATATTGAATACCAAAACTCTGTGAATGAATGATAACCAAATTATCATTAACAAACGCCAAGAAATTTTGACAACCAAGAGCAACAAGCGACACTTTTCTTGGACAAACGAGGTTATATGGTCACGTAACACGAATAGGGCCGTTTGGTCGCATCAGAGTTACGTATTGGTATGGAGCCGACCGCGGTTAGTCTTGACGTCACTGGCCACGGGCAACGCAAAGGACACTGCAGTCGACTGAAACATGGATCTTGATGACTTTTGAACCACAACATTACCGCTCTTTTTTCAAACTCTACAAGAACCAAATATTTACCGTATGAGCAATACGTATCTGTAAAAATCAAAGGGTGTGGGTGACGATCATCTTGCCAAGACCCTGTGCAAGAGTGCCAAGGTTCGCGAATACTATACCAACCGTGCTGAGCCAATCAACGATTAGCCAGAGTATCCACGAGAACACAAATAGTACACTGGTATCACAATAAGATATCACAAATTATAATGCCGTGCCCAATACTACCAATAGTAATAGAAATGATGAAAGCACATCGCATCTACACGTAGTCGTGAACCAATGTTCCTGTTGTGTCGTGACAATGTTGTATGCAAGTATTTAGTTATATAAATTACAGCGCAGATATGTTCATTCTTGTCAAAGGCGCCACCCCCACAATTTACAACCATAGACAATGAGAGGGGCTTACCTCATCCATCGTTTTTATCTTTGGATCCTTGCCAAAGAGTACTCGTCGTTGACGATTCGCAGTGGTCTGAATATTCGTCTTGGTGTGGAGGTAGCCCAGATTCCTGTACGAGCAGGTCGAAAGCCGTAAGATCGAGCGGTGAGTCGGCTTCGTCCCTCCCGTACATAGCCGTTGGACTGACACCTAAATCGTTCGAGAAGCGAGAAGATGATGCAGATACTGGAGTGTCAATTTCCATGTCGTCTTTCTTGAAGCTGCCTTCCATAAAAGGTCTAGCGAATGGGTTTGGGGGTCCTTTAGCTCCCAGTGAGGGCATAGCCTTTGGGGATGGCGATGCCGGTGGGAGCACGATACCGAGACCCAAGGAGTCGTCTCGCTGCCCTGGACCACTTGCTGCCATGCCTTCAGGAGATGCTTCTTCTACTGATCCTGCTTCACTCAAAGGCCCCGAGTATCGACTGTGACCCGGTACACCAATCTTGAGATTTGGTCTCGAACTCTTTGTCACTGATTTCCCTAGAAAAATTGACTCTGCCGGGACTGACATTGGCTTCCTTTCAAACGAGTTGTCAGGCTGGTGGGCAATGCCATGTCTTTGGTTATTCTCAGTGGGAGGCCACCAAGAATCAGGCTGCGTGAATGTGACGCTGTGTTTTTGTGTAGAATGTGGCGTCAGTGGGTGGCCTAGGAGATTTTTCGACTGCGAGTAGCAGACCTTTGAGGCCAACCCAGGTCAGCTTCTTGTGCGTCCTGTCGGCATCATGCGCATTTTCCGTATGTGTCTCATGGAAAAGAAACGCAAGAAGGGGGTGCTGTTTCAACAATGATTTACACAGAAAGACACGAAAAATCAGAAACAAGGATGATGTGTTAAAGTACTTACAAAGTTGCAACCCGGGATCTCCGGTAAAACATCCCAAATCTCAAGCGCAACCGAGATCAGCACGACGGTGGAAAAGCTTTTAAAGACAGCCTCTACCGTGATGTCTTCGGTGGGCAAAGGAAAGTCTGTAAGCCACCTCCGGCAAGATTCGGCATCGTCAGCTCGTATATCTTCCGTGAGGCTAATGCTCAAGACAACACGGGGGCTGTTGGTTGGTTTGGGAAGGTGGAGGTTTCTCAGGTCTATGAAGGGGGTTGTTTCTCGTGCCTTGGGCGCAAGAATAATACTGGAGATGTACTTGTACGTAGACCGGATATAGTGCACAGGAGTTCGTCGCCATTCAAACTTTTCCATTTCCATGGACGAGCTGGCTGTTGCCAACCTGAGTCCGTCCCTTGTCAGTTGATCAGGCGGTATGATTTTGAGGTAGGTCAATATCTCGGCGTGGAGCGCAGCTATCGTAAAGGAATGTGGCGATCGAGACCAGTCGAAAAGGATTCGGGTGAGCGCATTCGTGAACGAGTGTGGCCCAGGAGGTGGAGCAATATACTCGAATCCACTGGCTGCAATGGTCTCGGAGAAACCCTTCAAGGCCTGCGAAATCGAGCTTCCTGCGTGGCAGCAGTCGAGAAGGAACAGAGTATCCGAGATTGATTCATGGAGTACCTCCTCACACCCACTCCACTTGACCTCTGCATACAGCTCATCGCGATTTCGGCGGCTGTATTGGTAAGTATCTATGTTTCTAGGCAGCGTAGAGGTGAGCTCACTTTGACCAAATGGCTTGTCTGCTGGAATCCATCCGCCCATGACCTCCGTAGTACACTAGCAGCAAGTTATCTTCCCTTTCATACTCCTCTGTCCAGTCGACAATGAGCTTTGTGAGCTTGATGGTTGACTTTTTCATAGGGATTTCCCACTGTCGAACGTCAAATGCGTATTGGTTGCTAAGTACGTCTCCTAGGTTGGCTACTTCCGTACCGACACCCAGATCGTCTCCTTCCCACGATAGAAGTAGTGCATGCATTGACGCATATTTATGTCCACTATGATGGCTTGTCGAGACACGGTCTGCTGCCTGATGCCAGTGAGTCAATAATTGAACAAAAGTCAGAAGATTGTATACCTAATGTCAGACATACGGATTTCAAAGCATCTATAACTTGGTTGAAGTTCTTCAGATGGCAATCAGCGACGACATGATTATGAGTGAATGAGGCGGGTGTGATAGGTGAGCTGTTCTCCAAGTCCTATAAAGATGATGTTTAGTCTCTGTTGCTGTGTGCTGTGTAGCACCTCACCTCTGACGGACGAGGGCTGGCATCGCCACCGCTAGGCGTGCTACCAGACTCAGTATCCATGTACAGCCTGACAAGGGATATCTTGCGCTCTTGTTCACTCTCTAAGTCAACAGTCTCTTGATAACGTAAATCAATCTGACTTCAAGTGTATTTTAGCAGAACAGTGATGATGGCACGGAATAATTCGCGACGTCAGAATCTCTCAAAATGACACAATAATCTTGACTGTCAACGGTCTTGACTTGCGATTTTTTATTAAAAATCTAATTCAGTGTAGATTTCAATAAGATCTTGCACAGTAAATGACCTATATGAGAATATTTGGTGATGACTGCGGCTGAGAAGCGGGGTTCACGCTGACGAGGCTGTACACCGAGACTCTCGGTGAGCAAGAAGGGGACAATGCTTGTACGATCGAAAAATTCTGATGGTCATCGTTTGATTCCCACTTTCACCTATATTCTTTTCAAAGTCTCACAAATATACCACTTTTTCATTTGGGTATCTAAGTTTTTTTTTTTTTTTTTTTTTTTCATGAACGCTTGTAGTCTGGTTATGTTGCTGTAGTCTCTCCCCCTTGATCCGCCAAGCATGGGCCTACACGGCGATAAGCCTGGAATAGACGATTTCCAAATTCGAGATCAAATACTTCAAGTCACTTCTTCTCAGCTGTATAACATAACGAACGGCCGACACAGCCACATTGTGAACAATCATGTGATGACCTATTCGCAAAGATCAAGTGAGAAGAGCGCAAATATAGTCTTCCTGAACGAGCCGCGTGCATTCTTCTTTCTTAATTCTCGTATGCAAGACGTGAGCTATTTGTAAGAGGAGGAGTAAACCCAATTTTTATACGTATTGGGCATGTTTCGTGGGAGGTGCTCGCTTGTGAGTATGCCTCTCCCGACGACCATTCTACCAACAAAGCCTCTACATTCGGGGCTTCCTTGGAGTAAACGCGTGTAAATCAGAGAATTGTTATGCTTACCGATAGAGCGGTACCTGAACCAAATGACTACCACTATGCAAGACACTCCCGACCATGACGGAGCAAAGAGACTAGGTTAGTTCAATCCAAGGCTTATCCAGAACGATACATGTCCAAGTGAACAGTGATCAGTAATTGCGGCGCCACGGCTTATAGTGCCGACCATTTCAAGACATGAACCATGTGACCACCGCTATAACATCAAAGCACGTGTTCTAGAAGAGGCGGCCGCCCGGAGTTCTGAAAGGTCACGAAAGCAGAAAAGGCATGTCCCAAAAACTCTTAAGTATCGTCTGGACCTCTCTCTCATCCGTCATGAGGATGGACTTGGAAAGAATAGCCTGACCGACGGAAAGACTTTCATGCATGCACGAGGCCAAGCAGAGGAACTGTAAGCCGCGTTCGAGCAACACCACCAGGTCAATGATGATGACGAGAAGGAAGAGGAGAAGGAGGAGTTCCAGGTCTAGATCCAGGTCCAGAAAGGCCAACTTGGTTCTATAGACGGTAGTCAAGACCGGGGCAAGTCCAAGACATACATCGGAGGAACCCAAGATCTATTCTTCTTCTTCTTCTTCTTTTTTTCTCTTGCCAGACATGCATGGGGGGTAGTATATGAAGCTTGGCACTATAATGCCGCGTCGATCTTGTCCGGCCTCGTTGGATGCCTTGATACCATATAGGATATACTCCGCCGCTTCGGCATTTCCGCATCCTTTTTTTTTTTTTTTTTCCCTTCGCGGGACGAACCCCCCGGCCCCGGGCAGTGCGGGTCAAAAAAAGAAGAGCTACATATCTACATTCCTCATCAAGTGAGATTGGCGAACCATATGGCTCCACATACACGGCATATGTTTGTGTTCTTACTGGATATAAGACTGTAGTTTATCTTTGTTCAATAAGGGAACGCGGTGGGGTTGAGACGGCATTTGAACATTGTATACATAGATAATATCATGCTTGGCCGTGTATAAGCGGCAAACTCCGGGGTGGTGATTGCTGGTCACCAGGGGTTTTGTCTAGATCCTTTCTTGAAGTCTTTTTTCTTGTTCTACAGAGTATACTATTTTTTTATCCAAGGAAAACCCCTCGATCGGTAATCGGCGAGGTGCACTGACCTGCCTCTCCAGACGAACCTGCATAATCGGGACGGGGTGAGGAGCGACAAGAAAGAAAAAGAGGCCCTAGTTCCTTGCGTGCAGCGGAAACGTCTGTGCAAAATGGAATACTTGCGGAATATGTCTGTGTCCTTCCCGCATTTTCGGGAGCTGGAGAGAGAGGTATGACGGGGGCAGATTTGATCCCATGTGAAAGAGAGAGTCAATTGCAAGGCACCAAACTGTACCATTCTACCTTTTTTAAACGCAGGTTTCAGAGAGCAAAGAAACGTTGAAGCGCGCGCTCAAAAGGTAGAGAAAAACGTGCCGCCTGCAAGACACACACACACACAGAGCTTTGGAATGAGGGGCATCCCGTTTCGCATGCCGTTTCTCCCTTGCCCTTCCTACCTGGTGGCGGCAAGGCAGAGAAAGGCCAGCAACAAGCGCTGAACGAAACGCGTTTTTGACATGCTACACCTCTTCTTCTTCTTCCTCCTTCTGGCTACTTTGAGTGCCATGTTTCGATTTGGTAGAAAATCATACGGGGCTAAAGCATGAAGAAAGATGGTTGCTTCGCTTCTCATCCTCCATCACGTTTTGTCTGCTCGATCTGAATGATTATTGGTCCATGAAGAAGACTCTGCCAAGCCGCTCACTTATGCATTTGAATGGACGAGTCGACAGGAATCCCCCCTTCTACTATGTAGGTCGCCACTTTTTTTTGTTGCTTACGGAATGGGGGTGGAAAAGTCCATTCAGTAGACACAAGACATGCATGCATTAAACAACGAATAGCCATACATAGTACGCAGGGTGCGGCAACCTCTACCTTTGGGGTGGTGAAGTGGTATGTATGCTCTAATAAGGCAAGTACTAGTCAAAGAGAGGCGATAGAGAAAACGAGAAATACCGGGTTGAAGGAGAGGAGAACAGGTGAGGAAAAGTCAACTACACAGGTACTATTATGCACGACATTTTGGCGGCAATACGACGACGGTTCCCAAGAGCCCCAGCTAATTGGTCGTGGTTCCCTATTTCTTACGAATGCAGTTCATGCGATCAATTGTGGTGAATGCTACGGAGGCATTTGGAGATCTCTGAAATACACGGCGGGCGGGATAAGGGGTGGACAAAGAGCTTTAACCTGCATGTACCGCCGATCAGACTCTCCCAACCCTAGAGCTTTTTTCTGTTCTTTGATGCCGCGCCGTCTTTTTACCCCTCTAAATGGTTGGTGTGGTTGGCCAATCTAGGTTGTAGATCGCGATATACAGAAGGATTCCCTCCTCTCCGTCATAGAAAGGGAATGGAAGTGGAAAAGAAAAAGGAAAAGGATAGGATTTATTTTTTTGTAAACTAAATCGTGGCACTTTCCAGGTGGTTGGATACTTTACCTGCGTGTCTCTGATGGGTGGTGGGCAGTGGTGATTATTCTTTTTAGGAAACCTTCTTGGCGTTGACGAATCCAGCCTACGGAACCATGCCCTGCCGCGTGTTCCAACGGCCCTTCTTCCAATGCATTCTTTCTCTTCTCCCATAGTCCCCTTGTCAGAGCCTGCGCATTGCATGCAAACATATATAGGCATACACAATAACACACCCACCAAAGCTGCCAATATTTGAGTCAGATTGGGGGGAGAAACAAGAATCTTGGCCGGGCGGATTGGTGGGATTTGGCTGATAGTTTTATGCATGCTATTAAACCATATGCTGAAGCTCTTTTTATTTTTCTGTCTTTCCTTTGGGGAGGCCCCGTAACGGGAAGAGTTTGGGGGTGACAAGGACAGTTTTCCCTTTCAGAATGCGTAAATACGGAATAGGTGGTACATGATCGGTAGTCCTGCCACCCCCCAATGGACGGAAGCAGCCATCACCGAGCAGAGCCCACCTTCGCAGCGCCCCCAAGGAATGTCATGCGCCGAAAGGAAAATCAAAGAGGGAGAGGGAGCGGAAGAAAGAAAAAAGATAGCGAGAGGAGAGAAGCAACCCGATCGATCACCACGATTGCATCGCACAACAACTCCCAAGTAGTAACCGGCTCCGGGAGAGGAACAATGCCTAGACCTTACCCAACGGTATTTTTGTGTCCGGGGAAAAACATCTAACTGTATGCACGTTTTGGAGGGGGAAAGATTATGTGGCTCCTCCCCTCCTCCTCCTCCTCTCATATATTTCTTCAAAGGCATGACTCTTGTCTCTTCTTTTCTTTTGTTGGAGGAGATTTCCCCTTTCGGGAAGTGCTGTATGTCTCTTGCATGTCTTTGGTTGTATGCCTTTCGGGCGGGGCGGCTCAGTTGGGCAGGCATGGGGATATCATTGCCTGTTCCTTGCATGCGTTGTAGCCATGCACGAGGTTACATGGCCTGCCCGTTTTGGGGCATCGGCCACCTTTCCAATTGTCAACTTTGGCCGCGATTGCTTTTTCTTCGGAAGAAGAACAGAAAAAATAAACGGTTTTCGGGATGAGTAAGTCGTCCGATGGAATGATGCAAGCATTCATGGGTCATGGCGGCGAAATACAAGATGGATACCTGGATATTGCTCATTATAGTCACGAGCTTACAGTAAGTGGATCTCGCCTCACTGATGACTGATTGGACACAAAATATCGTACCATACATAGCACAACACAATAGAACAACACGAGCAATGGTTGATACGCAATAGAATCTTGAAAGATGGCATCGTGATATGATTTCATCCTGTGTTCTAAAATCAGAACGCTGCCTGGGCCAGTCTGCCTCGTGGCCTTTTCCCCCCGTTAGGTATCATTAAGTGTCCCCCGAAATCAACTTCCGTGATTTATCCATGCCTCAAAATCTCATGTACCCATGCCCAACACGGGGATGCCTGACGCCTTTTCAAATGCCATTCCCTTTGATGATAAATCAAACCCTCCACTGAACGCCATGCCTAATTTCAAAATAACCCAATGATGTTGGTGACGATAATGGTGAAAATAAGAAGATAAAGAAATCCTATGCTCATGGCTTTAAGCTCCTCCGGTGGCCTGACTTGAGGCCACTGAGCAATCCCTTCCTTGACGCAAATGGACTGCTGGGCGTGCCAGGTGTCAGAGGCGTGATTGGTGATGCGATGGTTGATATGCTGTGAGAAGAGGCGTGTCTCTTTGCGGATCGGATAATGTCGCTGTATCGTACTGGAGTGCGCACAGACTCAGTCGGGCTTCCTTCCTCTTTTGTTTCTTCCACGGGCGTGGTAACGATACGTGCTAGGTTGATAGTCGAGATGGGTAGTGGTGGTATTGAAAGGTCCTCCTTGGACATGAGTGCACCTGGCAGGAAGGTTCTGCTTCGTTTCCTTGCCAAGCTAAAAGTTCGTTGTACACGGTTGAGCACGGCCTGCGACTTGACTGCTGTCCGTGGCGCGGCGTCGAGTAGAACCTCTTTCGCGTTGTCGAGCGTGTAATTTGTCTCGGCAAAGGGGTCTTTGGTCAGGAATGAGGGCTGATGGGCGGGGACAAGGCTGCTTGTCCGTGGCGGGTGGCTCTCGCTAGAGACTGGCTTGTTTGATTCCGTCTCAATCGGGCTCTCGATTTCAGAGCACGAATCTGGAGTAGACGAGATTGTTGATCGTCTAGGAGAGGGAAGATTCACCAGTGATGGTTTACCAGAATAGACAACCGAGACTAGGCGGGCTGTATCCTCGTAACTCTTCCTCCTCATGGGCGAACCCTCCGAGGTTTCGCTGCTAGAGTCGTAGTCATAGTCTGAGAACTCGTCTGCCGAGGACGAGGCGTCTTCTTCCGACGACATGTACGCATCGTGGGGTGTCGTCAGTGATTGTGTAGCCGACTCGATCGAGCTAAGCCTCAGTGTGTCGAGCATTCTTGAAGCTCGCAGGCTGGACCGCTGCGGGAGGGCTGGCGGTTCGACAATGGTGTCGGGCTTCTTGGTTTCCTTGACAATGGCGGCCTCGCCCAGCAAGCAATTCTCGTCCATGCCGGCGAATGCGTCTAGCAGATCTGCGTCGTACGAAGAGCGTGTCATGAAGGAGTCTTGAGATTGAACACTGGGTGTGCTTTGAATGTTCTTTTCGGAAAGGTCCAGCTGCTTAACCTCCGGTGTCGAGGAGGAAATACCATCAAGTTGAGCCATGATGAGCAGCCGGGAGCGCGTCTGATAATAAGTGATTTCTTCGAATCGGCCGGTTGCTGCACGTTGCTCGTATAGAGCTTTGAGAGATGTGGGGTGTTTGTCCGCTAAGTCTGCCGGTCGATCCACACTAATATAATGGTAGGCTTGTTAATAATCTCGACAGGCCTCAGGTGAAGGAGGGAATTTAAGAAATGTCATGGTTGTATATTCATCTGTGCATAGGAGCTGGTTAATGAAGGAGGGAGCGAGGGATGTAAGTAGTCTTGTAAGCGCAGACATGGTGTGGTGTCTTGAGACCGACCAGGGCGGGTTGCGAGAGTTATCGACCCCTGGCCCCGGCCCCTGCCCGTTCTTTGGCCCCATTCAAAGGTAGGAACTGGGTGGTGCTGCTTTGGAGGCTTTTTGGATTACCCACACCACCACACGCCCCCTACTTAGGTACGGGTCCTGGTGTACTTTGTACCCTTACAGCCTACTACTGCACCGGTACGGAGGATGTGCTGCTAGGTAGGAGAAATGCTAGGCGGGAAACGTTTCTGCTTACTGGAAGACCCGAAGTGGATTGGGTGGTGTGTGTGTGTGTGACCGACTGTGTGTGGCAGCTCTCGATGCTAGCCCGGACTCGATGCAGACTGGAGAGCGGCTCCGTTTGTGTCTTGTGTCTTGAACGTAGGTACAGGGTCCGATGGACGCAACCGGTTAGAGGAGGGAAAGCCCGTCTTGGGATTGGTCGAGGTAGAGCGCTGTTTCATGTAAAGCTGGGCGATTGCGAGTACTTGGGCTAGCCGATATTGACCAATATGTAGGGCTTGTATAATACGTATGTATGTAATGTATGGGTGTTTTGGATGTAATGTACGTCAACTCGGCGGCGCGCGGGGGAGGGTTGCTGTTGGAATGGGAAGAGAAAAGAGGGTAAAAGATTAGAGTATGTAACCCAACCAAAGATACTAGGTAGAGAAGATAGATCAAGGTCAGATGGGTCAACCTTTTTTTCTTTCGCGTTCCTTTTTTTTTATGGTTCTTCTTTCTTGAGTTGGTAGCAGCTCGAGCGATTGCGGGGTGGGCAGACGACGAGATTGAAATAACTCTGACCTTGATTCATCATGAGAGAGGTTGGAAATTCGATCTACGAAATAGTTGCCAAAGTCTATTTTGTTCTTCACCATTACATAGTTCTCGTGTAGTAGAAGTCACTGCCCTGTTTCCCAACTTCGCCGCCCATTACCTCAGAGGATAGCATTGACAGCCGCTGCGCCAATGTGACTTGGAGGGTCTTGATCCCGATCAAGTTCGAACCAGGTATTGGATGATGAGGTGATATGATGGATGGATGGATGGATGGATGGTCAGGGTCCGAAGGGTATTATTGGTAGATACATTAGGTACCTTGTGCCCAGAAGAATATCGGCAATTCGGACACCAAAGATCGAACAACAACGTGGAGGTCAGCCCGCTAAAAATGAACGCGAGCCAGGGCGCAAGCCTCCGCAAGGTCCCAGTCTCCTCTTCCTCTCTCCCAGTCCCCCTCCAACCTAACCTACCTTGAGGTTAGGTGAGTTGATGAGGTCGAGGTCCCGCAAGGTTTAGCAGCAGCAGCAGCAGCGAGGAACGGTGACCAGGGGCTGGCAAGAGTGGAGTATTCGCCCCCTAGACTTGCCTTGGCTACCCTAGACTGCTCCCCAGAGAGCCTCTGGAGCCTTTTGATTTGGGATCGCTTCGCCAATGTCGATACAAATGTAGGGTCTTGAGGGGGCCCCCTCCCTTGGTATGCTAGCCTGCTAGTGTGCACAGAATACATTGTTTTGATAGTATCCTACTCGACATGATGCTTCCAAATGTGACATTGATTCTTCTAGGTTATAAATGACGAAAATGACGCTAGGTAATTACTCGCAATGACAGCCATTGCATGGAGGAGGAGAATAAATGGGCTGATACGCGTGAAAGCCACGCCCGTTGCCCGCCAAGAACTATGAACTCCATCCACAGCAGTGGATTCCATATGCGGTTGACGACGATGGGCACTCTATTTGGTGTTGTCGGTCAGAGGGTGCTCAGGGTGGCATGGTCCCATTCTCCACCAACGAGAGAAAAAACTTTCTTTCCAAGTGGGTATAATACCTGGTAGACATGGCTAGATATGGAGGTTGGTATACGTCGATCCATTTATTCTTATTGACATTTCATATGTGCTGGCAAGCCAATGCCAGTCTGCTGTTTATCATACGAATATTATAGACCGGCAGTACGAATGACCACGAATTACCATGAGTTTTGCATTACAGACTCCAGTGTTGGTCCACGGATACCCTGTGTAAAATGCGATCGAAGTACCGTACTGTTGTTGCTTGTTTGCCTTGCCCTAACTTGAAGCTTTGCCGGTCTGTCGCACCACAAGAGACATGCAAGACATGGCGCTGCGTAACAAATGACCTGCTCACATATGTAGGCCATGAAGGATATGTCAGTAAAATTATGTGGCTGTTGTAAAATGCATGCCAAACCGTGACATACATATTGATATTACATGCGCCTTGTGGCATGCGTGCAGATTGTAAGCAGTATGTACTCGTTTTACATGCGTTTGAGGTCCGTGTTTCTCGTGACAATTTTCAAAAATTCTTAGAATATTCCAATAGGGTTATCACCAGCCTACTATCATCATTAGTCCAGCCGTGAAGAAGTCGTCCGGTTGCGGCTTGGGCTTGCCGGCATCACCGCTAATCCATTGGCGCTTAGGTACAGTAGAAGCTCCTTCAATTCCATCTTAGTAGACGACCTATATTAGCTGGGGTTTCTAAGTTTGCGACACAAAACCCCCATTTAGAACCATGGTCAATACTATTTTCATAAGAAAAAAGATTCGAGTGGTCAGAATCTGGGTTGGGCTACCTCGTAGTTCAAAGCTTCACAAGGCCATGATGACTGCAATTCCAATCGATTCAAGCAAGACAAGACAACGCAACCACTTGAGCAGAATTGGTGAGGGGCCTGGATGAGCGAAAGAAAGACACAGACACACAGACCGACTTTGATGAGACTGGACTGAATTTCGACTGGTGCAAATTTCACTCCTCCTACTCAGGACGCACGCGCCAGGGGAATCTTCAAGAATCTTCAAATCGAGATACTCACCGCCCAATGACATGGAACTATTTAGTCGGGGGATGTGCTGTCGCGCCCGTTTGGGGGATCCCGCATCCATACTATCGCTCTCCATGTGGGCTTGGCGACAGCTCATAGTCCAGTTCATCACACCCCATTCTGTTGATAGCGTCGGTGACTCTACACAAATCCACGGGTCACAGGGGGCATCTCCGTCCGTGTCCCATCATCTTCTTCCAGAATCCATATAGGATCGAAAGCACAGACTGGTAAGGCTTACCGTCTCGGACAATGTGACTAACCACCATGATCCTTTTGCCGGCGGAAGGGTGACTTCTGACCAAATGGCGAGGGTTCGACTTTGCACTGCTACTGCCCACTAGTCGAGCCAATAAGGAGGCTGATGCGCATGAGAGAGGCTTGACGCCCGCCAGGCGGCTTGCTGATTTTACGGTGCAGATTGTAATCATGTACAGTAGCAGCGCAGCACAAACACAGGTATGAGAAACGTAGCAGCTGCCCTCCAAATCCGGGAAGCCGACACTGTGAAACAGCCACTCGAGGCACAGCCGTTCACACCCGTTCGTCTGAATCTTTTCCAGCCGCATCCCAGTGGTCCGAGAGCCAGATAAGCAGCCGCCCAGCTGATCACAAAACAAACCTGATGTCCGAAATGCTTCACATGTATGCAAGCAGAGAAGGAACTGCGGCTACTAGCTAGTAGATCAAGATCGTTAGGCATCATCACGTACCTTGTACCACTAGGGAATGGATGATTATGTTCCATGATTCGCTTTTGCCAGTGATGGCAAGACGAGCGATTCAGCTTCCAGAGATTTGCGAGGATCAGCAAAGAACAGGATTCAGGGAAGCAGCAACAGCGACATCATCATCATCAACGTTGCCCGGCAAACGAGGCGAGAGCCTGTGGTTGGGTCATTCGGATGCCGACACAAGGAAAAAAGATAGACTATGTGATGCAAACGTGCATTTGTTACCAAATTCCTGTTCGTTGCACTATCTTCCTCCACAACTGGACCTAGACGTTTTCCAGAATGCCACTTGGGTTTTCTTCTTTTCCCACTTGAGTTGCCGCATGGCGTCACCGCAAGCGTCCCTGGGCCTAGGGGGGTTGACCAAAAAAAAAGGCTGGCTGGCGTCCATGTGCAGATCCAAGGTTGGGTCGGTCGGTCGCTCGCACGCTCATCCGATTCGGGTTCAGGCCCAAAAGTCTTCCCTTTTGCCTAAGCCTGGCCAATTATAGCACAGCACGAGCCGTGCGATCGAGGACTTACCGGATCTTACTCCAAGGGGAATAGCTCAAGATTACCCATTTTAAGCTCTCTCTCTCCCATGCGAGGCGGACTAGCATCGAGGCTAAAGCTCGACTTTCTTGGTCATGTTCGTGTGATGCTCAATGAGTCGAACAAAAGCTGAAACGTTGGTTTTCTCCAGTCAATTACTCACTAGCAAGCTCATCTTTGGAGAACTTCAGGTCAGGTTCCTCGAAACGCAAATTGATACAACAACAAGCAGCAAATATCAATAGCGACAACGGCAATCAAACTTCTTGACCATCAGCCACAAGGATCTGGTACATGCTGCTAACCCCCCAACATATCCAAAGGGACCATCACATCATCATGATTACCGGCATACACGGATGAGGATGATGGCGATGGCTTATAGGATTTTCGGGATCCTAAGGGTCCTCTATCCACCTCCACACATATCCCTTCTGTCTCAGGACTGACTTTTTCCACAATGTCCACTTTGTCAGATCGGGTTTCTTGTCGGTTTGCGATGATCAAAAACCGGAGACCTCACTCCCACGGCCATGGATATCGCTCCATGCACGCGTCATGTAGTTCTGGGATGCATTCCCTATTCGA